TGACTTTCTGGGCACTGGGCTGGACCTCCAGCTATTCTACTCCCTTACATCTACTATTATTATTTAATGTATATTGTTGTATTTGTTTTTGATTTTAGAAAAGTCAAGTTTAAAAAATGGTTAATAACAGCAGCAAAAGACTGTCCTTTGCAAAGTGAGGCACACAGCCGCATTATCATGTACAGAATTTGGAAAAAACAGTGGCTGATAAAAACAACAATATGTTTAAAACTGTCAATTCCTTTTGAGATCATCCACCTTTTACCATTTATTCAATGTATGTATTTGTTTATTTTTAATAGCACTACCAAATCTCCATATTTTACCTTTTGAAGGAGGAAGCAACCTTTAATATTTCCTTTTCCGAACCCACCAACTTTCCTTTGCTGGTGATTATACTGACCTCCATCAATATCCTAATTCTATGAACATTTATTTGAACCTATTGATATTTGTAGGGTTTATCCCAGAGAAAAGGGCACAACCCACTCAGAATTAGGCACTTTGGCACTGCATTGTTTTCAATGGGAGAAATTTATGCACACATTTAAGATTCCCACTGAAATCAACGGACCTGAAAAGGGCTTCAATCACTAGTGGATTGTGCCCAGTCCACCAAATGCACAGGATTGTTACCTAAAGCAGGGATGTCTCTTAATTTCTCAGAATGAAGCAAGTTTTAGGGCTATTAGCCTCAATATGGTTAAAATTAAACTTAGAATGGTTGAAATAAAGAAAATGGATGCTACATCTTGTCTGCTTTAAGCTACCATGGCATAAATGACCCTCCCAATTCCCTTTTGCCAACGGGAGAACCAAATTCTTCCCAACTCCAGTGAAAACAGTCAGGTGACACAAATCCACTTCCAGCCACCGTGGAGATGTTGTGCCAAAATAAATTTACTAGAAGACCTTAGGAACATGGTGCCCATTCCCTAAAAAATGCACAGAAAACATTTTAGAAGAGAGACTGTGAACGATCATTTCTTCTTTCAGCAGAACCTTTTATACATCTTTGAAATTAAAGAAGCATTATTCATTTGTTTGGTATCAGGAGGGAAGTTGCTGTCATGAGCATGCAGTGAAAGTGCCTGGTGGGGGATGATGGGAGTTCCAGTCTGACAACATCTGGAGAGTAGCAGGCTGTGAAAAGCTGAGCTGACTAATTCCATCCACACTAACTGGTCCTGCCCTGTGATGTCTCAATGGACAGGGGCCACACCAGTGCTGCTTGCCAGTTTTTACTGAAATCAGGTGGTTGGGAACTAGCGGTAGTTCACACAGGGTTGAAAGGAACACATGTACATTATTGCTAAATTATTATTAGCTAAGAATTAGCTTCATGTGGGGGGGGGTGTGAGAAACCTGCAGGGGTTCTGGCTTAAACATGGAATATGCAAATAATAAGTTAACACCCTCCCTTTGTTCCCTTTATACTGGTACTGAGTTACTGGGTAGAGTAATTCTAATATTTTCCAATCAATAGAGAATAGTGGGTAGATTTGCAGACTGAGATTTGAGATAGTTGCTTGTTGATTGATTGGAAGCAAACATTTCTTTCTTTCCCTGAACAGTTTGCCATCGTATATTTTAATTTTGGTTTGTATTCTAGCAGTGTTTTGATGTGTGTGTGTGTGTGTGTGTGTGTGTGTGTGTGTGTGTCGCTAATTGTGCTTTTCTGTTTGCAGAAGGACCTATTAAAGAGCCTATTAGTCAAGTAACTTAAATCCATTGCTTTCAACAGGTCAATTTGACAATGATTTAGCCAGATGTCACCCTGCATTATTTCACCAGGGAAACAAGTTATTATGAGATACCCAAAGTTGGTTTAGCTCTGTATTTATCTTAAATGCTTTTAGCATCATTTTTATGGAACACAAGCAGCCATTATTTCAAAGCCTTTGCTAAAACCTAATGGGAGCTGGACTGCAATAAATTACTGGCTCAGAATATCCAGCTCCAACCCCAGGCTATTATGCTGCGCTTTCCCTGACAGTAGAAATGGCACAAATGTGAGTTTTCAACACACTGGGCTCATTGACAGATCCAACTCAATTTTAACAGGACTTAAATCATGGTTTAGGCCTGTCTTCTCCTACAAAGACCCATCATCTCACGCATGAGAGCATCATGGAAATTAAGCCTCAACTGACCCCAGCTATGGGGTTTATTGATCCTTTGTGATTCAAGCTCTGAGCAGCTGATGGACTCACAGGTACTGCATTTGGGTTTTCATCTCACCTTACCTGCACACCTTGACCTGTGTTTCTGATGATGTTTCTGCCCATCATCTTCACCACCCACCCCAGTGCACCTACGTAGGCTGTTGCCTAGTTCATGTCTCAATAAACTTGTCCACCTTTAAAGACTGGCGAGGTTTTATTGTAAAAATGTAATGTGGTTTGGGGTGTACATGTACAAGGCTGACCCAAGGCACCTGACACTGCAAGGGCCTGTATCGTATTATCCCAAGAGCTGTGCCCAAGCATCACCTGAAACATGGCGCTACTCCAGGCAACTTCTTGTGCACCTGGGTTCCTCATGTATGTATGTATGTATGTATGTATGTACCTACGTACGTACATGTGGATGGGGTTTAGCAACTTACTGTCACTTGCCATACAGCCATGACTTCTTGGCCAAGGGTCACCAACATGGTGCCCATGGGCACCAATGTGCTCACCAGCAGCTCTTGGCATCTGCAAAAAGGTCTCAGTAAATATATCCTCCAAAATCCACACTGCCAAAGAAGCTGTTTGCCCTATCTCAACTTCTCCTCCATTGAACATGCCTCCTTAAACATGCTTTCATATCACTGGATGCCAGGGGTGCCTGGCACCCACAGCACTCACACAGATCTCCCTTCAGGAATTCCTATCGTATTCTCTCCAGCTCTTACTCTCATCCTTCCCCCTCTTCTTTATGTTTTCTCAGTAATTGCCTTTTTTAAGAAAACACTTTTGGAATAAGGCACGACAAAGCAGCCGATTAGCAAATCATGCTGTAGATTAGTGATGATTTTTGTTGGCCCTGTTCCACTCTTTGGCTTTGTTGGATTTCTGTTTGCATTTGTCTCGTTGCATTTTGCTAAGTTTGTTGGTTTTAAAATCTATTTGTATGTTCCGACTTGTGTTTTACCCTGGAATCATTTAATGAAGATATATTTTAAATAAACAAAACCAACAGAGAAATTGAGGCTGATTTCCTTAATCATATTCTGATTGTTGATTCTGGGTTTCCCATGAACACCCACAAAGAAGGGAGAAGCCAACTCTGGAACTGTATGAAGTGGGGCTCCAGCCTTTTTTATGGCAGCCCCACCTCAAACTCCCTCCCTTCCCTCCATAATAGGTAGAACAGCCTTTGCTAATCTGGTGCCCTCTGGATGTTTCAGACTACAGTTTCCACCTACTAAACATTCAGGGTGCACTAAGTTGGTAACTTACCTTGTGTCCTAATGTCATGGCGATGAGCATTCCTCCCTGCTCAGGATCACTAATCATCACTAGCAGAAGTGGAGAAATGCTTGGCATGAAATGCTACCAGGGCCAGTTGTACTATATCTTATGGAGGGGAAGAATGGAACCCCAGATGCTGATGTTTTCAATGGCAGTTCTTATAGTTTCACTCTACACCTTCCTGATCTACAGAAGCACTGAAGTCTAGACACAAGGTCTAGACTATGAGGAGGCAGGGAGGATGCTGCCTCCCACACTGAAATTGGAGATGCTGACCGCACTGTTGGAGAATCAGGGACCTAAATAGCCTCTAGAACAGGGGTCAGCAAACTTTTTCAGCAGGGGGCCAGTCCACTGTCCCTCAGACCTTGTGGGGGGCTGGACTATATTTTGAAAATAAAAATGAATGAATTCCTATGCCCCACAAATAACCCAGAGATGCATTTTAAATAAAAGGACACATTCTACTCAGATTCCTGGACCGTCCGCGGGCCGGATTTAGAAGGTGATTGGGCCGGATCTGGCCCCTGGGCCTTAGTTTGCCTACCCATGCTCTAGAAGTATTCAGCTGCACCTCCCTGCTTTCCAAAGGAGTGGATGCCATTGCTAGCGAGGGAATGCTGCAGAACGTAAGCAGCAGGATGGCTTGAACCCAAGGATGCATGAATGGGACTCTACTCATGCAACAAGGAGTCCCTGCCTGCCCCTCTCCACACTGCCATCCTCTGTACCCCCTGAAAAGCCACCCTTGAGGACTGGAAGATCCACCAGAGATGCACAGGTTGGGGGGGGGGTTGCTGCAAGAAGGGGGTGGGCTTCAGCTAGTGGACATGTCATTTGTGCAAGAGCACTTTGGGATTCAAATATCCTGCAGCCAGTGCAGGTAAGAGTTAATTATATGATATAATTTAGGACCAACACATCTCTCGCATCTCATAGCAGTAGAAAATTAAGCTTCATAAATTTCCTAGGAAAAGAGATGCCAACATGGTGACCATAAGCGCAACAGTACCCTCAAGGTTTTCCCCTGACACCCACAAAATCTAAGATAAACCTTATCTTACTGCCCACCCCCGTTCATGAGGTGGTGAGAATGGTAACCCGTTTCTCCCCGAGAAGGACATAGAACTGAAAGAGAAAACTGAGTGACACTTTCCCACTTCCCCTTTCAGAGGCTCGGATTAAATTTGCTAGTTCAAACTTTTACCCAGATCACTTGGGAAAGTGTGTGTGTGTGTGTGCGCGCGCGCACTTTCTCTTTTTCTGTCTTCCAGGGATTGGGCGGGGGGAAGGGAGGTTGATGCGGGGAGGGGGTATACCTTTGGCACTTGCTTAAAAATCCAAAATGTGCCCATGGACTGAAAAACATCAATGACCCCTGCCTGAGGAATTAAAATAAAGGACACAGTGCCTGCCTCCACAGATCCTGCTCCTTCATTAAAATGAGCTTCCCCCTTCCCCCACCTCTCGAAACAAATAAATATTGTAAAAAGAAAAATAAATGAATAAGTGAACATAAATAATGGCAAAAGTAAAGCAAAATGTCAAAACAAATATAAACCAAAAAAATTTATTGTGGTTGACAAAAGTACATAATACAAAAAGGAAAAAACCCCAACTTAAACTGGGCCGCCCACTGAGGGTACCAACAGCATCTGGCAGGCTTCCCAAGGCGCCTAGTTCATGAGGACCTCCATCTGCACCAGCCGTGCGTTGGTGTCTCCTGAGGTTCGGTAGGGGATCATGCCGGCAAAGGTGATCAGCGCCCGAGCTTGAGATCGGAGTTTCTACAAAGCACAGAAACAGAACGCTTTGACTTATATTTTAACTGGAGAAGGATGTTGGGTGAGAGACTCTTCTTAGAATGAAAAGGGTGGGTGGACAGATCTAAATTCAAAGTATGTCAAAAAATAAATAAATGAAGCTGTAGACCACCAAGCAACAAGACCATCAGCTTGCATGGCTGATACTTTCCCTCCCAGAAATAGATGTATGTGTTTAGTGCAACCAGGAGTAATCTGTGGGGGCTGGGTAATATTGCACTTAGAGGAAGAGGAAAGGTCACAGAGCACAATTGTTGGCAGAGGACCTTCTATGCATGTAGAAAGTCTAGGTTCAACCCCTGATATCTTGGAGTTAGGTTAGAAAAACATCAAATAAATATGTGTTGGGCTCTGTTTCCATCAGAGTTGAAATATGTCGTTCAAGTGACCATATGCTTTCAGAAATAGTTCAGAATTAACTGAAGTATCACCTCACAAAAACTCCTTATCCTCTAACACCCAGCTGGCAGTTATTTTGGAAGGTCTTGCAGTTACTAACTCCCGTGGTGGGGGAGGGACCTCTGGAGCACTCAAGGACCCTTGCTGAGTCTGACTAGCTATGCACTTTGAGGATAAAGCCACTTGACTTCAGAGAAATCTTGACTGTGCAAGTGTTGCACTTCCTGATGAAGTACCCAATGCCAGATAGGTTGTGAGATCAGTATCAGCTAATGCAGGCAGTTGATTGGTACTAGCGGCAATATGTCTGACCCTGTGCCCTCTTGATCCCTGTCCCTTTTGGCTTATTAAATCTATCAAGAGGGGGGCTGGCTGGTTGGATCTAGAATGTGGTTAATGCTTCACTGCATGAGGGGACAGTCCTTACTGCCTTGAAACAAGCGGTGGTGCAGCAGCTCCTTAAAAAAAATCAGCCCTGGACCCTTTGAACTGGAAAGACCAGTTACAAATACACCTTTTTTGAAGGAGTAGGTGGTGGAGAGGGTTGCGGTGAGCTAGCTGTGAGCATTCCTGGATGACACAGATTATTGAGTCTGGAATAATCTGGGTTCAGGCCTGGGACTGAGTTGGCCTTGGTCACCCTGATGGATTAACTTTACACAGGGGGAGGGTGACCTTGCTCCTGCTTGTGTCTCTGCGGTTTTTCTGTAGAATGAAAATTTGGGGCCCTGTGTCACTGTGGCTCTGGTCCTACCTAAGGAACCAAGTCCAGAGAGTAGCATCGGCAGAATTATTTTAGGCCCCTTGGCAGTTATGCTATAGGGTGCCACAGGGCACTACTCTGCCCCCCAGTGCTATTTAATATCTACATGCCACTGGAAGTTGCCATCAGGCATTTGAGTGGAAGGTGCCATCAGAATGCTGATGACCATCAGTACTATTTCTCTGTAATCTTTGAATCTGAAGGCTTTTTAAAATTCAAACCAAGTGGTATATAAATTTTATGAAATAAAACAATATGTTATGAGCAACTTCTAACAAATAAGCAGTAGAAGATTATGATGCAGCAGCTCTGTTTGGAGACTGAAAATACCATTGCCCTCAAAGGCCTTCGGGGACAGATTGGCATGGCTGGTGGAGCCCCTTTCTTCCCGTCCTTGTTTGTGGAAAACAATTTAGAACTGAATTGCTGTTGCCCTCTCTACCGAGGTTAAAGGAGGCCTGGAGGTGCAGGTGTTCCATTTGTTATAAATTATTTAATCAAAAGCAGGAGCCACCCAAATACCTCGGCTGGTACCTCCCAAATGCCTTCAGTGCCAATTACTTTCCCTTTCCTTTCTCAAGGGGGCATGAGAATGCCCTTTGGCGCCAGTAAAAATCCCAAAGCAAATAAACACGATTGTTATGACCTGCAATGACACTGAAATGGCTGGATTTGTATTCTCTTAGTACTACCTTTTACGGATATCCATTTGATTCAAGACTTAACAGGCAGAAAAAAAGTCAAGTGTGGATGAGGTGGTGTTTCCAAACTTCCAAACTAGTAAGGTTTGGGCACAATGTGGGCATATGGGACAGGAAAACACCTCCTTTGGGTCCCCATCTCTAAATCAGTTGAAACAGAGTTTCTAAAGAAAGAAAGGGAGTGAAGTTGTGTGAACACAAGGGTATGACATGAAACAATAATCCACGTGCCCAGAGGAGGGGACCTTTCCATGGGCCCAAACCCTGCTGTGAATGGGAGTTTCTAAAGAGAGGACTCTTCCAGTGCTGCCAAAGGTGCAAACTTCAGATGCATTCATGGCATGACCTTTGCCAATTCACTTTTTTGGTCTGCCTCCCCAGCAAAGGGAAAGCAGGCTTATCCTGGCCCCAGAAACAATAAGGTGGGCTTGCCTTTCAAGACAGGCATCTAAGCTCAGGAAGCTTTCTTAGCATTCACATGTGCCAGTGTGGTCCAAGGATAGGATTAGATTCGGAGCAGGGATCTTTTCGTGTGCCTCGCTAGTTGTAATTTCTCAGTTCTCTCTCCGTGAAGCAGTAATAAAATATAATCGTTACTGTTATTATAAATGCCATAACTAACACTCTGGGCCTGCAACATTGCCTACCATGATTAGTCTTGTTTTTACCTGCCTACAGCAAGAATGGGGATCATGTGGCTCTCCAGGTAAATGTTGCTGGACTATGGCTCCTATCGTTCTTGACCATTGGGTCAAGCTGGCTGGGGCTGATGGGAGCTGGAGTCAAACAACATCAGGAGGAGCACAGGTTCTCCACCTACACAGCATCTTATGGGATTGAGGGAAGAGAAGCTTACCAAATCTCGGTCCTCCATGACACGAGGGGGTCTGGCAGGGGTGGCTGGGCTGGTGCCTTTCAACCGCTTGTACTGGGTAAACAAAATATTCATTGTTGCAAGGAGGACCTCTGACAGATTGTGTCTGATCTGTGAAAACAAGGAAAATAAAATGCAAAAAGGAATGAAAGACAAGGCAGGAAGCCAAGGGTCAATTTGTGCCCCACAGGTAGTCAAACCGGGTATTGAACTTTCTTGATACACCACATTCAATCAACAAGGCTTGAGAAAACTAGACACACAGGAATATACTTATGTGATTAATGGACAGTTTCCCAGCTTTCCCTGTGCAAATTGCAAAAGATCTGGGACATGCTGGGGTGCAGATGCAGTTTATGTCGGGTACAGGGTAGGTCTATTGCAGCTCACTTCTGCCCTCTGTAGATCCTTTCCAGTTAACACACCAAGGGTGAACTGAACATGCCCTTGTGGAGGCATCCAACACCCTCCTGCAGATTCATCTTGCATGGGGAGACTGGCAGGGAGGGGCAAGATGTCTTTTGGGGAATCTTATCTATCATCCCTGATCTTTGCATTGGGGAACCCCAGACAAGCTTCTGGGAAATCCTGGTGTGCCCTGGAACAGAGTCTGAAGAATAGTTAAGATAAATGATAAACTAAGGAATAAGAATTTTAAAGCATTCTTGTAAACTAAGAATTGCTGCACAAGTAGATGATAGAAATCAAGTGCTGATACTATAGAATTCCAGAAATAAACCTTGGATTAAATAAAGTTGGGGTAAAATTGGATGTGTTCATCTTTCTTTTTCTTTTTTAAAAAAGGTCAAGAAGAAAGCACACTTCATTCACTCACTAATCATCAAGGAATGAGAAGCAGGAAATTCATCTTTTCACTGAAGGGTGAGAGTTTTGAGCCAGGATTAGTGTACTGATCAAGAGCTGAGTCCCACAATGCCAAATTGCTGTGTTGGTTTTTGTGACCAAGCAGCCCAGAGGCAACTGATGAATGATAAGCAGCTTTTGGCTGAAAGCTGACAAAATGGATGACTCTGGAAATCAATATGTTCTGAGGCTAGAAGCCAAAAACAAAACAACCCCTCTCCACTGCCCCTGGCTGCCATTCATCCATCCAGTCTTTTGATTTCCAAGTTCACTTTGCAGCATGAACCAATTACCTTATCGACAAGCCCTCTTTAAGATGTGTTTGAAAGATTGGAGGTAACTTTCGATTCCACCTCTTTAAGCAAGAGGAAGAGATTTGCCACCCACCCCAACAATATTACTATTGACAGAAAGGCATCAGGATGTTATCAGTCCCATTTAGGCTGTGTTTTGCAGGAGGCTCAACCTGACAACAAAACAAATATTTCCCTTTAAAAAAAGAGAATTCCATAATAAATTGACACAGGAACAGAATCAATATATGGGGACTGAGGTTCCCCAAACCAGTATCATGCTGGGACATCAGATTTCAAACATAAACGCAGAGTGCAAACAGAGCTTGTTCACATCTTTGACCCAAAACAAATGCTCTGGCATGAAAGTAACTACACAAGTAAGGCAGCTCTTCCCCTTTCTCTCTTTGGTGCTGGGAAATGAGGATCAGCATGCAGAGCATTTCATGGCACTGAAGGGGAAAGGGGGAACCCATTCCCTGCTTGGGGACTCCACAACAGCAAGACCTCCTGCCACTCTGAAACACAGCAATTATGTTTTGGAGGGGAATGATTCCACCTCTCTCAAGGTGGCAGAAGAAGCTAAGTTACAGCATCTCCAGGAGAGTTTTTCCTACTTCCAGCTAAATACACGTGAGCTTCAATTTGGAATCAATGTTTTGGGACCTGCAGCAGCTTCCTGTCAGGTGTGGCACCACATAAGGAGGATCACAGAGAATGACACTGGCATGGGTGAAGCCCCCCCCTTACACTCGCTGATCCTCAGTGCCAGGAACTATGCAGCGTCTGTTGGATTGCACACTTGTTCTTGTCAGTGGCACTGGCGGAGAAGGGGAAGGAAGATGCATCCTGAGAATAGGAAAGGGATCCCCCAAGCACAGCCTCTGCAGGTCCCCATGGCAGAGGTGCCTGGATGTGCGCAACTCATGGAAGAAAAGGGGAAGGACCAAACAGCCGTGGATTGCTTACTTCATCACTGAAATTCCTGAAGGCTGCTACTCTTTCCTCCACATATTCTTGACTCAGGGGGACCAGTTTCAGCTGCTCCATGATCTGTAACGAAAGCACAGGAGTAACAATGGACTGTCATGAAGGGAGATGACAATTTGCAGGCAGTTTGTGTGTGCAATATCTTTTTCTGTGTTCAGTCACTTTTCCTTACACACACACACACGCTATTCTTTTGCACTGAGTGCATAGTTTAATTTAAGCTCTGAACCAAACTTCTGTATGTACCCTAGTATATACCTTGTGAGCGCATACTAATTGGCAAGTTTTAGCATATAACAGGTCTTTAAACTATGCAAATCTACCACCAGAAATACTGTGCTAAGGACCACTTAGTTGTCCTCTTTATTGGGCCTAAGATCAGGAAAATTCTCTCATTTAAGTTCCTGGTGATCATCAGAAAAGCAGCACTTCATAGAGACTGCACTGTTGCTACATCAATGCATTGTTAATCTTTAAAAGGTGTTCAAGGAAATCCCTGAGGATTCCCCACCCCCCAAATGCAAAACAAAGAGCATTCATAGCGCAAGGTGGAGTATTGAACAGTGATCATTTTATCCAGTGATAAAGCAGCCTTCTTCAATGGCCAGGCTGGCTGAAGCTGATAGGAGCTGCAGTCCAAAACACCTGAAAGGCACTAAGTAGGGAAGGCACAACAGTCTGAACCACTTCAGGGGAATCGGACTGAAACACTCCATCATGAAAAACCATTTCCTGTAGCACAGAGCAAACTAGCACACTATGGAGAAAGGGGAAGAGATGGAATCCATCTTTTTCTCAGCTAGGAGTTTGTTTCTTATTTTCAATATAGAAAAAGCATTAAAATACGTGTCACCTTCAATTCCACCTGCTATCTGCAGTTGAACAGACCCAGATCAGCTTTACCTACTTGACTACGGTTTGTGATAACCAGGTGGCTTTTTTTTTTAAAGGATTAAACCAAATTCATGGAAGACCATGTCTTTAAAAGGAGCTAGACATGACAGCCAAAAACAGAATCTCCATATTCCAAGAAAGTATACCTTCGTATATAAAGCACCAGAGATTGTTAGGAGTGGAAAGGACTAGAACCAGGAGCATTCAGATCAGTGCTGACACCTGAGACTGTAGTTCAGAAGGATTTGCGGGCTGTGATGCCTGCTCAGATGCTGGAGAGAGTACATCCATCCAGGTAGCTCATTGGTTACCTCTGACCTGGTAGCATTTTAACAACTTTCAGGTCAGGCTTCACAACCGTCAGCCGTAAGTACATTTGCCAGCATTGGCTCTATGCTTGTAAGGCATGGATGGGAACTCCAACTCCCACCAACCCCAGCTGGCCTGGCCAATGGTCAGGGCTGATGGGAGATGAAGTCCAGCAACAGATTCCCCACAACCTGCTGTAAGGGCTTGCTCTCTTGCCTGCTTCATGCTCACTGGATTTTCCCAGAGGTCCCAGTCCTGGAGTTCCATGCCCCTTTATTTCTACTACACCAGCTTTCTTGGGCTACATAAGCACAGGACCACAAGAAAAGCAATCAGGAGGCAGTGCCATCTCCATCATGCCTTGTTTGTGAGTGTCCAAGGCTATTTACATATTCCTTGTTGGGCTCGTGAAACTGCAGATCCCAGTAGCTTTATCTTCTCAAACAAAAAACTTGAAACTTACATCGAAGGCCCTGTCAATGTGACCAGCATGATATTCATCAAAAAAGGTGATGAGGTCTAACAGGAGGTAGAATGTGGAGTCAATGGGTTTCTTTGTACTTATTCCCTGTGCTTTATATCTGAAAAAAACCAAACCAAAACAAGTCACATCCAATCTGAGAAAAGGCTGCAGTACTATATGTGTGCAACACTTGCTAACTACAGGCAGCTGAGCTTTCAGGAAAGGACATTTCCCCTAGAATGAGTATATTTTGCATTTACATAGTGGTTCAAACTAATTCCCACACATTCTCTCAGCAATTTGCCCAGCAACCCTGTAAGGACGGTTAATCTTGTTCTCTCCATACTGCAGCCTGCAGGGAGGAACTGAGGCTGAAATTACAGAACTGCCCAGGGGCCAACCAGTGACTTCATGGCTTCAAGCTGACAGGAGGGCCAAGGAGTTCTAGTCTCTCTGCTGCTGGATTCACTGGCCCTAGGCTGGAGCTGTGCCATGCACACACCCTTCTGCAACACCCTTGCTCAGTGAGTTACCTGCTTGGGGACTGCAGATCAACTCACAACCATGGTGGAGAAAACTAGAGTTGCCACCCTACCCAGCTGATTCAAGGGAGGGAGAAACACATGAAGTTACTTTATGCCAGATCTATCTTGGTACTGACTCTTTCACATCACCTGCTTTCTGACTTTTTTTTTTAAGCTGGAAATGTAGAATTTGCGATCTACTGCATGCAACACATGTGGAAGATAACTTTGGACTGCCCCTGCTTTGAGCTGATGGCAATGGAGTGGGCAAGGGGACAGAGGGGCACAGCAACTCTATGGGGAGCAGGCAGGATCAGAACTTGACAGGGAGCTCCTTCCACCAGAAGGGGTGAAACTTAGCTTGATTTGCATGCCTGTTGGTGAAATAAATGGGAGGAGCCAGGACACTGAAGAAGAACACAGGCTTTCCGCAGCTTGTGTGGGAACCTCCTCCTCTGTGGGTAGGTTCTATGGACTGACAAAAGTCTTTAATTCATTCATTCATTACAGAACGGAGTTGGAGAATTACTGAATTAAGTATAAAACTGTTCAGATTATATTTCTAGATTCACTCTCCTGTGGACTTTCTCCTCTCCAGTTTTGATAATGGCATAAATTCACACACACATATAACACATTCACACACACACACACACACACACGGCGAGTGTGCAGGATTGAATGCTGAAAATGCACAGCAACAAAAAGCAGTGTGGGACACATCCAAGCCATGTGTCTTTTCAACAAACTCATCATTAAAGGTATTTCTCAAGCTACAGTGACCATGGCCATGAAACTCAGTTCCCCTCCTGGAGGCTGTTCTCTCACCTCTCAGCAATGGAATGTGCCATATTCTTCAGCCTCTCCTTGTTTGACTGAGGAGCGCTGATCTGAGGGACCACGGGACTCAGCAACTTGTTCATCAACTCAAGCACTTTGTCTGGATTCTGAGGAAAGTGCAAACAGGGAAGAAAAGAACTGTAGAGCCCCGAGACAAGAAGATGCATTTCAAAGATACAGAACCAAGGGAGGCCAGGGTAGGGGTAGGGGGCAGGGGGAGACTTTTTTTGGTAAAATGTAGAAACTCCCAAGAAAAACTGAGATCTTCAGCAGCAAAAGCAATGTATGAGAACATGGAAGAAGTCTTAAGAAATACATTTGGGTTGTGGTAGGGGTGGAACCTGTGGCCCTCCTGTGGTGGAGAGGAAGATGTATGTGTGTGTGCATGTGTGTGATAGAAATGGAAGAGAGAAATGAGGGCCCTCTATTTTGGATTCCAGTCCTCCCTCTGCCCCAATGACAGCATGTGACTCCCAATAGATTAGCCCTGACTATGCAACTTTCTTGGGTTCTTGGCTCCTGATCTACGGCATCATCCATGCCATGTGGAGGGAGTGGAGGAATAGCACAGGAGTAGTAGTACTGCTCTGCTCCCTGAGAGCCTCCACTTTCTCTAAAAAATAAACAAACAAATGTAGTTTCTTGTCCTTTTCTCATCCTAGGTCTGGTGAAGTCTCAGAAAACAGAGAAGCAGCTGAGTGGGAATTTCAATGGCTGGGGCTTCAGTGCCCTTGTCCCTCTCATCTCAAGCAAAACCAAAAACAACTATGCCAAAACAGCATAGGAAAAATCTATAACTGATACAGGTCACAAACTCCAGCTCATGTTTGCACAGCATCTGGACTGTGCAAAAATTTGTTTTATTTTCAGCACACAGTTGAGGCTGGAGTCCAAAGAGCTGCTTTGACTCACCCGAGGGACTTCTACTAACCCAGTGGCACTTTTGACCTTCTTTCCATTGAGCAGCTAATCCAGCTTCAAAGGCAGTTTGGCATATGAAATTGGGAGGGGTGCCGATGTTGGAGGAAAAACAGATCTAAATAAAACCCCTTTGAGCTGACACTGTTCCAATAATTTTCCTGTAGTGCTCTGATAACTGTTGTGTGTTGCTCTGCTATTCTTCAATCTGACATGGCTAAACTGCTAATTAGTTGATAACTTTCACATTGCCATTACTAACTAGATATTACTATCTGGTGGTCCAATCCTGTGAACCTTTCTACAAAGATTAACTATTCAGAGTGGTGCACAGAAGGAATCCTGAAAGGCCAGATAAAACAAAGGCCAGAAACATACAGGGCCAGATAACTAAAGAAAAAAAATAAGCATACTTTGATTCAGAGGCTGCAGCTGGCCCTAGTGTTGTAAATTCAGGTCACATTTCCAGAGTCCACAATGCCTCCTAGCTAATCCCTACTGATCTAAAAATTAAACGAGCTTCTTGGCCAGCAGTGATGAAAACCTGCTTACCTTGGCAAGGTCATAAAGTTTGGCAGCTTCTTCAAAGAGACCTTTACTTTCTGCCACTGAAGCAACTTTATTAATAAGTGGTTTGGTGTCTCTAGTAAACTTATCAATCACTCCAGGCTGATGAAAGAATACAAATAAAGAAGGGAGATAAAATACTTGGACAACAGAAATACTATAAACTTTTAGATGAGTCTTATTCAACTGGCAACAACATTTTTGTATTCAAGATTATGGCTAATTTTATTTGTAAATTATCTCTGGGAAAATATAGAGATTCCTTCCTCACCCCTTGCCTTCCATCCTTCCCCCCCTTTATTCTTATTTATGGATTTTAAAGGTACATATAAATACACAATTTTGTGTCTAGATTCAGATGGTAATCTAAATCTGTTAACAATCTTGTGGCGGCGAGTTTCTCAGTATCAGAAAGCAAATGCCATTGCCTTTCCTCCCTTCCTGATTCTAAAATCACTCTTTGGTCTCTGCCTGCGGGGGCTACAGGGCAAGGTGGAATTATGGCCATTGTAGGGACAGAATATGTTGGCACTATTTGATTTAAGTTACCGTCAGGCCCTTTGAGTAAGTCTCTAAGGTTAGGAGAACCATAGCTGGGAACCATAATACACACACACACACACACACACACACACACACCCCTACCTCCCTCACATTTTTCCCTGGTGGGATATCAGAAGATTGAGGAGGAAGGGCTTTCTCTTGATCTGCCCCTTCATACTAGTTTTCTTTTCCCTTCACTAATAGGAGGTGGAGGGGTATCTGAAAAGCCTGAAGGAACACACCTGTCCTTTTTCTGGGTTTAGTTCCCTAACCTGTGCTAATTGTTTCTTTCTATCATCCTGTAATGCTGAGCTGTCTGAATAATCTCCTGCGTATTTATCTGAGGCACAAAAAGCTGCTTATTTGGGTGGCTAAAGACCAGCACAGACTGTAGGCCTTGGAAACTTTGGGAATTATGACACCCACTGTAACTGCTGTTGAGGTTAACCGGGACAGATTTGAAACTGCAGTTTAGAACCTGGGTTAAGAAGAACCCTGGTTTACCATAACCGTGTTTAAGTTTCAGAAATTAATTTCAATACTGAAAAACCAACAGGGAACCTGCAAAAACAATAATTACAGCCAGCAATCAAATAGTAGTGGGGGTGGGGTGGTGAAACATTATATATGAACTTACTTTTCTACTGCCATCATTCTCCAGCTTTCCAAGAATCATATCAAACTACCGATGAAAAGGAAAAACAAAATAAAGTTAGGAGGGTGTGCTAACACTCTGGGGGATGACTGCAATATTGTGATTTAAGGATTTAACACCCCTGGTGATGGGGTTCCACTGCTGCACTGGAAGAAGGGTGATTTCCACCCTAAACTAAGGAAGGAAAAGGTGCAACTGGAACCTGGCTTACCTCTCTGCTCTCAATCACTAGTTCGCTCACACAGCGCAAGAACATGTTGTCCCCTTGGCTGTCCTTCTCATTCCTGCAAAAGAAGAGCAGAAAGGAAGAAAAGCACTGCAGTTTGACTGCTTCCTGCTATGCTTTTAACACAGCAGCTGTTAAAAAAACACCCCAGCCTTCAAGCTGCTGCTACAGGAGCCCACCTGAGAAAGTAGAAGTACTGCAGGGCTTCTCGAGGGTCAGTGGACTCAAACTTGCGGGTGTAGAGCATCAGCAGGCGGACAAAATTCAAGCGTCTGATGGCTGGAGGGTCACCTGCCTCATGGCTTACTGAAAAGTGAAGGGACAGGAAGATGAATCTCTCTTTTCCCCCAAGCAAGGCAACATTCATATGAAAGATGTTCATTATGTCTGCAGGGATTAACCACAGGCAAGCACTTTGAATAAAGGAACTTTATCAAAGGGCTGGACCACCAAGTGCAAAAATTGTAGAGCTGGAAAATGTTCTGAAGAGGACAACCAAAAATCACTGCAGGGTTGGAACAATAAGGTAAAGGATAAAAGTGAAGGACCCCTGGACGGCTGAGTCCAGTCAAACTTGACTATGGGGTGCAGCGCTCATCTCGCTTCAGGTCGAAGGAGCCAATGTTCGTTCGCAGACAGCTTTCCGGGTCATGTGGCCAGCATGGCTAAATGGCTTCTGGTGCAACGGGACACTGTGAGAAGTGCCAGACAACATGGAAACGCCGTTTACCTTGGAACAATACTCCTATGAGGAAAGGTTCCTGTATTTGGTGGCTTTTGGCATAGAAAAATGGTGAGGAGGGGCTGGGTAGGGGACACGATAGCGGAGTATAACATCATAAAGGATGTAGAGAAAGTGGACAGATGATCCAATAAAGCTGAATATTGGAAGACTCGTTACAGGTAAAAGGAAGCATTTCTTCACCCAGAGCATTTGGAACTTGCTGCCATAAGACGTAGTGATGGCCAGCAACCTGGACACTTTTAACAAGGGATTAGATAAATGCATGGAGAATAAAGCTACCAATGGCCAGTAGTCATGACTGCTGTGTTCTAATGCCAGTGCCAAAGGCAGTAAATGCCTCTGAATAATGGCTGCTGGGGATTACGTGTGGAAACTGCTGTTGCGCACATATACTGATTGTAGGTTTCCCTGAAGCATTTATCTGGTTGGTCACTGAGAGAACCGAGCTATGTCCCTTCTCTAACCAGGTTAGGTCCAAAAGATCTTCATTTCATTGATCTGGGCACAATTTCTCATTTGCAATCAAGCAATTAATCCATTTTTTTTAAGCTAACATTTTTTTTTACAAATTTCTGCCCTATTGCAGTCTCCTGCTCTGATGGTTTCTTTTATATTCTGTGCAGGATACGAATGAGATGGGGAAAGGACAGGATAAACACAATCCAGACTCACAAAGCTGTGCGCTCTGCCCAGAAGATTTCAGGAGCAGCTTTAGTTCAAAGAGGACCAAGGCAACATGAACGGCGTGGCAGCGCAGGCGCTCTGTGCGGAAGAGGAAAGCAATGGCAGCTTCAAACTGGGCCGTCAGAAACAACACTTGGAAGTAGAGAAATGGCTGCTGGTTCACTGCAAAATGTGACTCGCCTGAAGAAAGACACAAGAATGAAGGGTTAGGTATTTTCACAGCTAGCATGGATGGGGCCTAACACAGCACACTGGCGTGTTTTAATCAGGGGAAGCTGAAGGAAACTACGGTAGTCACAAAATAAAACATTGTTTGCATTGCACCAAATCGACCTATGATTATTTAGAGAAAAGTTAAAATAAAAAGTAAAGTAGCAGAGGAAGCAATATTATGTATTGCTTAACCCCCCCCCCCGCCTGAAAATGTTCAAGGTGGTTGACCGTTTATAAAATTATAAACATTTATTAAAACAATACAAGTAATGTCAGATTCACATGCCAGTAATTCAAGTCATGAATTACCAATTTCTCAGGCACCCTTAACTATTTAAGTTGGCTTGTCCACCTTTTAAATGGTTATAACTCAATGTTTCTCAAACTTGTCTCCAGCTGTTGTTGGACTACATCTCCCATCATCCCTAGCCAGCAGGACCAGTGGTCAAAGATGATGGGAGTTCTAACTCAAGGTCTCGACTTTTTGCACTGCCTTTATTTTACAAAAACTACCAGGCGTGCATACATATACAGAACTTCAAATATCACTCACTCACAGTCTCTGGGTTAACTTACCATAATCTTCAAGCAATTGCTTCTGGAACTGAGACAATGTCAGCCTGTCTTGGGGAGAGTTGGAGCCATCATCATCAAAGCACACCTGGTTCAGCTACACACAAGAGGGAGAAAGTGATGCTAAGGCTTTCCTTGCATGCAACAAAAAGCTTCTCTTCAAAAGTCAAACAAGTGAAAAGCAAACAAAGGTTGCCACCAATCAAAATAAAATCAGGTAAACCATCTATGCGAACAAAATGTGCAAGTGATCCTGAATCTGAGAGGCACAGCCACATATTCTACCTCATCCATGGGTTTGCAAGATAGCTTTGGGCAAGTGACTTCTCTCTCAGCCTCAGTTTTCCACATCCTAACAAGACGACTAGACAGGCCAGCCTTTTTTAGGCTTCTGCTGAGACAACAGTGTGTTAAGCAGGGATGGGGAACCTGTGGCCATCCAAATGTTGCTGGACTACAATTCCCATAACCCCTGATTATTGGCCATGCTGGCTAAGGCTGATGGGAGTTGGAGTCCAACATCATCTTGGAGTGGGGAGGGGGGCACAGATTCCCCATCCCTGTTATACAGGGAAACGCTCCCAATAATCCTCTGTTCACATTCCTGATATGACTCTGCCTTTGCCTGATGAGACCCTAATTTGAAAGGTCCTGGGCTTCCTCCCTGAGTCTCACGTCCAGCTGGAACAAGACACTTGGTCTGATGTTGAAAGCCTTTATTTTGAAAATGACAATGGCACCACTATTTTGCCTGGGAAGATTGTGTTAATACCTTACAGATCATATCTGGAAATAATTTAGCCCGGGACTGGATCTTCACCAGTTCTTTTATTTATAGATCTGCTTGTATCCTGATTCTTCCAGCGTAAATCAGACCCTCTGAACACCTAATACAGGCATACTCAAACTTGGCCCTCCAGATGTTTTGAGACTACAACTCCCATCATCCCTGACCACTGGTCCTGTTAGCAAGGGATGATGGGAGATGTAGTCCCAAAACATCTGGAGGACCGAGTTTGCCTATGCCTGACCTAATACAACACATCTAAGTGGAAAGTAAAATCTAACACAATTTATCAACAAATAAACTTCAGCAGAAGGAAAGAAAAACCCTCAAAGTGAACAAAAAATATCAAAATTCGGAAAGAAGCACATCAGAAGTCAGAAAAAGCACACCTAAACAAGGCTGTTTTGACCTGCTCCCCAAATGCATAGAGTGAAGAAGACTCCCCTGGAGAACTGGCAACACAGCAGGCCACAGTTCTCATAATCCTTTGCAACTCACTGGTGGGAGCTGGGATACATAAGAGGGTATTCTCCAGAGGAAGGCAGTGTTCAAATGAGGGGGGAATTGGAAGTATAGTGAGCAGTGCTATCTCTAAAACTTTGAAGGGAAGCCACCGTTACCTTTAGCCAAAGATAATCTTCTGTTTTATCAGCAACTTCACTGTGGTTATCGGCAATGTCGCAGCATCCTATGATACAGTAAACCGCTCTTTTGTAAGGGTCGGTGTTGTTTCTCAGGGCTCGTCTGTAGTGGAGGCGAACTTTGTTCTCGGTGGCAGGAGACAATCTACAATAAAAGAAAGACAAGTTATTAAATGGAGCTGTGGCCCAGCTTACAGCCCGCAATAAGACAGGCCCCTCCTACCAGTGCGCCAGTTGATCGACCCACACTGGCCCTGTGTGTGTTGCTCACATCCAACACTGGGTGCAATGTAGGTGTAAGGAGCCCAGCAGAGCAACAAAAGCAACAGCTTTGTATCCACGAACTTAAAGCACTGAACTTGCCACATGCAACTAAAAATGGGCAATGTTAACATCAGCCTTTCCAGCCGAGAAGACATGTGTCAATTCATAAGGGTTTACTAGTTCAAGCAAAAACCTTAGGAGGATAGATTGATAAGCTCCCAGCTCCCTTGAAATTCTATGATGCACTTCAAAGTAGACTCCCTGACCCATCCCACACACTTTCTTGGCCTCTTTTTGAGACATCCCAGTACCTTCTATCTTTGCTGTGCATGTATTCCTGGAACCAACTTTTAAATTCTCCCAACTGGTGCTGAGCTCGATTCACCACTTGCAAGGCTGCCATTAAGTCGCCACATCGCATGCAGTAGTAAATTATTGCCCAAACAGGGTGACCTTCTACTTCCCCATCCTAAAGAAAACAGATAAATGGTAAAAACAGAGAGGAAACCTTTCTTGATGTTGTGATTATGGTCCAGTTCCCACAGGTGAGAAACCTATGTTTGGGGTGTCCTGCTTCAGGCTGCAGGTAATGACTGAATGCTCTTCCACACAAAACAATCCCCTGTGCATGGATAGCCTTGCTTCATTCCTGACATGCTAGATTTCTACATGCAAGATATTCCTTTGTACATTCATGGAAGCATCTTTAATTTAACTGAGCCTACCAGGAATGGCAGCGAGGGAGGGAATTTTAGCAGATTTCAGGCCCATCTGTACACAAAGTGTAGATGACATGGTGCCCTCCAGATGTTCCGGGGCAACCCAGTCAGATGGCCGGGGAACAAATAATAATAATAATAATAATAATAATAATAATAATAATAATAATTTTCAGCTAGCAATGTCAATAGTGAAGGATGAGGGAATTTGGAATCCAAAATACCTGGAGGAAACCATGATAGCTACCCTTGCACATATACACATATCCGCCACAACAGACACACAATCTGTTCTGGAGGGCTGGGGGATGCTGTGGAACAGTCTGGAAGGTGGCAAAGGGGGCTGCAGAAGGAAGCAGTGAAAATTGCCTCTCCCACTCACTGAAACTTCTGCTAGATTCAGATATCCTTGCTGTTCACAGAACACCACTGAATACAACCCATATTATTTTCTTTTTTTAAAAAATTAACTAGCCACAGCCCTTCCCCATAACCAACTGCAAAGAATTACCTTTCTCATGCTCTGTTCTTGGCATACATGACAACCCCCTACCCAGCCCCCAAATTTATGCATGGGTTAAGAGATCCAGAATGATCTGAATAGTTGAATACAGTCATGGCAGAACACCTTGGCCGTGGAGATACCTACCTGGAGTCCTGGGACAGACACTGGGAGTTTGATGTTCAGGAAACTGCGGACTAGCTGGTAGGTTCCAGGTACCCCTCCCAGTTGGGCTTGGTGCAAGTTTCCAAAGACTGTCACTAACGTGTAGTTCTTGTAACTGTAAGGAACCATCCATTTCTGAATCATAATTCGTCTCACACAGTTGCATGTTTACTTAACATACTTAACATAGTTTTAAAGAAGTATTTAAATATAAGCTTACATTTCCCACCTTAATGAGCTACGCCAGGTGATGGATTCCACTCAGCTTTATGGTGAGTATACAAACCACAGGAATAGCATTTGAGAGGGGATTGTGCTGCACAACTTAGCTGTCCCCAACCTGTTCCTTTAAGACTGTTCTCTCTCCCTAGCCCTCCATTTTCTGCAAATGAAACAGTCATGTCCCAGAGTTCGAATAATGTTGCTCTTTTCACCAGGGTGGCTTATTTCCAGTTTATGGCCATCTTGAGTGTTTCCCATCTCTGTCCTGGGACTGCACTGGGATCGCCTGGTTAATCCTGATGGTTAAACTCCTAACAGCAGGCTGTCGTTACACAGTCCTGTGACCCTAATCACACTAGCCCATCAATGAGATTATTCCATATTTGAGGTTTCCAGAAGCCTTTTTATAAGCAGCTAAAATAGGCTAGCTACAATTGGATTGAACCGTTTCTTTTGTTTCAATGTTCTGTTCTGAAAAGTATGTCACCCTGGTCTTGGGGAATAGAGAGGTACATGAGGTGCTATCCCCTGCTCCCTGCTGTGGTTATTTCTTTGGGGTCTCCAGAGGTCACTCCTCTCTGGAGTCAGAGAGTGACAAAGGGGTGTGGTGACAGCTACATGAGTGCATTGAGCACGGCTATAGTTTACCCAGCTTGGCTGTTGGGGGAAGGACATGAGTGAAAGGTTCATCCCTTCCACCCATTAAAGGGATCCCAGTTCCAGTCAGCTTCCTTGCATGCTGGAAGATTCCACCACCCACCCACCCAGGATCAGATATTGCAACCATGTTCCATTGTTCCAAGTCTGGTTTCTTTGGTACTGAGGTGGCAACGCTTATAGAGGACACTTGGGGTATGAAAGCACAACATGTGAAGGACAGATCAGAAAAAACAGTTACATGTATACATCTTCCTTGCATTGCATTTTCAGTTAATATATGAATGGGTGGTAGATCTTTCGGAAGCACTATTACATCTGTAGGCATCTGTAACAACAAATGAAAGCTCCTGAGTTCTAACTATTTTGCTGCACTACCTTTGCTCGAGGTACTGGAGGGCCTGCTTGACAAACTCCATCTGCACTTCCATGCTTGTCCGGACCTTCAGTGCATCACTTGCAGGAACCAGCAAAACATCAGTCATTTGCTTCACCATAGCCCACAAGTCAGAAATGTTCTGCAAAACAACCAACCAAACAAACAGGTCAAATGACTAGAAGCTACCACTAAAAGAAGCTGCATCCTTATCTTCATGAGAATGGCATTTTAAATGGACAGGGTACATGGTAACGGTTCACAGGAACACTGTTGCTGACAGTACTAACTATCCTCACTTTTCTAAGATAGTAGTCTTCAATGTTTTCACTCGTCTGAGGACATATTGCTTTATTGTTGCCATGTCTGTACATATGATGCTAGTGGTAGTGATGTGACCCACCTTAGATCAGGCCACAACCTGGTAGTGGGCCCTCACCCATGAGTTGAAGACCAATGCCCCAAGGCTACAACTGTATTATAAAGGCTTTAAAGCAGCTGAAATTAAGTTGTACTCTTATGGCCCATACCCCAGGGAATTCTCTCTCTCTCTCTCTATATATATGTATATATTGCTGGAAAAGGTTTCTCTACTGTGGGATGGACATGCAGCTTCCAGAAAGCCAGGTATTATATGTAGTGTCCATCGTTTCATAAGTTACAGTGTGATTAGTAGACCATATGACACTGGAGTCTGTTCAGTGTCCCCCAAAACAAGGGATGGAGTTCAATGCTGTGCTAACATGATCATTCCATCAGCGAAAGCATTTCTGCTTGCCTGGATGAATGATCTCCCCCACCCCTTGTGTTGTTCTGGGGGTTCTCCTGAACCTCCAGAGAAGATTTTGGGAAGAGGCATGGCGGTGAGCACTGTGGTGCTGGGGGCAGTCCTTTGCTGGCTTCTGCTAGTATACCAGGTTACTTGAATTTGGACCAAGATGCCTATTGCCACCAACCACTGCTGTACGCAAAAATGCCTGTATGCAGCAATCTATGGGCATATGGAAGAAGCAGCCAGTGTTTCCTTCATCACCAGGCTGCTCAGCTCAGTTGAGCACAAGCAGAGCATCTCCTTATGCTCACTTCACAGGCAGTACCTTATCATCCAACTCTGCTACAGAAGCACACAGATCCACCAAGTTGGGTTGCAGGTATCCATTCACAATCTTCTCGTTATAAACATATATCTGAAAACAAACAGAGTAAGCAGCTTCCTAGCACAAGTACCCCTTCCCCCAGTGCTTTCTCCCTCCAACCCCTTCCCTCCCTGCTAACCACAGAAGAATCTGAAACAAGCCTCCACATCACATGGTCTTGGGGGAGTGCTCCTGCCAGCAAGTGCCCCCGTTTCATTGCCTCGCAGCAATGGTGCACCAGGGGATACAGAGGAATACAAAATGTTCTGCCACATTTATTCTAAAGCCCCAGGCAGGCCTCAGGGTCGGGAGCAAGGCAGGATTTCTCACTGTTCCACGTGGCATATCTCTAAGGACAACATAGGAGGATCATATGTTGGCAGGTATGTATGGGATTTTAAAGTACATGCTCACATGGTGACACAATGGCCATATCTGCTTAAGTCCAGGTTGCTGACTCAGTGTGGTTCATGTGGAACAAGCTTTGTGCTGCTACATGATGCTCGATTGCTCCCACTACACTCCTCATGTGTGGAAGAATGCAAGGGCTGTAGCTCAGTGGCAGAGCGCTTGCCTTGCATGCAGACGTTCCCAGGTTCAATCCCTGGCACCTTCAGGGGCGGCTGAGGAAAGTCTGAAGCCCTGGAGAGCCACTGCCAGTCAGTGGAGACAACACTGAGCTTCATGGACAGGTGTCTGATTCTGTTTCCTATAATTCTGTTTTCTATGTCCTGTACTTTCTGGTAAACCAATGTGTTGCATCAGTCAGTATGTCTTTTGGTTCTCTTGGTCTGATCCACTCAAATCCAATCTGCTTCACACCACTGCTTTTATATCTGGTGTCAAATACCATTTTTAAAATGTCTGTGTTTGTTTCATGTCACTCAAGAGGATCAGCCTCTGAGGAGCTGGCCTCTAAGCCTGACTGTGGGCCTAACTGGGAGTTTCAGGTAACATAGCTGAGATACTGAGGTTTCTAATTTACTCACTTGTCGAGCGTAGGCCATCTCAATGTTGTCCAAAGAACTACGAACTGGTGGTGGTAGCTCACTGATGTAACTGGGCTGTTGGAAGAAAATGAAAATGCTGGTCAGAGTATTTGACACAAATTCATTTAGCAATTGGGTGGCACTTTTATGCCAATACCAAAACTTCGAGAATCCCACCAGAGCATGAAGCTGCTGGGCAAGAGGCTTTTGCTGTAGCAAATTCCCCACAGCTGTGCATCCATCTCTCTCTTCCTGTTCTTTATCTCCCTGCAACCCTTTAGAAGCAACCTGGGGACACATTTACAGGACCCACTTCTGGTTGCCCTGCCACAGTGAGGTATTTTATTGCAGTGCCATAAGCACCAACTGGCTAAGTGGCCTGTGGGCATGAAAAGAACCCCTGGAAAGACGTATGTCCTTCAATATCAAAATCTTGACATATGCCACTACCAACCCCCTCCCCCAATGCTCTTCCCCCACCCTTGTCTCTTAACAAGAGAGCTTTCAAATTCATAACTGCCAGTCTGTATTTCTTTAAAATAATGGTACATACACAAAGAGAGATGGTATGACAATGAATAATGTCAAGTGTAGAGTCAGATTTAGGTTTTGTAATACTTAGAAGTGTTGGAAAATAAATCAATTAAGGGATAGCTGCCTCCCACTCAGCAAAGTTTCTTTGAACTCCACAAAGGCAGCTTCCTGCTATGTTGCTAAGAGAAATCCCTATCAGCATGACTTCCCTGGTTCAGTCTGCCTGTTTGGCAGTGCTGGGATCACCAAACTCGGTCAGGAGAACATTTTGTTTTGATGAGAAGACCCTGGTTTCTCTGGCATTCATTTCAGCATTCAAGACTATGCAACTTCAACCCTCGCATGACCCAAAGAAGGAAAAATCAGCTTGGTGTGTGAAAAAACCTGTTTTTATTTTGTGTAATCAATAAGTATGAAAGCAGGCAACATCTGCAACTAGCCATTTGGTGTGATAAAAGCATTTAAAATAATTGTCTTCTGTTTGCATGAGTCTCAAAAAAATGTGCAACATGCTTGGAAAGCACAGTCAGGCTTTATTGTCAAGTGTCATGGGCAGGCCCACTTTTTGGATTTCAGCGCAGGAAAATAAAACATGCACTTCTAATTCCCAGTGGACTTCTCCACCTTTACAAACAACTAGGCAGCACAGAAAGCTACTACAGTGGTACCTCAGGTTACAGACGCTTCAGGTTACAGAGTCCGCTAACCCAGAAATAGTACCTTGGGTTAAGAACTTCACTTCAGGATGAGAACAGAAATCGTGCGGTGGCAGTGCAGCAGGCCCCATTAGCTAAAGTGGTACCTCAGGTTAAGAACAGTTTCAGGTTAAGAACGGACCTCCGGAACAAATTAAGTTCTTAACCCGAGCTACCACTGTACTCAATTGTGCCTCTAGCCCTTCTGCATTTAGCTTCACTTGTTGCAAACTGCAGGCACCCAAAATCTGCATTATTCATACACACGTTCCAAAGCAAAAACCTTGGCAGCCATTCTGGCAAAGCTCCAGGTGGCTTGGCTATCTGCTGCAACATTGGGGGGGGGGAGGGGGGACTGCAACGCTGCCAGCACACTTGCCATCTTGGCTCTATCTTGAATCCAGAAAACCTGAAGAGATACAGGAGTTTAAAGAGACCTGGGGATATCGGAACTCTGACAGAGCAGCCATGCACTTTAGATGGTATAGAAGCAGGTTGTGTGACAGCTGCACTTTAAAATAAAAAGATGGGGGTGGGGAGATTCAGAAAGAACAGCAAGATGGCCAAAGGGTGTGGGGATGAGGGAGAGCAGAAGATCCCATTTGAACTGGAACCTTGGCCTGAGCACTCCTGGAATACACAGCTAAGCCAAACATGATCCATACTGTGTTTCCTTTGACCAGACACCATATGCCCTTCAGGGAACTGTGGAAACCACTAAAAGAGAATGTGTGTTCAGCTTTCTTTGAACCGTAAAACATCACTGACTAATTGGTCTTCTTTCCAGAAGCCTTTCTGTGCCTTTCAGCTGATTCTGCATATCCAGAGGTATCAATTAACTCTCTATTATATTCTAAGGATGGGGGTCTGCCTCTCGCTCGCTCACAATTTTTCTGAAATAGGATTTAAGTGCAGCATGAATTGGGAAAGTTAAGCAACTGGCTTTTAACGCAGCAGATGCTTGGCAAACCTCCCAGGCCTTTGACTTCAAGGCTGGGGGCAAAACATCGCATCAAGGGTTTCAAATGCTCTCGCAGCGACACACCAGTATTATATAGGCTCTGCAGGAGAGAGAAGAGCACTACAGAGCGATAAATCACATCCTGTCTTTTAACTGATTTGTGAAGTGTAATAGATGGATTATTTTTTTCTTCCTTTGAGATTTCAACATTTGTGATAAGGGCAGTCTACCACTTAACTCTAAGCTAGTCATCCTTTGTACCCACTGTTACCTGTTCAAAAGATGTTCCCAATGAAGGTAAACTCAATTTCAGATAAACCCCCAGAAGCTGTTGAATGCTTCCTGAACAACCTGCTAAGTCTGCAAGGCTCTGCTACTGAAGAGCAGTGAGTGAGTGATCACCCAGTTTCCAACATATTTTGTCTGCATCCCCCACAACTGAAAAATCTGGTAGCCCACTAAGTTTAATAAGTTGTCAGTAAAACATCTTCCACAGGGTATTTCCATAAAGAAAATGCTTCTGTGATTAGCACAGGCTTAAGAAAAAGAGATCCCAGCATCATTTCCAGATCACAATATGAAGCATAGGCAATTAACATGAGCAATTTGGAAAATGAACTTCAGGGTTCCACACGTTTCTACAATGAAGAACACTTTTAGATGCAATTAGGAAGTGGAGAGTTTGAGGAGGATCAAAAACATTTTTTAAAAACTACAGACACTGAAGACTGCAATTATGTGAAAGCACCGGGGGGGGGGGGGAGGAGACGCAGGAGGTAGTAGTGAGCAAGCTTAGATTTCATTTTAAAAGCGAGTTCCTTGATATCATGACTGTGAAGATATGCTTGAGAGTGTACAGGAAGAGAGTGAAATCTCAAAAGCCAGAGAGAATGAATAAATGAATGAAGGAATAAATAAATAAATAAATAATGATGATGATGCAGCTGCAAGAGAGCCCAAGAGATACCTCATTCTCTTGAGTGAAGTCCAAGGCATCTTCTCCTGAAGCAAGAAGTGTGTGAAGGATCCTTTGCTTCACCTGTTCCCATTCGACCAGCATTGATTCTCGGTGATACTCCTCAGCCATAGCAAAGGTCTAGGAAAAGCAAGATTAATGCAGAAAATACCGACCCAAGAGACCACCCTTCAGCAACCTGGTACGTTCCAGATGCTCTGGATTCCAGCTCCCATCAGCCCCAGCTGCATGACTGTGCCCAGAGGGCACCAGGGTGGCAGAAACTGCATCAAACCCACCCAGAACAGGACAAGCAACATTCATGTCAAGAACCAAGTAATACTACTACCCCCCCCAAAACTGCCCCTGCCCCATCCTGGTGAAAATGATGCCTTACGACCAAGGGTCAACATACTCTACTCACTCATCCCCAATCTCTAAATTATTGCAACCAGAATTATGTAATCATCATTTTATTCAGCTTCCTAAAACTAGTTTCTAATTAATTTGAAATATTTGTTCTAAAAGTGGGGAAGCATTAAAACTGGGAACTGAAAGGCTTCAGGGACAAAGAAAGAGAAATGGAGCTGATGCATTGGCAAGTAAATATTCTTGGGAAAATTAAGGTTTAAATGTCTGCACTGAGAAAATTTGTTTTTTATAGGAGAAAGAACTAGAACAAATGTATAGTGCTGAAATTTGAAGCTTTCAATCAACATTTTATGTGAACATTTAGCTTTACAAAAGTTGACTTCTGAGGACTGGGTGTGATCAGAAAAAAGACCCTTTCTAAAGGTATGCACTGAATCAGAACAAAGTTTTGAAGAACCAGATTAAATTCTATCACTCTGTCATTCTCTCCATTCTGGTACTATCAAAAAATGAAGTTGTTTCTAAATATCTTTCATTTTGGGATAAATCAAATGCAAAACAATATGGCTACTCTTGGTTTAAGTGAAGAATATTTGATTGTTCCGAGTGAATTGAAATTTAATCAGAAACAAAGACTTGAAGACATTACAAGCTACAGAATCACTTTGTGTCATCTTGTCTTGCACTCTCAAAATAGTTACCATAGATTTATTAAAATTATTTGTTATAATCTAAGCCACGTCTGCGTCCTGACCATCTGGTTAAGAACTACATTCTTGATGACTTGAAGTTTTAGTTGTGAATCAGTGTCCACATACACCACATACACCAGTTCACGGTGAATTATTTGCAGGCTCCAAATGGTTAGTGATTTACCAAATGTCTCGAAACTAAATATTTTGATTGCTTGCATTGCTTTTGTTCATTGTGTTACAGTAAACTACGACACTGTCAACTGCAATACAACATTAAATATGTCTTTCTAAACAGGCAGCCGTGTTTGACAAATATGTTTTGTCTGCATGCCCATATATAACTGAAGCATCATGTCCTCCTCTCTATTTTATTATTGCTACACTTTCATTGCAGGCTGCATCCGTTTTCCCAGCAACCAAGTTGGGCATTCTTTATGTCTATAATAGGATAGTAGCTTGTAAAAAGGCTGATTCATACTGGCCACAAATTTACAAGGGCTGGTCAGCTGGACATTACTGTCCCTCCATTTTAAAAGAGCAAAACTCCATTCTAAGGCAGTCAGACCTGCATTTATGTGGCATTGCCTTTGTTTAATTTTGCCTCACTCACCAGGAGTGTGTCTATGTGTGGGGGTTGTATATCAACCTGACCTTACGCCATATGGGCTCTCTCGTGTTATCACTATTCTTAAGTGATAAGAAGTTTGCTTCCCAGCAGAAGTGTGGTTACCTGGTGTTTCTTCTCTACAAGTGTTCTCAAAAGCACATATTTCCATTCACCTGTTACTCCGGAGACTGTCTGAATTGGTTTATATTCTCTCTAGAATGGGACATTACACCAAGATGAGCAAGATAGATGAGCTACCTTGGCTGGGACAAACAGGTGTATGTGTGTGCATCCGTATTCCAGTACAAAAGTCAGCTTTGTCCCCATGGTTTGGGTTTGTTTTGGGGTGTTTGGAGCACTGCATATCTGTAGTGGTGGTGATAGCTATGGAGAATCAGGCTTTGCTAAAAACATTAAAATGCAGAATGGGTTTTGAGTGTATGTTTTACTCCCATACAAATGCCAAAACAGAAGGTCAAAGAACACATTTTTTGCTGTTCAGCTGACTTCTGATTTGTCTTAAAACAGAAATTACAGTAAGACAACACAGGGGTTTATTTTGCTGTCAAATTAATGCCCTGAATATAGCGCTCAACTATAAGAGTGGAGCCAGTAATATTTTAAGACACCACCTCAACTAATATTTAAGACACATCTTTTCCTACAGGCATCTGGGGAAGATTTGAAAACCACTTCTTCAAGTGGTTTTGTTCTGCTGTTCTGTGGCTGTTTTATGATGTTTATTGGTTTTATGTAATGCCATCTTTTATTTATTTGTTTTTTAATTCATACTGACTTTGGCTGTATACTTCCCTTGGAACCTTCAGATTGAAGGGCGAGTTATAAATGGAATAAATAGATTAATAAATCTCTTATGGCCTGACGATACTTTATCATTTATTCATGGTTACAAACAATTACAAGGAAAGCTACAATTTCCAAGTGGTAGAACAGGAGCCCCCAGTTGGCCAAGAGAGCCTTGCTAAATTCCTGGCACTGTGATCTGCTTAGCATGCTGAGCAGGTAGAAGACCAAATGCCAGCATTAGCTGGGGCCTGATCTATTTTGGCTAATTACTACTAATGCTGGAAAATCAGTTATGCAACTGATTTCATTTCATTTTTCGACAACAGAAACATACAGCTTTCCCTTTCACCTGCACCCTGCCCTTTCAGTAGATGATGCTCAGTGCTGGATGTCGGCCAACATTTTGTAGATAAAGTTCAGAGTGTGGTGTTGGAGGCAAAATGCAGCTTAGAATTCTCAGCTTTCTTTTTTAAAAAAGCTTCCAGTTCTTGGGACTGCAAAGTTATGCCTGGAAGTGTACACATAATGCTGGCTGAAATGTCTGAAGTTTGTGGGGCTCTACAATCCTCACTATTTTCTCATTTCTTCAGGCGCAATTCAAGATCCTGATGCTCATTTCTAAAGCCCTGAATAAACTGGTGCCCACATACTTGAAAAAAGAGCACCTCTTTCTATATGTGCCAGCCTGCGCCTTACAAACAGGAGGGGAGGCTCTTGTGGTCTTACCTATTATGAGGTGATTCAAAATAGGGACTTTTCTGTGGTGCCACCCCATTTGCAGAAACAGCTCCCCCCTCCAATTTGGAGATGAATCAATCAGTCTCACCTAACCACCCAGATGTTTCAGCAATACTGATGTTTTGGTTGAACCATCGTTACTATTTTTCTCATACTGTACTGATATGGGAGTTGTTGACATTAGTTTAGTAGTTACTATTTTTATGTAAAACATTTTTATTGTTTTATTATTGCATTATGAACTGTCCTGTGATACTAAATGGATGAGGGTAGTCAACAAATGAATTAAATAACAAAAAAAATGTAGAGCAGTAGGAAAATGTATTAAAGTAGACACATGCATTAAATTACACACAAATGAGAGAAGTTAGACAAATAAGCTTGATTAGTATTAGTCACACACGTAAAAGTTTTCTTAATATAGGCTTTGGTTTGCCTATGTGCCAAATTGATGCCAATGGCACCAGACTTAGGATAGGGTGGATATTGTATGTTACAGAAGCATGCTGTTGGCCAGTCCCGGAAATAAACTGAGAAAAATCTATGCTTCCACATCTTCAAGAAAAACATAGCATTAAAAATAATAATCAGAGGCCATTACACATAAACTTGAATTTAATCACAGTGATTTCAAATCTTCATTTTGTGGTTTCTCACTATTATTATTACAGGGGATTTCAGAGGCAAACCAGTAAAATAAGGAAGAGCCTAACTCATGTTCACAGAGCACTAATGTATAACTCTTAGCTGAATGCATGTAATCTTAGCCCTACTCATGTAGCCAAATAAGGAATACTGTACACCATGGATGAGAGTGGGATACTGTGGCATTAGGGCCAGACACAAACTTTCCACTGACTCTTCTATGCACAGCCCATGCATATGGCACAAGAGCCAATCAACTCAGGAGCAGCAATCCCACTCCTCCACTCACTTTGGCTTTATTACAGAAAAGTATTTGTCTATACAGTTTATTCAATTCCAAGGTGTGAAGTCATTACTCTGAAAGGGTTTTAAAACTAGGCATGGGAGAGAGCTCTTGCACTTGTAGAGCAAAAGCAGGCAACAATGTCATGCTCTATTGAGCTGATGGGATTTGGAGCCCAACAACCTCAGGAGGAACCACACTAGCTACTCATGCTATGAAGAATAGTATAACCACAAATCTGTCACGTTGCAATGCCAATTAGAATGCAGAATTCTCTGAGATTCAGCCTCTCTACTGAAGAGGTGTTTCAATTTCAGGACATTTTCATATGCCCTTCTCCAACTTACCCGTTTTCTGGACTCTTCAATGGCAGATAGCAAAGCATTATCTTTTTCATTTTTTAGGAATCCCTGTTGAAAGAAAAAGTGCAGATTCAGAAATTGGCTTGCCATTTAAATTCAGACACATTTGGTACTACACCAACCTTTACCAACCTGGTGCCATCCAGAGGTTTTGGTCTATAATTCCCACCAGCCCCAGCCAGCATGCACTACAGGAGTGATGGAAGGCTGCCTTACATACACAGCTGGCTTAAGTTTAGTTTTAAGACTAAACTTAACAATATTCTCTGCAAATTGCTACAACAGCAAGATTATTCAACTTGAGAGGGGAAAGAGGAAGATGTTCAAGAAGCTCCATGTTAAAATGAAAGAGGTTGAACACTTCCCTTTCAATATATATCTGCATTAACTCTTTACAAAGTGCCCTGCTTCTGTTCTCTCTCGGCTCTGCACTGCAGCACCTGCTGCCTCTCTTCCGGTTTGTGAGAACCAGAACGAAAAGCTCTGGATGCCAGTGAAGAGACAATAAGCTTTCCTGATCACAAGGAAGAGTTAAAAAGTGATGGTCTGGTTCCACAAGCTCCAGGCCAGTCCCTGAAAACATACAAATAACCCCAAAAAGGGCAAGTTGACTGAACGGCAGAAGCCAGAAATAATTGCTTATCCTTTCACTTATCCAGCTAAAGCATGAGAATAGCTGAACTCCAAAGCTATTCTATTTTTGTTAGTATTATTTATCTATCACATTATTTTGGAAGAGTTTAGCATAGCCCAAGCCCTCAGCCAATTCTCTGGGCAAGGCTTAACAACCTGTCATTGATTTAACACACTCTGCTTTCCACTTTATTTATTCACAGGGGAAAATACCCAAGCAGGCAGCCAGCCAGACCAACCATCAATCCAGAACAGCAAAAACAGCTACTCTTTTATTTGCTGTGTGCATCTATTTTGCTTTTTAAATCCTGGCTTTATACCCAGTCACATTCCCATCAAACATGAACAGGCAACTTGGGGAAATGAGGCACCATCATAGGAATAGGTAAAAGGCAGAACAAGAGGGGGTCAAGGAAGCAAACAGCAATTCCGAATAACAGATACTGCAATGGGGAAAATGACAAAGATTTAAATGGAGCCTCAAATTTGGATTTATGTAATTTGCTTTTTAAAACATTTACCAACAAGCTTAACAAAGTTCAATAAGTAGCTTATACATCAGGTCTGTGGCTCTCCTGAAGACACTGGGATCGAACTTTCAGCAGGGCCAATGGTTGGTTAGGGATTATGGGAGTTAACAGTCCAACAGCATTTGGAAGGCCAAAGATTCCCCATCCTCCCATAAATTAACATAGTGGGTTTCAACCTCTGTCCAGAGAATTCCAGCTTCTTGGAGATTTCTCAATTAGAAAAATCAGCAGCACAGTAATGGCAGAGTGCTCCTGAAAGACAGCTTGCCCATTGCAACTGATCTTCCCCAGGAATGGGAAGCTTCTGGAAAGCGTCAGGTTGTAATTCAGTTTCTATGAGTGAACTAGGACACATTTGTCCTAGGGACACATGCAGTTAGGTTAAAAGCTATCTTCCACCCTTGACATTGCATGGCCTGGCCCTCACCAACCAGGATCACACCCTAAAGTCCAACAAGTGCAAAGCATTCAGACATGTAACCCCCCCCCCTTTAAATCTCTCCAATATTCATTACACAGCTTGCTGTTTTAAATGACTGTCCCTACCATTTAGCAACCGGCTTCATGAATTTCCAACTGCTTAAATTCAAAGCCTTTTGTATTCTCTAACTCCACACGTGTAGACTGTGGCACCGAATGTAGTCTTTGATTTGACACCTATTACAGACTTCCAAGTAGATCAGCATTTTCAAAAGCCAATTTCTAGTCTGCACAGTTGCTCATGTATGCTAGAAAAGACCCAAGGAATGCCTGCAACAGCTCTCATGCTAAAGGGCAAAGGCTCTCTTCCTTGCACAAGTACATCCCACATCAGCTTTGCCCATTTTCTCCTTTTCATGTTATTCTCACAATTTAGGTACAAATAACAATTGGGAAAAAGATTAGGCTCCAATTTGCTTGAATTTTGAAAAAGAGAAGCTGCAAAAAGTGCATGCATGAACACTTCACATCTGACTGGTGTCACATTCCAACTGAAAATGATTTGCGTGAAGTGATCCTGAAATAAAGTATTAAAGTGGGAGCGGGAAGAAACTGGCACATCACACAGAATGTGTGTTTGATTAATAAAGACTATTACATGGAAGATGCAAGAGAGAAGATTAAGAACAAAATCAGAATGGTCAAGACCAGTTAAGAAACAGGCAGAGTTCAGTCCTTCCTATTTAATAAATTAAAACAAAGGGAGTTAGATACCTTATACAACTTTGATACAAAGTAAACAAGCAGGACCACTGAAAAGCCAAGATGACAATTATAGATCATTTGGCTGTGGCATAAACAGTTTATGACTACTTGGCTGCAGTTTTTAATTTTGCCCAGTTTATCACTTTCTGGTTCCTTCTAGTGGCTATGATTAGGAGAAAGGGGCAGAATGCATGGGCAGAACACATGCTTTGCATACAGAAGGTCCCAGGTTCAATCCTAGTCATCTCCAGGAATGACTAGGAGAGATCCTTTAACGAAACTCTGGTTCTCACTCCTTCCGACGTCACTTTTGCACACTTAGATGCATGTGTTTGAACAAGAACAAACGTAGTTTGAAAAGCTGCTTTTAAAAAGAGCACAAGTAAAGACAGGGCACCACCAAAGGAGTGAGAGGCAGGGAAGATTGTTTTATTCCATCAGAAATGCTTTAAGAGCCCATTTAACATATACTACCTGCAAACAGGCCATGCCAGTCACTTAGGCGATGCTTGCAAAATAAGGACGTTACTGCTAGACGGCACAGTTCCTGCCAGCAGACGATGAACAGGGACAGTCCTTGTTAGCGAAGGTCAAGGAGCCAGAGCACAAACAGCTCCAATTTTGTTTAGCTCCAATTTTGTTCTCCTTTTTTTGGCTCCATCAGAACTTCATGGAACATTACTGAAAATGTAGACAAATTGATGTCTCTTCTATGCCACGGAGAAATTGGGGAAAATATGTCTTTCTGGGGAATATTTAGTATCAGAGCTGTAGCATTTGAAATGTAAACAATACAATATGATAGGCAACCAAATAAAAAATAGGAACCAATAATCAAGACACTTACATTGAAGAGAAGGCACCTGCAGGGTATGCCAACTTAGCTTCAGGGCTGTTCTCGTTACACATGCAAAATCATAATTGGATTACAGACTCTGACAACATCATTCAGAGACAATTCTGTATGAGGATTCTTTACAAGGAAAGTAGAACATGCTGATCATAGAGCAGAAAAGATGGTGAGCAGGAAGTCGTGGACAGGGCGTTAAACCAAGCAAAAAACCAGACATTCTGTTAGAGACAGCCCATCTGCACTAACAACACAGTTGTTTGGTATGGCATTATTTTCAGAGCCACCAAAAGAAGTAGAAGACAACTCAGAGGCAGGCCCAAGATTGTTTGCAGCATTACAAGGGATCCTAGGCTGCAATCTGTGAATCATGCAGGGCAAATGACTAGGACCATCCCTACCAAGTACATATCACTGAAGACCTTCTTCCAGAGTTTTCTTAAGGTAACAAAACTGTGAAGGGTTAGATGTTGAGCTTGTTCAGATATAACACCAAATTATGATTTGAGACTACAATAAACTGGAGTCTTGGGTCTCTGAAACACAACCCCAATGTAGTAATCCATCTCCTTGTTTGAGGCAACCCACTTGCTGTTTGGTCTAAACTAGCAAATTGTGATTTGGTTATGGATTGCAACCCTGGTTTGCAGGGCAAATGTAAATATTAGGTTTGTTGGGTTAGGGTGAACTATAGCTTGCCTCAAACTAGGAATAGAGAGAGGGAATTATGAGCGATATATTTATCACAATATTCAAACCAGATTAAGGGACATTGAAAAACGAAACATTGCGTCAGCTGTAAAAAAAAATTGCTCCCCCAAGTTCTATGGTTTAAATACAACAGATAACAGGGGAACTTATATTTCAAAATTAATAATTCTATTCCAACATAGGTCCTTCATGTTAGCCTGACTCAACATTTTCCCCTCAGCTTTTGTCAAGGACAGATATTTAAACATCCCCATAAACAATAGACACTGAATGTACCAGACACTGTAGAACATATTATTTTCTACTGTCCATTCTACAACCAGTTACACAAACGTGTGCTATCCCCTTTTTTGGGTAGTCTAACATCACCGCACAATGAAAATATCAGATTCTATCTGTCTGACTCAGAAGTAACTGCAAGCGTAGCTGAGTCTTTGTCAATAGTATCTCTTAAGAGTAGTGAATGGTACTATTTAGCGGGAAGAAACTCCAACGAAAACCCTCGTTATTACATATTTTACATGGCTATTTTTGTATATATTTTAACATTTTATATATGGATGTTTTATGATGGCCTGTATTTGTAGTGCCTAATAAAGGCTTGGTGAAGTAGAGAAGGAACTACAGCATAGAGGGTGGGAGGAAAAGGCAGGGAGCATGGCCTCAACCTCCCTGAAGGCTTGCTCTTATCACACCAAACCATGGTTTGGCATTACACCTGAACCAGCTCACTATGAGTTATTGCACTGTGCTGCACTGCAGACTTGTGAGCATCTAGAATACCCTTAAATAAAAAAGCAAATGCAGCAGCTCTCTCTAACTTGACAACAAAATGATAGACCACATGTGGTATCAAGGTTCGTAAATGTGTTTTAGCAACTATATATACAAATGTGATCGTTTCTTTTGTTTGAAACTAAATGATGTGCGAAGTAGAAAGGGAATTTTAAATCAAGTTTAGAACAAGGCTGACAGGTGAGGTGGTCTTGGAATTTAGTACCCACCCCAGTAAAACTCCAACATGTGCATAGAGAAGGAATCACAGTCCTCACATAAGGCTTCAAATAGCTGCATTGCTGCAGACAATGGACGCAACCCATCAAAATGACTGCTGAGTCATCTCCATTCATTTCAGGAAAGCTCAGACTGAGATACATACAGCCCACAATGAAATTAAAGCTGCAGCCATGAAGGATGGATCAGACCCAATATAGGGATGTTTAAAAGAGAAGTTCAATTACAACTGGAAATTTGACAAGGGCTCCGCATTTAATATTTGGGTGCCAGCTGAAGGGTTTGGATATCCAAAGCAAACTGAGCTAACCACCCTGAATAAGTTTGGTATATGAGACAATGCCATTTGGAATGGCAATTTCGCCAGTAAGTATGCAGAAAGCATGCAAACATGAAGAAGAAAAAGGAGGAGGAGGAGGAGGCGGGACTAATTTTACTGTCACTGACCTCCATTTTTATGAGGGTGCTTCTGACAACAGCAGCAGCAATGGTGCCGGCAGCCATTTTAACCTTCAAATTCTGAAATAACTTCATCAGTTTGTTTGTTTTTTAAATTAAAATTTCTAACTCAAAGCATTGCGACGGGTACCATTAGTCGATCATGATTTAATCTAATTCTGCTTGTAATTTATTTCTGTTGAAATGTATATTAACGCTGACATTTCATGCTTGGCACCAGACACTTGTTAAGCTTTAAAAATGCATGCAATATGAATGGGGCATACGAGTGCATGGCAAGGTTCAGTTTTGAGCTGTCTCTAGGAGTCAATTCCACCTCCACCAGGCAGTAAATCTACTTTGAGTTAATAATCTGTTAAAGAGAGTACAGTGGTACTTAATTCGTTCCGGAGGTCCGTTCTTAACCTGAAACTGTTCTTAACCTGAAGACCACTTTAGCTAATGGGGCCGCCCACTGCCGCTATACCGCCGGAGCATTTCTGTTCTCATCCTGAAGCAAAGTTCTTAACCTGAAGCACTATTTCTGGGTTAGCGGAGTCTGTAACCTGAAGCGTATGTAACCTGAAGTGTATGTAACCCGAGGTACCACTGTAATTATAAATCCATGTAATACTACTTCAAAGTTTGAGCTACATAAATACGTAGAAAAAAATAAAAATAAAATTAGTGCATTTGTTTTTTCTTTCACCTAATATTTCACTATTAGCAGATGGTCTTTAATGCTCCAAGGCTCCAACAATATTCTTCTCAGTTCTTGATGACCATTATTTTTGACAAAATAATTTAGTTCATAGCTGAGAATTTGCAGAAGGGACAGGAAAAGACCTCTTACCACCTATTGGAAATTTATCATCATTTGAAGGTCTGTGTCCCAGTTGATAGCCTGGACCTAAATTTGGGGTCAGTGAATATTTGTTTACTATCAAACAAATAAATTAAACCCTTATTTGGTTTCACTACAACCAAGCTATGTCACAGATTTCTGGACAGGAATTCTGTCACAGTTGTTGTGTTTTTTTGGACCAGAGATTATTATAACTAATAATGGTGATGACAGAAAAATTAAACTAATTTTTACATTAAAAGTATACATCCTGCTTTCAGCCTTCCTCTGGGCTCAGCAATATACAGACTTCATAAAGTCAGTTCTGTAAGTAGTTCTGCAAGCTCTTGCAACTCCACATTCTATGTGCTGGCTGAACTATACCTAGTGAAATGCTGGGGCCAGTGCTTCAAATGCTCTGACAAGCCATCTTGAGCATTGGCACGCCGTTATACTTATAGCTGGATATATGCTACTGTGTATGGCACCCCGATAGAACACCTGTTCTAAACCACAAATTGACCATTTCCACTGATGTCCTGTCCCCTCACATTAAGTTGCAGGAACTCATATGATGCTTCTAAGGAGCCAAGCATGGTTATTTGAAAGAAAGGTTAATCTTCTGAGGCACACAGACAGAGTCCTTTTAAATGATAGTTTATTCTTAGAATGGAGAAATGCTGTAATAAGAAAAAGATAATTTCAAATATAATTTTCCATTAAAGAGGCTCCCATATACACTTGCACAAAACTGGATGCAAAGGTATAGAAAAGGAAAAAGGAGCTATTTCTGGTTCTAGAATGGAAACTGAAAAATGATGGTCATAACTGGCAGCAACCAGAACTGAAAAGAATCATCTTCCTTAGAATGAGCAAGGGGAACGCCCTGAAATCAGGCTAGTTAACTAATTTTTCCTCGTGACGCCATTTTATTGCTTTTTGCTGCCATTTTAGTACTGAAGTTACACGTATGCCTTTTATTTTTCAAGCAAGCAACATTAATGCTTTCTTTCTCAAACAACCTCAAAATAATCTAGATGTGTCTTTTTACCCTTCCTTCTTTTATGTAGCTGTGGTTTCTGCTATTGCACTGTCCTCAGGTACAAGGGGCAGAAAAGCACAATTCTGCTACTCCAGGACCCCGCCTTAGCTCTCAGCATTCAATGCATTCAAGCAGGGTTAGGATATTATGAAAAATCAATGGAAAGAGGCTTTCTTTGGGAATACAAGAGGTAGGGGAGTCTGTTTCCCAATATAAAGACAAAGAGAAGCTCCATGAGCCATAGGGACTTGGGCTACAATCCTATACTCGCTTACCTGGGAGTAAGCCCCAACTGTACTCAACAGGGCTTACTTCTGAGTAGCCATGCATAAACTTGTTACCCAAAGAGAAGTTTATTTTTTGGAAAAAAAGGAAAAAGTAACACACACACACACCATCTATCTCCAGTGTCTACCTGGACACAACACTGCACTTTTGCCATTGCAAAGAAGCCTGATTTTAACATTCATCATATTAGAAACACTTTAAAAGCCATCATAAATTAGCTGATAAAAACCTCACCATTGGTGTAGAATCATTGGCTTCAAATGAATTATATCAATGAACAGCTTTCCTGGAATGCCATCCAAAAATCAAAACCAAAACCAATAGCCCCTCTAAAATATATAAGAAAACCACCCAGCAATTAACACTGTCACTGATCCTCTGTCCTACTGAGTTTCTTAGGCTGAAAAGGCAACTCCTCTGTCTTTACCATGTTACTCCTGTTCACATGATATCTCTCCTTTTTTTCAACAGTCAGCCCTCTAGCTCCCTGTCAGAAATGCTTCATCTGCAGCTTTTCAGAAGCATTTCCATAGCTGGGTTTTTACCGACACATATATTTTTGTACTATTGCAAATGGAGCTATATGCTTCACAACAACTACATTAAAATGTAGTGCATGTGCTCAAACACATTTTTTTTAAAGCTTCTTTGCTGCCCACATTTCACACTCTTTGGTTCATTTTAGCTTTGTTTCTTTAAGCTTGAAAGCTTCCCCAGACCTAAAATACAACTGATTTTAACCACTTCATTTTTCTTGCCCTGAGACAATCCCATGTACCTGCTTATGATTCTTTTCCCTGGAAACACTAAGGATCTTGCAGTTTCTGTAAAAAAGCCAAGAGTTATAAGCTTCCCCACTACCCCACCTTCCATCTACCAAGTGTTCAGCATCTGCACACACCAACGCCCACTTGCTGGGCAACGCCTGTTTCGAAAAAGCTTTCTCGGTATATTGCAAGCACTGAAATATGATAACCAAGTTAAATGGAGATGCAAAATGCAGAACCAGGAGATGGACACGCTCACTCACTGCGACACTTTTGAAAATGTCATTTAATAATTTTCTTTCTGAGCATTTGAAGGGTTGGAAGAACTTTGTCACAATCAAACTTTCAAAGCTACAACCTATTTTTCCCAGACTAGTATGATCAATGCGTATAAGATTACAACAAAGGGGCAGCAAGAATAAAAATACGATACTTGATATTAATACATTAGGGTGGGGTGAGGCAATTTGGAAGAATCAACAGATCTGAGACTTCAGGTGTCTACTTTAAATAGTTATCTCATACATTGCACCAAGACAGTCACCCATGAATCTTAAATTCAAATAAGACAAATTGCAACAATACCATTGGAAATTAATGAATCATTTGTTAAAGAGATGATTAGAGTGAGAAACAAATACTATTCCTCCTCTGATAGCGGGGGGGGGGGGGGAGAGAAAGAATCACTCTTGAGCAAAAAAAGTTTTAAATAGGTGGTGATAAGGCTGGAATTAATTTCATTTCTGTTAAAACATTTGGCCTTATAAAAATGGTACATAATTAAAAATGGATATAGTTCCTAAACACATTATACAAATTAAATGTGTATAGAAATTTGATGTATGAAACATTATTTAACACAATCTACAAAACTTATTTAATAATAACCATGTATTTTATCAATTCCTGCTATAATAAGTCATTTATGTCCATTAATTATTGTAGGCTTGATGAAGAAACACTGCTTCTACAATAAATTCCCCATTTTAAACTTTTTCACACTTATGACCATGAGACCAATGTGATAAAGACACACAGAAGACAAAAGGTTTCCATTTTCCCTCATTCAACAGTATGCATATCCACACCCTCATTTTTTAAAATAAAAAATAAAATGCATACTCTCTTCTATAGAATGTATGTGATATGTTAAAAAGGCATGAAAGCTAAACATTTTAATCACAAACACACAAGACAACTGCAACTCAAAAAACACCCAGAGCATGGTTTTAAAAGAAGCAAGCTGGACCTAGGGATTCTAGATGGGGATTTAGGTGTCTCCCCCTCCCACCTCCCCATACGTTGATTTACAGAGCTCATATTTGAACTCTGGTTCCCACCCTCTTCAGACAAAGGAAAATAATTTGCTATAAGACAGTGCAAAACTGCAAGAATAACTGAGGCATCTCCCACTTAGGGACAGTGGCAAGCTCCATCTTTGCATGAACATCTCATTGTCTCTCCTCTCTCATTCATCCATATATATATATATGGGATTGCCAGGCTGTCTCTGTAGCAATGCTCCCTTTTAAACCAGGCTTAACACACAACTGTTTGGTCAAAGAATGTTGCCACACAGCAACATCTGTGTGCCAAGCTAGTTGTCGCATTTCTCATGGAACAAGGAAAAGGGACCAGGCAACCGTTCAGTCTATACCTTAATGATTTTAAAGTACAACCTCTAAACTGGTTGGATGAATCCTTAACTGCCTGTACCACATCAAGAGATGTATAAAACAGAAACCTTTCTTTAGCTTAGCTTCCCCAATGAAGGTAGAATACTGTTACAGACAAAACCAAATCAGCCACTCCACAGAAATATGTGCGCTCTCTCTCTCTCTCCTTCGTTGTTTTACATGGCTAAGAAATTCTAAGTTCAGAGTACTGACTCATGCCCAAAACCTAACAAGATAAAAAGTGACTGTCAATTATACTTAATTCAAACCACTTTCAGTGGGGGAGAAAAGCAGGAAATAAGTAATAACTCTTTTATTTATTGACACCCTCCCTTAAAATTAGGGCTTCATCTATATATTTCACAACTGAATTTCTAAGAATATAAAGCAAGTGTCTATACAAACTGGAACATATACAGATTTCCACCACAGTTATACCATAAATCCAATTTACAGATATTTCTCTTTGAAAAAATCTACCACCCAAGGATGGTGATATCTTCAATGAAATCAGCAGGCTGCACCTTAAAAATGTAGTACTCCTGACTTTTGCCTACATTTTAAGAAAATAAGCAGCAAAGGATTCTAAGGAGGTGAATAAATGGATATATTTTAAAAGCAGACAACAGACGCCCCTCCCTTACAACTGTTTCAAAGGGAGAAGGGGAATTAGCAAAGCAAAAATCTAATATTTTATTTTAAAATTATCACAGTTATTTTTCTAAATTAACTCCCAATTTCTACATATTTAAAAACAATCCACATTTGTATCTTTCATTACCACAGAAAAGAAACTGTTCAAGATTGAGTTCTTTGTGTGTTAAATATACACGCATTTAAACAAACAAACAATGTGTAAAATGCATTTCCTATCTTGTGGGCTACAGAACGAGAAGTTACAAACCTTGTCGGGGTGAGTTGCAATACTTTAAATGCCTGGCATTTGGTTCCAGGCACCTCAAATCTTCCTGTATCAGAGCTCACAGTTTTTCTTCTCAAGGGTGGGAAACCCCCTGCAAGCTCTGCTATGGCTGAGACAGTGAAGAGTCCAGCAAGACAATGAGAAAGCAGCTGTTCCCACAGTGGAACACCACTGCCAGCAAAGCAGCGGTGGCATTTGCTCAGGGCTGTCCTTCACCAAGGATAGGCAGCACTGGTGTGAAACCAGTTACTGAAGGGAGCGTTTATAGGTTACAGAAGGATACTTTATTGTTAATGGAATGTACCATGTAAGATTTAAGAGCAGGGAGGAGAGAAGGGAAGGAAAAGATGAGATGCAAGCAGAGAAAGATTTAACAAGGATTTATTTTTCCCACCCCCACCCCCAAGCCACTGCAATTACTCCAATGTGAATTTTTGATGACTTCCGACATCTTGCATGGTTAATAACCGTTTCAGCTGTCATGTTTGGTTAATGTGGAAAATGCATTTCCTGCACTGGAGGTGCAGGGCTGTGGCTACACATTGCAACACCAGCTTGTAAAGCTATTCTCTTCACAAGCCGCCATGAATTTGCACAAAACACGAGGCTGCAATAAGGGACAGCCAGATCATCATTATTATATAGAAATGTGATTCTGCCATCTTAAGACTCACAGAAGACTCTGGAACAATGTCTGCATTCTTATTTACACACTGATGGCTGGCGGACTGATTGGCACCTTTGTTCACTAAAATATGTTGCTTGCATTCTTGACGAGGTTAGATCTGGGTGCTGCTGGGGTTCACTAAGAAGCCAAATAATATACACTGTCTGAGATGTACCTATGCATGTATTTTCTAATTCACACACTCACATGCATTGCAGTCACACGTAACGCACAAATCCATACGCGATATAATAACATTATTATTCTGCAGCGTGTATTTAACCTCAAACTAGTGATTGTGGCTGGCTACAAAAGGGAGAAAATATGCCATGCAGAAAAAGGTTTCAAAAGCCAAACAAATGTTTCAGCAAGCGATAAGGCTGGGCGTGGTATGTTTAACATATGTCGGTCATCGTCGGCATAGGAAATGCTATACGGCAGCAGCTACACAATTAAAATCAGGAACGTGGGGGATGCAACAGAACCAAGATTAAAGCATGCTGAAAAGAGCCAGTCACCCCACAATTCAAGGCAGGCCAGCCTTTCCTGAGAGTCAGGTGATGGTGCCATCATTACAGTGCAGAAATCCAGAGAAGAATCGAGAAGTGGGTGTTTCCCCCTCCTCCCCATCTTGCCTCACCCAACCCTCATCATAAAGAAAAATAAGGAGCATTAACAGACGCAATTGCAAATGCGCAGGGTACAAGGCCACGATAAAGCATTTTACAAAGCACAGCTAATGGCCCAGAGCCCTCCATTAATGCACATGATATTCTTTATCAATGCAGCTAGTGAACTTCATGAGCTGAGCTAAAGGGTTTTTTAAAAATAAAAAAAATACAGCTGTACATTAAAATTGCATTCAATGGTGTATCAACTGTGCCAAACCACTACAAACTGGCAATACCTGAAAAATATTTTCTTTGTTTATTGGACTTAAAATCTGCCCCATCCACATGGGTTTAGGGAACGTACTTTATGAAATACAACAGTAAACCATAAAAGATCACAAAACAATACCCAAAACCATAGACATTTTAAAGATATACTCCTAATGTAGCCCTCATATATGTTCACCCACAGAAAACATCTCTATGTGGTTTTGAATTTGTCCAACATACTGTATTGCATATTTAATGAGGGCTCTATCAGATGAAGAAAATCAAGTCGGAGATAGGCAGGAAGTCACTCCTTGAAGGGTCCAAAACCATTTTGGGCTTTGTGGGTCAAAGCTAGCATCTCAAATTGTGCCCTATTAATGAAATGAAGTTAGTGTGGATGGGAGAAATAATCCACCAGGGAGCAATCGCCATTGGAAGGTAGGTGTTAAGAGTCCTAAAGATTTGTTCTTTTTCGACAATCATACTCTGTGAGAAAAGAATAAATTATAGTATAGTTCAGCAGGAAGAATGGTAAACTTGGATAACCAAGTTCAAATTCCAGCTAGGTTGCAGACTTGTGGTTTTGAGTGACCGATTCCCTCTCAGTTGCAGTTTTGGAGAAGTGAGTGTGTGTTTGAAGGAGAGGGGGAGAAATAGAATAACATACTATCACCTAAGTGCACGCAGAGAGAGAGAGAGAGAGAGAGAGAGAGAGAGAGAGATGGGAGATAGAGGAGAGAGAGAGAGAAGAGCACACAAGCCAGAGACCAATTTAAAATCTGACTTTCAGACTGAGTGTCTGGCTTCCACTTTGGAACTGAATTATGAGATACTGGGGTGGGCTGCAACAACTGGCAAGGCTTCATGAATGGCAAACAGTAGAAAAAGCCTTGTAAAGTTAAGTGAAATACAGAATTATAAATGTTATGTTTCTGGTTGCCATAAAGTTACAATATGTGCTTAGTAATTCGGGCATTTCAATGTCAAAGGCCAAGTAGGGACTGCCTGCCTGAGACTGATTCTCAGGCTACACAAGCATCCAAGTGGCCTCTTTATTGCTGCACTTTTGTACTTTGAAATTAGCAACACCTGAGTGCTGGCTCACTTTGCTGCGACAAGGAACAATCCTAGGGGAGCAGTTCCTTTATCACTGCAAGAAGCCAAACCCTCCTTGTTTCAGATCAAACAGATGCTGTACTCAGAAGCTGGAACCTTGTACCAGCAGTCTCAGGGGTGAGAGTTGGGTATCTCTTACACAGAGATTCTCAAAAGGGGAATCCAACTAGAAGCCATTTCAGGAAAAGCTGTCTAGTTTCAGGTGAAACAGAGACAGGAAGAAGACCATCTCCTTTAAAAAGATCTAAAAAAAGTGTTTATCTTTTTTATTCTAAGGGGTTCAGTTAGCGCACAAGTCTTCTACAATGGCGAATGTTTTTGCAATTCATACACAGGACTGCAGATATCCTGAACAAAAGAGAGGTGATCTAGTTTCTATATGCAATAAACACAACACCAAATTCTGTAACCAAATCCACTATGCAAACAAAGCAAATCCGTATTTTCTGCATAATTTATTCTGATTTTTCTCAAGGCCACCCACAAGACTGCTGGGGCCAGGAATAGAAAAGGAGAGGAGAGCATGAGTGTTGCTCACAGGTCAGGTGCACAGGGTACTCTGGGCAGATGGGAAGTGGAGATGGAAAAGAGGCCCCTATGAAGAAGCACATAGACTAAAATTAAATGAACTCCATGGGATGAGCACTGCCTATTAGAGGCAGAGCACATGATTTGAATGCAGAAGGTCCCAAGTTCAAACCCTGGCCAATCCAGTTAAAAGATTTCATATATCAGGGCCAGGAATTTCCTCCTCCTGGGACCTTGGAGAGCCACTACCAATCAGAATAAACAGCAAACAACTTGACAGACCAACTGTTATTTCTATATGAAACCACTGGGAGAGATCATCAGGGAGACAGGGCTGAGTGTTCACCAGTATGCAGATGATACCCAACTCTACCTTTCATTTAAATCACAACTAGTGAAGACAGTGAACGTCCTGTGTGAGGGTCTGGATGCAGTTGGAGGTTGGATCGAGGTTGAATCTCGACAAGATAGAAGTACTGTTTCTGAGGGACAGGGGTCAGGCAGGTCTGGGGGACTTCCTGGTCCTGAATGGGGTAACTATACCCCTAAAGAACCAAGTCCACAGTCTTGGACTCTCAGCTGTCCATGGTGGTGCAGGTCAATACACTCTACATGGGGTTACCTTTGAAGGTGACTCAGAAACTACAATCAACCCAGAATGTGACCACCAGACTGATGACTGGGAGCAGCCACCAGAGACCATATAACACCAGTCCTAAAAGATCTACATTGTTTCCCAGTGCATTTCTGAGTACAATTCAAAGTGTTGGTGTTGACCTTCAAAGCACCAAACAGCTTCAGCCCTGTATACCTGAAGGAGCATCCCCACCCCCATCGTTCAGCCCAGGCACTAAGGTCCAGTTCCGAGGGCCTTCTGGCGGTTCCCTCATTGTGAGAAGAAGGTACGGGGAACCAAGAAGACGGCCTTCTCGGGAGTGGTGCCCACCTTGTGGAATGCCCTCCCATCTAAGAGATAACAATTATACAACTTTCTATAGATAACTGAAGGCATAGAGCTTGGTTTCATCATCATCATCATCATCATTTATTTATTTATATCCCACCCTTCCCAGCCAAAGCCGGGCTCAGAGCGGCTAACAACAGTAAAAATAATCTGTGAAAACATTCCCACTATACAAGTGGGTATTCCAACCATGATATCCTGGCTGTGAGTCCTGGAAGACCTGCTCCCTTTCTTGCAGGCCTTTTCCGTTCTAGCCTGGGTGAGGCTCTGACTGACTTCAGCTACAAAAGGGCCGAAGGCCATGTTTGCAGACTCAGGTGACTGAGCTTCCACAGCTGCCACCTGCCATGAATCACCACTGGCAGCAACAGCAGTAGGTATGTTCTATGCTTAATATTTTATTCTCTTGCTGATTATATTTTAAATGTGCATTATATATTTGACTTTGTTTAGTAATGTTTTCTTTTGAAATAAATATTTTTTTGTTAACTTTGCTGCGTTAAATATGCATTCTGGAACTGACTTCTTTTGCAATGTTTTATTTTGAAATTTTTCAGGTAATATTGATTTCAATGTATACTTTATATTTGACTTTCTTCTGCAGTGTTTTATTTTGGATTGTTTTTATTTGATGTTTTAGGGTAGGTTGTAAACTGCTTTCTTAAAAATATAAATTAGTAGAGAAATGAAATGAATAATAAATAATTAATAAAACGAAGAGCTTCTTATGGTGTCCCAACCTAGATTCAGACATCATGCTTCTTTACCTGCTTGTGCAAATGGGGCCACAAAGTGAAAATATTTGAGCTATGAACACTAGCTTGCAACATATTTACAATATGGCTTACGAAACTTGCTTTATATATTAGCATTATTATGTACAAACACGGCTACTATAAAACACAACACATCTCAGGACAAGCAACTGTAAATACAATCAGAGTGGTACATTCAAATGAATGAATGATGTATGGTCAAGCAGACTAAAACAAAAATAATGTTGTGAGATAGAAATTTTTATGCACTTGGTTTGCAGCGTTGTCCCAATCCTTAATCTAGCAGGCAGCAGAAAAACCAAACCAAACCAAAAAATCTCAAGCAGCCACCAGCACTGATGCCTGAAGCCAGACTTTGCTGGCAAAGCTTAGCCCACTGCTGCATAAACAGAATGGAGCATTTTCCCTTTGAATTTGGCAGAAGTTACAAGGGATAATGATCAGGTCTAAAGGCGATGACAGTTCTGCAAACCACTGCCTTGCAAGCGTGTGGCGCAGTGGACTGCAGTGTAGACATGTCCTATACAGCAGAGAGTGATACCCTTCCCACAGCAGTCTGGGAGGGAAGGTGAGGAGTTTCCTCCTTTAAGTGGCAGTAAAGATTGGCACTCAGACGGGCTGTGCTGATTCTGCCACGAAAATCCCACTCACCAATTAATGGTGTCTTTTGCCTGGCTGAATGGAGAGCTCGCTCACAATTCAGCAGCCTGACAGAATGCTGGCTTTTATACACACACAAGGAAAAAGCAGGAATCGGTTTTAATTAGGAGTTTTTTAACAAACAACCTAGGGTATTAATTGTGCTCTTGCCATCAAGTGATAATTGAGATGTAATCAAACAAAGAGTAACAAGTGTCCATTATCCAAAGGACTGCGTTGTTGAAGGTTTGGTCTAAGAGGAATTTGTTGGCCTGTTTGTATGGGGAGGGGTTTTCTTCCCAAATAAATAAGTGCGGTGAATATTCAAAACCTTTTCAGCCTCTGCACAGACAAAGAAAAACAAGAAATTTTAAAAACATCAGCTCAATGTTAAGGTGGCTGGCTTGGCAAAGTGCAACTATGGTGGCTTTGAAAGGGCCAAGGAGGACTAAGGGCTTGATCCCAGGCTCTGTTGCACATGAGGCACAGCAGGGGTCAAGGGCTCTGGCTCCTTCTCCCATGCAAGCAGGCAGATCCACCCCTACCACCCAGCTGAAGAAGTTGCTGCTTCTTATATTTGAGGGAAGGGAAATTTCCTTGTGCCACAGAGGCTCAGAGCCGGCAAAAAGTGAAACAGGGAAGGTGGTGCTCGTCTGATTCCAGAAGGAAGCAAGGTAGGATAGTGCTGGTCTGCTCAGCTTTCCTTGCACAGGATGCTGCAGTAGAAGTCTCTGCTTGTGTTGCAACAGCTACAGGAGTGCGTACGATCAAGCAGCAAGTCTTATGTTTTGCACTGCGTATTAATCCTTCTGCAAATCATGTACAAAGGCAAACACACAACTCTGGGTTTTTAATTCAGAACCCTGACCTGGCCAACATCTTTCCACCAGGCCACTGCAAGAGCAGAGGCAAGCCAAACTGAAATCCCTCATATTACAAGCCACTGCCCTGTAGAAGTCAAACGAAAGCTACATTAAAATGGCTCTCAGTCAGACTGTTTAAACAGAATACAAGGCTTTTGCCATGGTAAGCCAATGCTTTTTTAGCTCCCCTCTCCCTCTCATTCACACACATATACCACTTTTGAGTTAACAGAATTTTTATTATCAACACCCTGTCTAGGAACAGAATCCCCAGAGATGTGAAATTCCCAAGATGCCCATCACCAAAGCATATAAGCAGCAGCACCAACTGCTTCTGTTAGCCTAATCTTGGGGTCTTTAATAATGTCAAAAAGACCCCATTTATAACACCTGCACCTTAAGGGGGGAAATCTGTGGCCCTCCAGATATTTAGATTACAACTCCCCTTTTCTCTGCCCACTGGACATCCTGGCTAAGGATGAGGAGTTGTAGTCCAACAATATTGAGAGAGCCACAGGGTCCCCACCACTGCTTTGAGCAAACATTTAGATATACTGGGTTGAAAATACTGAACCCCAAACCAACCTAACCTCCCCAAGCCTCCAATGTTTAGCTATGCTATCCCTTTCACATGGGCAACAAAGCGCCTTGCACATGGTCCCAGTTCTTAGTTAAAGCCCCTTAAAAGGTACATCAACTGTCTGCTTTAATAATGTCTCTTGAGTTCTCTTCCTAGAAAAAGAGAACGGATATACCACCACCCTCCAATTGTAGGACAAGTCAGCACAAATGAATATTACTCCACTTTAATATGAATTTAAATGACTGCACTGACCTTTAGACAGCTAATTTGATCTTGTCGGCTTTAAAACAAAATCTTAACAGCTGCATTCAGAGGACTGGTTAAAGTTTGTAACTGTTTTTCAGATCCTTTCCCCACCTCCCTTCTGCTTTTAAAAGTCAGCTTTACCAAATCTAATAATTATAGGCAGCTGCAAGCGCATCTCACTGGCAGCCTGATTAACAAAGGGAAGCAGAGAGGAGAGCCTGACAAATGGGGTTAGAAAGAACTGCCTTGGTGCTGACCACAAATTACTTCCGAGGTAGAGCCAGCAAGAAAGCAGCAGGAGTCATTATGGGTGTGGGTAGGTGTGTACACCCCTCCCCCACAGAACGGACAGGCACCCACCTTTCCATTTTACTGACTCATAGCAAGAGCCTGGTAATTAATGGTCTTAATCCACTACTAGAGATTGAGAAAAATCTCTTCAATACAGTCCAACAATGCATTCACTTCAGTGGAAATAAAGCTTCAAGCTACCAGTAATTGTAATCCTTCTGCACTAACCATGCAGAAAGCAATTAAATCCAGCTATTTCTCTTTCTCTTAGGGCCATTTCACCCCACAAATGGTCCCAAGAAAGGGCTGCTCCAAATTATTGAAATTTATACCCTACATTATAGAATGTAGGCCTGGAGGATAAATTTGGTTTAATTCACACTTCCCAAAACAATACATAAACTAAAACACAGCTGTCTTTTGAAATGCATCCTTCTAAGAATCTTACAATACAATTCTCCAATCAAACACTGTTCATGCAAAAAGGTGCATATTGGGGGGAATTGTTAAAATCCATACCTTGGTGGGTACATTAAGAGAAATGTGTACTACATTGTCGCAAAACTTCAAGATGATTTTTTTTTTTAAATTACAAAGTGATGCAGAAAGGTGGTGAATGGAACTTAAGACTGTAAAATGAAAAAACGAGACACAACAAAATCAATAGATTTGTCTGTCTATAGCAGAATGTGAATGCACCTGGTGAGTACATTGAGAAATGGTGTAAAATCGCTGTAAATGGTGTAAAATAGTTTTCCCCACCCAGGAAAAAACAGCTGTTTTTTTTCTCATGGCTTCAACGTTTCTGGAAATTTTACATCTATAGTTTCCAAGATATTAACTGAAGTGAGTTTCAGCACTCTCAGAGCTTAGACCAACATCTAACACCACCTTTTGTTCTCAGATGCAAAGGCAACACTTTAGGTGCTAAGTACTTGTACAAATATACTGCTTAAGTGACTACTGTTCCTTTTTCAATTGAGGAGGATGGGGACCTAGGCATCATCCATGTGACCTCCTAGGTGCCCCACCAGGTCTGGGTTCCACCACTTGACTATCAAGATCTCCAGTGTAACGATGGCACATGGCACCAGAACCTAAATCATTTCAGTGGATTGGGGCCTGGTACAAGCCATGTGCACCCTGGGATATATTCTCCTCCTCCCTGTTACCTGACCCCAGCTCTGACCCTTTTGTCTCTATGAAATGCTACGTGGCATGAACACAGGGATCCCGGCTTTAATTGCAGCAGAACAACCAGGAAATAACATTGACAATGATCCTGAGCTGGAGAACGGTCATGCCAAAACTAGTTTTAGATACAACCATACATCACTCAAGCCTGGCCCTGAAACTGTATGACTAATAGTTGGCATTTATTTTTTTCCATGCTAACCACTACATCCATGATGAAAATGTGAAAACTACCTGCTTAGAAACCTATGATTCACAACAGATATGGCCTGCACCAATTCAAATAAAAGGGAGGGGGAGAGGGTTACGCCCAAGGGTTAAGACAGAATGCCCACCTCTGTAATAGAAAATGTTTTTAATTAGAAAAAGGGTTTAAAGAATGCAATCAAATTCTTGCCCTTTCAGGTCTACCGAGACACCTATTAATTCACCCTCCTGCAGATAGTTTATTATCTCTTGCAGCAGCAAGTAACTAAAGAAGTAGAGCAGAGTGACCCAAATTGGCATTGTAATTATTTAAGCCTATAAATAGTCATTGTCACTGCATAAATTAAAATGCTATATGGTAATGCCCTCTTTCTGGCTGTGCTGAAGTATGTTGGCACATAATATGATACAATACGATCAATAGAGCAATTCAAATATGCAGACCTTATTAATTACACCTGCTTAGTAGCTGAAAAACCATGTGTTTACATGCCTTTTTTGTTAGCGTAAATACTGACTGCAATATATATAATTTTCTAATGTTCATACAAAATCAGCCTTAAACTATCCAATGTAACAAAGTATTCTATATCTTATACATATTGATACAACAAAATGAGAGCATTCTAGCTTACACATTGTGAGAGATTACCTATTTTTTATTTTTATTATCATTGCTTATTATTATTTATTATTTGCTTTTCATCCACCCTTCCTCCCAAGAGAGCCTGGGACAGCAGACAACAAGGCAATAAAAGCAATACAAGCATTTTAAAACAAGCCAAATGCCCCACAACTAACTAATAAAGTCAAAGATGCCAGAAACAATGTCTTTCAATTACCCAGTACTGGCAAGGCAGCACACAACCGTGGTGTCACCACCAACAGGGCCTCCACTGCCAATCATAAAGCCCAATATTGTTGATACTGAAAATATGCCAACGTCACTCAAGAGTAGTGGGGAAGATAGGTCAAGACATTGTTGTTCTGGATTTCACTTTGCCCACAAGATCACCAGCACCTCCTCATCAGGGACAGCTTAAACATTACCCACATAAGATCACTCCCACTTGAGCCAGCAAGTCTTGCCTATATTGCGTTCTATGGGGTTGTCACTAGGCACCATGGATGAACTCTGATCTGAACCTGCTGGCTGAAAACATCTGCAAAAATCCAGAGTGATGCTCCACACAGAAAGCAAGGGAACTTTTTTTTAACCACTATAAGGCAAAATACTTCCATATTTATTTCAGAGAAGAAATCAAAGTGCTGTTTCCGATCATATCATCACCAATAATACCCAAACCACCACCAACTCAAGAAGCTGAAGCATTCAGGCTTCTTACAAAAAATATATATCATTTATTTGTTTACATATTTACCGCACCCAAATGAACAATGCTACTTCTAAAGGTAATCCCAAGATGTGATGTTACCAGACTGAAATGACAGTACAATACAATACACAAAACATAATGACGTTCATGTCTTTTCTATGCTATGCTTTTTTAAATAAGACAACCCTGAGTAATGTGCATTAAAGAGCCATCCTTCCTAGTATTGGCAAGATAATAAATATTAAAACAAAAGAAACTGCAGGCTTCATGTGCTTTTAAAATTAAACTCACATTAGTACTCTAAGGACAGATGGCCAACGTGCATTATAAACTGCAGAACTGCAACCTATTCTGGCCCAAAGCCAAAAGCTTAATGGACGTTCCAAGGCACCAAGTAAGGAAATAGTTCTGTATTAATGTCTACAAATAAGTCAACAATCAATGCTTCAATATTACCGTAAATATGTGATACACCCTTTGAAACTCACTCTCCAGTAAAAGCCTAACCTCAGCTGTAAGCACAACAGCTGAAATCTTAAGGTAGGAATGAAACCCAATTTGTTATCACAGCTATCAAAACAGATTTACCTTCCTGGCCCATGCAGTATTTTAGTACTGCAGAGTAATTTTTTATCCTATATCCTGTGGTCACCCTAAGGTATAAAATTTTATAAAATGCAGCACTTAAACTGTAAATAAAAAAGGCAGATCAGCAGATAGACAAAAAAAGAGAGAGACAAACTGCTTAGGTATTTAGTTCAACCTTTACCATTCTGCTGCCCTCCAAATGTGTTGCACTACAACTCTCATCAGCCCCTGTCAACTATTAGTGAAGGCTGATTGAGGTTCAAACACAGCCCTGAGAGCATCTGGTACTTTCATCAGCCCTACCACCTCCTCCAATTAAGATAGTATGGAAATCTGCAGATAAAACATGGAGCTGTGGGTTGTAGCCAGCTGCATTCTACTCAGAATAGATCCACTGAAATTAGGAGGCCTAACTTAACCATGGCTAGTAATTTCAACAGGTCTACTCTTAGTAAAACCTCTCTTTTTTTTCAAGGGGAGCAGTACAAAAACATTTTGCCACCCCAGCTGTTATGGTGTCTGGCAAACTGCAAGCCCAGATGGGATGCTGCTTGCACAAGACATGTGGTTGTGTTGCAACATCATGCCTCACACCCAAAGAGTGTTCACTAACAGTTCCCCGTTATCCTGGGGAAAAGTGATAAGGGGGGTGCCACAGGGTTCTGTCCTGGGCCTGTTGCTGTTCAGCATCTTTATAAACCACTTGGATAAAGGTATTGAGGGGATGCACATCAAATTTGCAGGTGACATGAAACTGGGAGGGGTAGCTAATGCTGCATAATACAGAATTGGGCTTCACTATGACCTTAACAGATTGGAGAACTGAGCCCAAACTAACAAAATGAATTTTAATAGGGACAAATGTAATGCTCTGCATTTAGGTTGGAAGAACCAGCTGCACAAATATAATGGGGACATTTAGCTTGCCAGTAGTACAAGTAGAAATGATTTAGGGGTCTTAGTAGACCCTCAAGCTCAACATGAGTCAATAGTGTGATGAAGCAGCAAAAAAGTGAATGCTACTCTAGGTTGCATCAACAGAAGTCTAGTGTCCAGATCAAGGGAAGTAAAGTAGGGCAACGGGGAGTAATTACTCATTTATGTGTACAATGGGCACAGTGGCATAGTTTGGAGCTTAACCAAAAGGAGGAGACTGGATGCTCTTGCTTCTGTTACAAACTAACCATCGTTTCATGTTATATCCAAACTTGTATTTAGATTTATCTACATTTTACAAGGGACGTGGGTGGTGCAGTGGTAGAAACCACTGAGCCTCTTGGGCTTTGCTGATCAGAAGGTTGGTGGTTCAGATCCCCATGACGGGGTGAGCTCCCGTTGCTCTGTCCCAGCTCCTGCCAACCTAGCAGTTCGAAAGCACACCAAAATGTGCAAGTAGATAAATAGGTACTGCTTTGGCGGGAAGGTAAACGGTGTTTCCGTGTGCTGCTCTGGTTTTGGTGTTCTGTTGCGCCAGAAGCGACTTAGTCATGCTGGCCACATGGCCCAGAAAAACTGTCTGCGGACAAATGTCGGCTCCCTCGGTCTGTAAAGCGAGATAAGCGGCACAACCCCAGAGTCGTCTGCGACTGGACTTAACTGTCAGGGGCATTTGCCTTTTTTAAAAAAATAATAATTACAAAAACATGCCAACTTCATAAACCATATTCTACCCTAGTCAAAATGAATATAGCCATGCAACATTTCGTAAAAGGAATTAGGAAAAGAGATGTCTCATCTGTTTCTGAAATGATATAGCATTTGCTCTGACAGAGCATTCTTTAACCCACTGAGGTCTAGTAAGTAGTGATCTCATGATTATTTTACAGCATATGATGGACTCTAAAGAGCTGTTGCTGCAGAATGTTGAACATCTTCAGCTTAGAACTTATAAATTAGAAACAAAAGCAACCGGCACTCATGTAGTATTCCTTCTGGCGCTGATACTCTGGAGCAGACTCTTCAGCCAGCATTGAAGGTATGAGGTTTCAGCCCTTAAGATTTATCCATTTGTTTCTGGTGACATAGAGCAGAACACAAGCATGCAAGCAAGCAAGTAAACTACTGTCCAGCATATTCTGATTGCCACCAAATGGAAAGCTCTTATTCTTTGCAGAGGTTTCGGCACAACAAAACCCAGTACATCTCTCCAACAGCTTTCGGAAACAACAGGCTGTGTTCTGAACCAAGAATACCAAATGAAATATTCACGAAGTGCATTAGCGCACTAGAGCCTACATTTCGGACAGGCATGGAATCCAGGCACAATCCAGCACTTCAGAGACCACTAAAGCCTGGCTGCATTTCAACAGTATTGGGGTGGGCAGAGTCTTCACAAAGAAGGAAGACTTTCACTCTTGCTCAGCTCAACCCCATTGCTCAGCCAATAACGATTGCAGATATATGAGGCAAAGAGACAGCATGGGACACACCTGCCATCTGCCCACTTTCTTCTGATTTTATTAGGCCACTGGTAACTCTAATGCAGGGCTGTGGAGTCTTTTTCAGCCCAAGGGCAGCATTACCTTCTGGGTATTCTTCTTAAGTGGGGCACATGCCCGTTGCGGGTGGGGCCAGAGACAAAAGTAGCACAGCAACAAATGCAAAAGAAATGCACATGCTATCTTTACACAATAGGTAGTTTTACACACACTCCTGCAGTTTCTTTTGATTTAATATTTCTTTACTGTAAATACAGCAGCACTCTTTGATGCCCCAACTCAATCAACTGGCATTTCTGCTAACCCTGGGACCAAATAAGAGTGGCATTTACCGTATTTTTCGCTCTATAACACGCACTCGACCATAACACGCACGTAGTTTTTAGAGGAGGAAAATCCGTAGGCATGCCACCCGTAGGCATTCCCTCCATAACACGCACAGACATTTCCCCTTACTTTTTAGGAGGAAAAAAGTGAGTGTTATGGTGCAAAAAATACGGTAAATAAGATCTGGCTAATGCATTAATACACACACCAGTTTGGACCATAACTGAGCAAATCTGCCTTTGAATGAATCTGTCTGAACATTCAAGAGGTGAAAATTTAATTTATCCCTTGAATGATTCAGTAAGTCAATAAACAAACTAAGCAAACAATGTTGCTGTGTTTTAAGCAAAAGAGCAATATTCGGGTGGACCACATTTTTTAGGATGCACTGTCAATTCTTGCAAGGGAGAATTATTGCTGAAAGTCCAAACCTCAACCCCTATATTTCCAGACCACCACCCTCCCCACATAGAGCAAAGACTAAACCAAGAGTATGTCCTGCTGTGTGCATTGGACTGATGATCATTTGAAACAGCCCAATGGTTGCCATGAAGTCCATGAACTCCTGAGCTAGATCTGAGGCATCCCCACTATGGATGCTGAAGTCACCCTAAAACACAGTTCTTGTTTCCTCTAACATCACACCCAATTCAACCTTGGCCAGCACAGTCAGGGAGGCTGATTAGCAGTAGGGTGGGCGGTAACAACTACAGAATCCCTAGCCAGTCTCTTTGGCCCAGCACCAGATGCAAGCTTGAATACATGGGCAACAAGAGTGGAGTCAAAGTTAGCCCACCCACCTCCCACACCCAGGTCTCAGTAATACACTAAGCCAACCTCCTCACCCACAACAGAATTGTGGATCAGCATGGTTCTGTTATGGACTGACCTGGCATTCAGACGTAGAACCACTAGACTGTTGGGGACAGTGGCAAAGCATCCATTGTTACCAGCAAGAGGATATCAGGCACAAGCACCTATCACAAGGTGAAGGGCTGCGAACCTGGCTTCAGAAAGGCAGCATGAGGGCAATGCCCCAGAGCCATCCTGTCACATTCCATTCTCAAAGCCTACGTACTTGCTAAGCTTTGGGAAGGAGGCACAAGGGTTCCAGAGTTCTTGTGCTTCCTTCCCAATGTCAGCTAAACTCACAATCACATTCTTGCACAGGTGTGGGAGGGGAGGAGGAACAAATAAATGGAGAGTTGGTTCCTTCCTTCCTTCCCCACCCACCTGTGAAAAGCTGTGACTGCATAAGTAAAGTAAGTTACCTATACTCGATATGATTTTTTAAAACGGTACTTTTTGAACAGCTAAAAAGTAGAATGGATTCCTTGCAGATTTAACCACAGGGAAATAACCCAAAGCGTACAGCTCAGTATAACAGATTTTGCATAATGCCATTAAGCCTGTCATCTTACTGGCAATTCTGAAGCCAAAGATTTAAAAGCTGAAGAGATTGTGGATTCACCGTAACACTAAAGGAGCCCCAGTAAACATCACTGTGCCTATTATTACAAATGCATTTCACATTTATGGGATGTGTCGTCCTTAATTCCAGGCAGATTAAGTGGGAATTGCACTGAGCACAGACTAATACCTGAAATGTAGCAGTGATGTCAATACAAAATCAAATGAAATATTGCATGAGAAAAAACAGCTGCTTGAGAACAGGACCTCTTTGTTCTGCACTTTGGGCTGCTTTTCCCACACTAGTTCTGAGATATGCATCTTAGATGTTTTAAAAGTACAGTTAAAGCATAATGTGCGAAGGCAACGGGCATGAGTTTGCACGCACCCACCCCTTAGGCTATGTTAGAATATGATGTTATAACTAGGGTTTAGTGTGATGAGGTGGAGCCATAGCCAGTCTTGGACTTATGCATTCCCTCTTCTTCCTCTGGCACAACCACATGCTTCTGCTTTCATTTTCAATTAACTGCTGTCATATGAAACCCCAAACTGTGGTTAATTTTCACTATGATTTGCTGAAATGAGAAAATCTCATTAAGCACGGTTTGAAGTTGATGTGTTTCAACAAACCATAGCTAAGTTTAACCATAGTCTATCCAGTTTGAACCATCACAACCACCTGTGGTTAATCAAAAGTGAAAATTAAAGCTTCTAACCTCCTCCTGTATCCACAACCAGAGGAAGACAGAGGAGGATGTAAGCCCAAGATCACTGTGACTTACATTCACTGGGAGGTAGGACCAGCTGCAGCTTTCTCCCAAGTCTTCAACTGGTGGAAAGAGTCAATCACTCTTTATCATGTGAAAAGGCAATTAGGCTTCTTCCTCACCTTATGGTGACATGCCTTTCAACAAACCCAACATCCAACCATTTTCTGTCATGGTGGAAGAATAAATTTAGGGGTATGGAATTTCTCTGAAGGCCTGGTCCTAATTTAATTACAACATCTGACTGCAAGTGGTCCTCTATCTACTGCTCAGATTGTTAGGGTAGGTCAGCGGTTTAAACAAGACGAGAAAACAACAAAAATAGATCAAAAGAATAAAACTTTATTTGTAAGGAAATTTATTCCCTAACAAAGGGGAAAGGTTAAGCAGTTACAGATCAAGACTAAGCAAGCTGATGTGCCTTCCTGATTGATGGGACCCCACTCCAGTCATGGAACGAAAATCCTATTTTGATCAAAACCTACTAAATTCTTGGTCAGCTCCTCCTCCGTGATCTACACAAATCATGACTACACAAATCTGATTGGTTAGGGCCTTCAAATGGATTTAGTATTCTCATTTTAGTAATAAGGGCTCGGGCTCAGGTTGTTTGTTGCTGAAGCAACACCAGAACTTTCAGTTCCTCTAGCACAGCCTGAATCCTGCCTTTCCTCAGAGCAGTGCAACAGGAAGGAAGCCATGTGTTCTCCCTTAAGGACTCTCCTGTTTTTTTAAAACCATATTGGGAGGGTCCAAAGGAACTCCAGTGGTTCACTGGATGCTGCACCTCATGAGCTCAAGAGTAACCTATGAAGGCATGCCTACCTTCAGTGCTACACTGTCTGCCTTCAAAATGGATATGAAAATGAAGTCCCTCCAAAATACAAAGACTCATCCACCCAAGAAAAAACTCACCCCACTCTCAAGTGACAGGAATCTACTACAAGATTCCTCATCAATTACTCTAATGGGAGCCATTTCCGAAACTACCCTCTTTTTGTATCAGCCATCTAAGTTTATTACTGCTAAATAATTCACATAATTAACCAAGATGCAATTTGGCATGCCTCTCCCCAATCAACAGTAAAAAAAATATGGTTTAAGAAACAAGTTCAGATCAGCAAGACACTCAATTGATTAACAGAAGAGGGCAGGGAGGCTGATGGGCTAAGACCTTGGGCCAAATAATACTACTGAGCCATTCAAAGCACAAATTTTATAGACATCCATTCCGGCTAAAGCCTTGATTGAAAGGAAAACAGAAGTTTACAAGGATGTAGTAGCTGAAGTTCTGTCTGCCTTTATTTGAAAGTCTGGAATCCTAATGAATCTGCCAGTGCCACCCACTACAACACAATGGGGTGGTGTGGTGGGGAGATGAAGAGGCAGCTGATTCAGTAAAGAAAGGAATAATGTTGAAAAGAGGACAGATTGTACTTACACTTCAAATTCAGTACAAGAAAACCCAAATTCTGTACTGAAAATAGATTGTGCATCAGTATTATCTACAATCACTTGAAGCTGCTCACCAGAGATTCAGATAAGAGTCTCCCCGCTCCCCAGCCTTACCTGGGGAATCTGGGGGCTGAACCTGAGACCTTACGCGCACAAAGCATGAGCTCTACCACTGAGCTACAGCTCTTTCCCTAAAGAGAAAACAGATGCAACAAGGGAGGCAAACACAGAATTCTGCCTTCTGGGATTGGTGGCTTTTTGCAAAGATGGGTCTTGAATGCAGCACATAGTTCATGCTGATGAAATCATACCAACTTCAGGGAGGTTTATGCAACCTATGTGCAGAATCATTTTTCCAACCTGACTGTCTCATACTAAAACTTTCGATCCTAATATTTAAAGCATGAATATTTGAAACATGTAGATATTGAAGGTAGAATTTGTCATCACTGAAGGAGGGGCGGTAAGAAAAGAACTCTGGGAAATTCACAATTAACTTCACAGAACATATCCCTATTGATAGGAAAATGTGGGGAAACTATCTTAGTACTTAAAAGTGTTGCAATCAGTACAGCTCAAACGCTTCCCCCAAAAGCTGGCAGTAACCCATTACTGTTCACTGCTGATTCTGATACTGTTCACACTTCATTACACAAAGCCCCTTACCTGTATATCTGTGTCCTTTACAGGCTCTAGAGGCTCAAATGTTGTTACAGCACTAAGACTCTCCAACCGCTGGGAGATGTGGGAGATGTCAAGACCTCTGGACCCAAGGAGAACTGATCTATAAGAGACATGAAAAGGCAGGGGGATGAGACAAATACTTTCACAGTGACAGAGCGGGATCCAGAAGGACCCCAAAATTATGCACTTGCTCCTTCAGGGAGAGTAGCAACGCCATCCAGGGCAGGCAACTTACTGACTTCCAGACACACTCACAGAGCCTCCATCTTCCCATGATTCAGATTCAATTTATTAGTCTTCACCCAGCCCACCACTGCATCCAGACACTGGTTCAAGGCCTTTTCAGCCACTCCCAGTTCAGATGTTACAAAGAAACAGAGTTGGGTATCATTGGCATACTGATGAGACTTTGCTCAAAAACTCCTGATTGTTTGAGGAACTGGACGTGGGGAAGAGATTCATTTCCTTCAAGGACACAAATCACTCCATCTATTGAATTGCTGGAGCAGCTTTGTATTTGTATCCGTATCTGCAAAGCCTACAAGCTGTATGTTTTTATCAACATCCAAAACTGCATCACTGAAGCTTTATCTTCTGCAGAAGTAAGCTAGTTTGGACCTTAAGCTGCCTCTGTGTGGTGACTGGAACTGGGGGCAACTTCCACTACATGGGCATCTCACCTCAGACTCTCAACACTAATGACCACTCCCAACAGCTTCATGTAAGTGTTAAATGGCATCAGAGACAATATAGTGCTCTGTAGCACCAGTAGATCAAAAGCAAAGGGCTGAGAAGCAATAATCCAGTGCTACTTTTTGCCCCTGAAGATACAACTGGACCCACTGTGAAACAGTGCCCCTGATACCCATCTCTTGTAGACAGTCCAGGAGGATATCACTATCAATAGGATTTACTAAGAGAAACAGGTTCACAATCTCCCCTCTCAATAGAGGTCATCCACCAGGGTAATCAAGGAAGATTCATTGCTGAACCCAGGTTGGAATGGGTACAGATAATAACCCACCCTTCCTCCCCAAATGGTGTCTAGGACAGCCTACAATAAAATTACATAAAAGCAATTTAAAAATACATCATAACACATTCCACAGAGAATATAAAAAGAATGACCTACAGTGCAACCCTAAGCATATCGCTCAGAATTCAGTCCCAAGGGGTTCATTGGGGTTTACTCCCTAGTTAGGTCTGCTGCTATAAGCATCTTACCAACAAGACCAAAAGCTTCAAGCAAACCAGGAACTTACGCCTTGACATCTGCCGTCTCCTGGGAAGTGCGGGTCAGTGTCCGGGAGCGCAGGCGCTCTCCTGCTTGTTGGATCTCTTGGAGGTTGCGTTCGACATGAGGAAGCTCAGCGATGCCCTCTGTTTCGGCTGCAAGCTGCTCTGCCTGCTGCAGGAGCTCCCCAAACCCTTCCCCATCCATTTGGGAGGCTGCTCACTGTGTGGACTGACCTGAGGGAAATGGGTATGAAAAGGCACCTCAGAAAGAATGGAATGTACAATCATGACAACCTGAAAAGGCTACTGACAACAACAATGTCAGCCTCCAATTAACCTGTGAGAAAAAATAATAGACTGAAGCTTGCTCTGGTCAGTCTTATGGATAAAAGCAAAATATGTGCCAGTCCATCACCTACACATCACTTGTGCATAAAGAGGTAACCCTAAAGACTGTAAAAATTCTAGTGACTGTCATGTAAGCTTATTAAAGCCTTCACTTATCATCTTAGGTAACTTTAAGAGGAACTAGAAAAAATGATGGCTGATAAGGCTATCAATGTCATGATGGCTGTATCCTACTTCCAGACCTGGAAGAAGAGTAGCATGGGAACAACAGCAGGAGAGCACTAGAACCCTCCTGTACTGCTTGTGGGCTTTTCAAAGGGCCAAATAAAGGCCTCATTTGGGTCCCCAGGCCTGTGCTAAAGCAAGAAAGGGAGAGCCAGGAACCAACACTGCTCTACCACAGAGGCTTAGTTGCACAGCTATGTCACCTGAAAGACCTGGAAGCAATGGACGCCATGGCCATTGACATAAAAGTGACACAGGCTGACTGCCACAGACCACAAAGATAACTATGAGCCAAGCAGTCTCTGCTTCTAAATTTAAGCTCTGATCACTGGCTCACAAAGTGGTCTCAGACAAGCTATATTATGGGGATATTGATTATGATTTTTATTATCTTAATACATGCCTATCTTACAGGGCTGTTATGAGTCAGCTAAACATGGTTAGAGTATTTTGAATTAAGTGTTGTACAAGTTATTTGTATTATTATGACCAAAAGGCCCTGAAGCATCAGTGCTACTCCCCTTTCCTTGAAAGCTCCTCAGGTTCAAGTCTCTGAAATTTATTTATATGTTTGTTGACAATTTATATTCTGCTTAGTGACAATTGTCTCTAAGCTGTGTACAGCAAGTTTAACAAATAAAATAGAAACAAACTCAGATAAAAACTAACAGATAAATAGAAATACCATGTGGTCTTTCAAATGAGCTAGTCTTAAAACAAATTACAGGAGTGGGATCTGATCATTCAATTAAAGCTTTGATCCCAAGTGGGTGCTTTGCACTTTCTTCTATATATTTCAAGCTTAAGGTCCAGGGAAAAGCTATAAATCTAGAAAATATTGCTGTAGAGGGCTGTGCTTTGGGCCCTGCTCCTGAAGTTCCAGACCTCCTATAGAAGGCAGCTCAGTGTTGTAGCTGAAACCCTTGCAGATTTCAGAGGAAAGACTTACCAGCAGCAGCTGGCAGGAATCTGATATCCTAATCACAGTTATCTTCCAGAAAACCCACAAGGGGCTCCCATCCGACATTAACACTTTTCACATGTATTCCCGCGTAGGAGTCATTTCAAAGAACTCTCAGGGAGGAATAAGTTATGCCAAAACAGGCTGCAATCTGTTAAGTGCTTTAAAAGCCAGAATTTATAAAGCTTGATTTTCACTGTGCCAACCCCACTCCATAGTCTTACTTTTCACTTCTGTTTGCATTGATCTGCCTGTGGTAGTTTATTTCTCTTCCTATGTGAAGTTTGTTGATCTGTCCAATCTAACCTTTTGTTGAATTCCCAAAGCATCTGAGTCAGCCCATCCTCCACTCTGTTTAAGGCAACATTTCACTTTTAGGGTAGAAATACAAGCAATACTTGGTGGTTCAGACAAACTGATAATAGGTATCAGTATAAGACGGGGTGGAAATCTTTCTTAGCCTAAGGGCTGCAATTCCCTCACGGGCAAATTTCTGGGTGTTACATGCCTCTGCTGGGCAGGGCCCTACAGGAAAGTAGACACAGGAACATATATGATTATACCCTTTGCATAGTAGGCTATGTTCAGTTAGAGGTTTCTATGCACACTTCCATCTCTCCATCCAGGCAATCAAAAGTCATTATAACACATCCAGAATGCAAAAAAGAAAAAGAAAAAAAAGCATTTGACGAGTGTATGGAACAGGGCGGATCAGAGGACTGTAGCCTAGGGAGGGGTATGTGGCCTGAGCAAAGCCCCAGTGCCCAGTGAAAGAGGCCTGGAGGGCTGCCTTAGGCTTCTAGATCTAAGGTCCCCCACCCCGATACAAATAAAGCCACTTCCCCTCATGCCATGACATTTAAGGGTGACCAAGAAGCAGAATCCAGGATAGAGCTATGTAGGTAAGAACAGGCTTCAGAAGGGTCTAAAATATGCTTGTTCCCTACAGGGAAGTGTGCAGTGTGCACGCTGGAACCCAAGGCGCAGAGAGCGTATATGCCTTTTCCCAAGATATGGCCTACCCATCCCGGCAAGGCTTTGCTCCTGAAGAAGAAAAGCTAATCCCAGAATTCATGCAAATGCCAAAAAATGCAAATAATCAGGCTGGCTCCAGACAATGGAGACCATGTGAACCTCCCCTATCGCCAGGCCCTGGGCTCTTTGCTAACGTAAATGGCCATCAGACTTCAATAATCCAATAAATAGCTCAGGCGGTGGCCATGGAAGCCAGGGAGAGAGCCAGGTCACAGAGAAAAGGCAATTTCATGCCCTGCAATGCAGTACAGGATGTCACCTCAGCATCTCCTTGCAAGCTGCTTCCCCTTTGGCAGAGAATGACTGTGCACCGCTGACAGAAAAGCCTCTGCTGGCAGACAGTGACCGAAGCAGTTGCCCTCCCACCCAGTTAAGGCTGCCACTGCCGGTTCCAGAAGGTGCAGCAGTGCGTCTGGTACTGACAGAAGGAACAGCGCACGCTCCACTTTGATCCGGTTCACTTCTCTTTTTCATTAACTACATCGTCGGTAAGACGACACCAAGAGCACCAGCAAACTTCTGCGACGACAATGAAGCCAATAAGTATGTAAAGCAAAGCACACTCCATGGGCTGCTTCCGATGATGCATTTCCCTGCTCTCGCTTTTGAACGGCACACAGGGAAGCAACCATAAATCAGTATAAAACACACATGCAAACCTGTAAAAATGCTGGAATGATCCTGAGAATATTGCTAGATTTAACCCACATCTGGCCTTTCTTCTATCCAAACAGAGTGGGGTGGGAAGGGCAGTAGGTGGAGAAAATTGGAGTGAGGATCAGGCATCTCTCAAACCAACCTCACTGAAAATTATTAGAAATGTAAAAAGGTATTGTTACGTTTATTTAAAAATAAAATAGTACTTTTATTTAAAAATAGTACTTTAAAAATGAACTGTGCAAAAAGCATTGGTAAGGCTAGCTGACAGCACTGGATTACAAAATGTGATTCAGAACCTGGGTTTGCCTCGACCAGCCATCCCCAAACTGATGCCGTCCTGATCTTTGGACTACAACTCCCATCAGCCCTAGCCAGCAGAGTTATGCTGGCCAAGACTGATGGGACCTCTAGTGCAAAATGTCAGCAGCATACCTACAAAGGCTGGTATTTGTACCAAGGAAAGCTTGTCCCACAAATCTCCAGATAAAACTGCATTTGAATCAAAGCCTTGGCATTCTTTACATTTTCTAAAAGTGAAGGTTTTAATAAAAGCCTTAAAAACAATATAATAAACATCCCCGTAACTGGAGCCTCTTTATACATCTCTGTTCCACAGCTCCAAATTATGAGTCAGGAACTAAACTACAGGTGTAGGAAGCCTATAGAAACCTAGCTTTCAGCACTACCCTAGCAGGGAAGCTTGAAAGGGTAAAAAGAAAACTCCGATATACTGTACATAGTTCCACACAATATAAATCTAGCTAGTGAGAGAGTCAGATTTGATTTTAAAATGGTAGATTTAAAAACAAATAGAAAGCTCAGTTTTCCTAGGTTAAAATGGTTAAGCAGTTTTGTATGTGAAAGTTTCAGCTCTCAGTTCATCTTAAAAACAGCTAAAACTAGTCTCATTCATAAAAGCTGGAATTCAAGCTACACCTTAAAACTTTGGTTAAAAAAAAAAAGTACGAGCAGACAGTAATGGATGCTAGGAAAGAATTTTAAAAACACATTGCTAAATACTGGGGGAAATACATCCTGTTTCATTGAAGCAAAATGGGAAAGTGCTGCCTCAGCTGAAGCCTCCCTTATATCCCTTGGATTTTGCAATCTGTGGGGAGTGAATTCAGGAGGCAGGGTCCAACAATAGAAGGCTATGTTTGATTATGGCGAATTTTGAATGAAGGCAGCAGCAGGGGCAGGGGTGGGGGGTGAGATACTTAAGTGCTCTTGTTGTTCAATGGCTATTTAGCCCTGGACCAGCCAAGAAATAGGGGGCTTTCTTCCCAAATGACAGGATTCAATATTTTCCAGACCATTGGTGCACAGAAGTTATAGCCTTTACATGGATAGAATTTTACTGCATTCAAGGGACTGCAGTCAGACTCTTAATGTGGTTGCTCAGTATGGAAAGCAATAGCACAGTCATGAGCGGAATGATGCCAGAATCATCACATCTGGCTGAGTAAAAAGCAACAACTGAGACCCCAAAGAGGTGGATCTGGCAGAAGGTAGTAAACTAAGTTCTCTGAATCAAATAGTAGTCCAAAAGCCAGGTAGAGCAAAACTCATCAAAATCAAGATTGAAGATCTGTCAATAGTTCCTGCTGCATTAAGCCAATATCTGTGCTCTGAAACAACAACCTCCATTAAAATGAAACTATTATGTTTGGAAAACAGAACAGAGAAATAGCCAACTTCTAACAGAAAAATAACCAGTCTACAATTTATCACTTGGTGAAACTTAAGAACGTTAATATGGCCTACATATTAGGCCAACATCCTGTTCTGACAGTGGTCAGAAAAATCAAACAGTGCCTGAGGGCAACACCACTCTCCCCTGCTGAGCTTTCCAGCAACTGCACATGGCTGGATGGGTCAATTAAATGGAATGCTGGGCCATTCATTTTCCTCTAGTTGGTCAATGCAACTCTTGCCAATATACAATGTGTGTGCATATGTGTGTGCACACAGCTCATTCACATTGATTATGTATCCATTTATAAAGGGCTCTTGTTCCAGAATAGGAACTTTTTTCAACCTAAGGGCCACATTCCCTTCTGGGGGTCATATGTCAGGGGGGAGTAGGGCCAGCAAAAGTAGGCACAGCAATGAACAGAAATTACCGTATTTTTTACTCTATAAGACGCACTTTTTCCCCTCTAAAAATTGAGGAGAAATGTGTGTGCGTCCTATGGAGCGAATGCAGGCTCTCCAGGCTCTCGTTCTCCAGGCTTCAGGGATAGCCGCGCACAGCCCCTCCGGCAGGGAGAGGCTGCACGCGGCTATGGCTTCTTTAGCCCTGCGCAGCCTCTCCCAGCAGGGAGAGGTTACGTGGGGCTAAAGAGGAAGCCAAAACAGCGAGCGGGATCCATCCCGCTGGCTGCCTTGGCTTGTGCCATAGCCCCGCACAACCCCTCCGGAAGGGAGAGGTTGCGCAGCCTGTACGGTGCTCTTTGGGGCTTGGGGGGGGGAATAGGATTTTTTTTTCTTGATTCCCCCCACCCTAAAAACTAGGTGCACCCTATGGTCTGGTGCGCCCTATGGAGCAAAAAATACGGTAAACCTTTGTACAGTACACTAGTTTCTGCACACACACTAACACCCCACTCTGTATCCTCCACACAAGTAAGCAAGAGGCATTATCCGAGTTCAATGACACATTCCACTCCGGCAAAAACACTTAAGCTGTTGAGAGGTGTGGCCTGGGCAGAATCCCAAAGGAAGTCTGGAAGGTAGCAGTCTGGGGTTTCCCACTGCTGCTACAGCATATTTTTTCAGTGACAGATTGAAAGTAGAAGTTTCTGGCTTGACTGCAGTAGAGTAGGAGGTCCCCCAGGGCTGGCTAAGGCAGAGAATGAGGCCTGGGCTTGCTTCTCCAACACTGCTGTCTGCTTCTCAGCTATGCAGCCTACAACTATACCTGCATTGCAGACGGGGCTTCACTTGATACTCCAGTTGGCCTCTCTCATACCTCTGATAAGTTGCAGTACACTGGACCAAAAGGTTAGTCTCTAATGCTCTAAACCATTTTTTAGACCCTTTTCTATTCCTTCTCCCTGATTCTCATCCACTTCAAATCAAGGTTGTTGCCACCAGCTGATCCTTCTTCAGCTTGATTCCTTATCCTGGAAGAGGCTTACACAGTCTCTCTCTCCTCCACCACCCTTTTTTAATAAAGCAACTGACAATCACTATGTTGGGGAATCATTACTCAAGCAAATACAAAAAGGATTTTTGGTCGCTAGGCAGGGAAACAGAGTTTCTTTCCTTTGCATCCACTAAGAACTAAAGGCAACACAACTCACATACATGCCAGATAGTATCCTGTTACTCTGCCTGCAGAGGTAGAGTAAAAGTGTGAGGTGGAAATTGTACCTGAATGTTACCTGTTCAGTGTTCATGCCACAGCCATACCAAAAGGTGTTGCGGACCCAAGCAAGAGACAAGACAATATATTTGTGTGCCATTCCCCAAGTCCCACTCATTTAAACAATGTTGAGGAGGAGGCATTCCTGGTGGATTGCATATTAAAAGGTAAGCTCCATCTTGAAGAAAATAAAACTGGAGCACAAAATTAGAGAAGATGCATGCTGATAGGCTGTCTTCAGGATTAACCACTCTAAAATGACTGAGAAGGAAAAGAGAATGTATAATGAGAGATTCAGGAGAAGTCCTAAGAAACATTTCACAAAGCCCAGACAATTTAGGATTCATACAGAGACTCCATTCAATTACGATAGCTCTAGCCCTGCAATGCAGGTTCACTTGATAAACACATACACCACCAATGGATAATGCACATTTGCAATGTAAAACAATCTTGTGTAGTAAAGAAAATGACATTGTGCTATTTCAATGCACAGCCCACTCTGCAGACAGGGACAAAACAAGTCACATTGCTTTGTACACAATTTCCAGTTAATAACTCTGTTGCTGAACATCAAGAACTTCCCATATTACGATAACTGAGTTCACACCAATCCTATAGTCTGCTTTTAGTAGTGTATTTAAAATTCCTCCTCCTAAGTCCAAGAGAGTTCAGACACATCCAGCTCTAAAAACAGTGCTAAAAGCATTCCAATTAATAGTGCAAGATTCAACACTACATGTCTCTCTCTCTCTCTCTCTCACTCACACACACACACACACACAGAGAGAGAGAGAGAGGCATGCCTCTGGGGTGCTCCAGCACAACACTGCAAAATAATTTTTTATGCCCACTAACTAGAGCAAGATTTCATAGCTGCAACATCACTTCTGTGTCAAGGCCCTTTGTGAGATTCGTCACAAGAAAGGAACAGGACTAATCATTTTGGCAAGGTAGTTTCTGTGATGTTTTCATGCTATGTTAACTAGTTAGTAATGAAGAGTTAATGCAGCTTTACATAATCCTGCTGAAAAGCAGGATGTGCAGTGTTAGCCTTTTCTAAAGAAAGTAGCAGACATCTTGAAAAATAAAGGTGCATAGTTTGGGACTTCTCCTGGGCTCAACCACCTTCTGAATACCAAGGAAGTAGCTGTGGCCAGAGGACGTTTGCCCACTTTAGGCTGGTGCACCAACTATGTTCATTTCTGTATCTAGCCACAGTAACGCGTCTTGGTTACATAAAGACTGTACTACTGCAATGTACTACATGAGGCTACCTACGAAGAGAACCTCTGGAAGCTTTAACTGGTCCACAGTGTGGCTTGGGATGCTCATGAATGTGGGAAAATATTGTGGTCACTTAAGGACAACTGCTCTAGTTAGCAATACATTTCCAGGTGCAATTAAAGTTCTGGAGATTACCTTTATAAACCCCAAATGGTTTGGAGTTCAGGGAACCTAAAGGAATTCCTTCTCCCATACACAAGATGGAGAGGTCCTTCTCTATATCATGACACAGGGTGATGATATGTTTGTTGGCACATGCAAGAGGGCCTTTTCTATGGCTGCACCCCAGCTGTGGAGATTTTCCTGTGTGGCATTCAACTGCCCCCTCACCTTTGAGTTTCCACCACTTTCTGCAGACTTGCTCAGAAGAAAGTCCCAGTATGCTCAATGGGCTTTATTCCTCCATTGTACACAGAGCTTTGACACTACCCAGCAACAACAACCAGAAGCCTGCTAAAGTGAGGCAAGGATCTAAATTGTATTATCTCAGAGAGCTAAAACAAAGCAGAGTCTTATGGCAGTTCAATGACTAACAAATTTATTATGATAAATAGCAGTGTAACAAAATAGATAAGAGACTTGAGTTGTAAAGTCTTCTAGATTCATTGAGCAGCTGTAGGCAACACATTCCCTCTCAGTCTCATCCTCATATATGTTCATATCCTTGTTTCTGAGAGTGCAAGTCTAGATGTTCGTATAAAGAGGTAAGACTGTAAGTTCATATCCCTGTTTCCTGTCCTTATGGATTCTAGACTGCTAGCTCAATGACACATGTTTTTACATATGCTAACCAAAAATATGGGGGCCCCTTATAGACAAGTTTGCTAGCTCTGCCTGCTGTCATTCTCCCAATTGTGCAGAGTGCAATCACAATTGTGGTGGGAAGCAGTGCTAACAGGACTGTCCCTGGAGCTCCTCCCCACCACACTTAATTAACATTAACTTTATTAACACACCTGAAGAAGGCTATAGTAGAGTTGGACAGATGCAGAAAAAGAAAAACCTTTCCTCAAGAAAGCGAACAACCCCTCTATTATTTTGTTTAAGTGTTCTGGAAGAATATGCTAGAGGTTGATAACGCTATGAGTGATGTGATATGGATGGATAGAAAATAAATATATTGCATTCTCTTAATATTAGAACTTGGGGGTCACCAACTGATCCACCGTAGATTTAGGAAAGACAAGACAAAGCACACTTCTGCTTTAAAGAATTTGTTGTATCTAACTATAGCCATGTGAACATACAAAATCTCACTCATACAGACTCAAGACCATTGGGCTTATCTAGCTTAGTGCTGGTAGTGGCTCATCCAGGTCTCAGGCGAGGCCTCTTCCATCATCTACTTTATCTGGAAGAACCATTGATTAAACACGGGACCTTTTACGGGCAGAACTGGCAGCTTTAGGAGAGGTTTAGAAAAATCCAAGGCGACGGTTACCGGTGGCTGCACAGTCCTTTGCATGTCTACTCAGAAGTAAGCTCAGTGGGCCGTACTTCTAGTTAAAGGTGTGTAGCTCTGCAACCTAAGTGGTTTGGGTGACAAATCCACAGATCAGGAAGAAGAGGGTCATCTGCTGCTATTAGCCAATGTTTTCAAAATAGAGCCTCCACGTGCAGAGGCAGTCTGGCTCCGCAGTTTCTCCATGGTGTTGGGGATAAGCAGGAAGGGGAAACCCTCAACCCCCCCCCCCCGCTATCTAGTGAGCGGCCGCTGTTTGGAAGCAGGAGGCTGGGTCAAGCGGCCCCTTCTGCCCTGGTTTTAATGGTGTTCGGCACCTTAAAGCGGGGCGGGAAGGGTGGAAGGCGGCACATCCGGGTACTAGGGCCTACGGCTGAGGAAGGAAAGAAGGGGCTGTAAACGCGTGCCGGGCGGAGACACGCGTGAGGGAGGCTAAGGTTTAAAGCTCCCCTCAGCTGCGTCCGCTCCCCTCCATCCCCCAGCCAAAAGGCATCTTACCGTTCTCGCTCCGCTTCCTCGGTCCGCCGCGAGCCCGTCACGTCAACGCTGTTCTGCTCCGCGCCGCGCGCTCTGATTGGAGGAGAGCCCGGCTTCTCCCAGCAGCCACCGCGGCCGCCTTATTTCCACGCTAAATATAATAAGGCACTAAGAACAAAAAAATTTTTTGTTAAATTAATAGCTCGGGGGCGTAAGACTTGTTCCACTGCTTAGAGTAGGTCCGGAAAGCACCCTCTTTCACGCCCGCGGGAGGTGGAGGGAGGGTCAGCGGCTGTCGAAAATACCCGGATGTGAGCGAAGGCGAGGCAGCCACGCTCCCGCCGGTTGCAATCACTACCAGCCGGGCTTGGTTGCCATGGAGACAGGAGGCCCCAAGAGCTTCGTATCTCTTACTACAACCCGGAGATTTGGGGAGGGAGCAGTTATTCTCCCTCCCCCACAAAGATGCTCCTGCTGCATTCATCAATCAAATACGAGCTTTAAACGGAAATGTTTTATTTTATAGATTTATGATAAGCCACCTTTCAAACAGGTGATATAAAAAGAGTACTGTAGTAACAAATCAAGGAATGCCCTTAGCATTAAAATGTACAAAATAAACCAGAATGATAAAAAGCAGTAAAATATATTGAAATGTTTTTATCAGAAGGCTCAGCACCCCACCACATAGAGCAAGGATTTATTGCATCCAGTCTTACAGTGGCATCTCAAATATTAAGGCTGCAATCTTAAGCGCATATATTTTATCAATTTTTATATTAGGCTGGTCCTAAGAAAGATGCCCAACTGTGGACTTTGGAGTGCATCCTGTATACAGGCAAAGTAAAGTAATCTTACTGGGGCTTACTTCTGAGTACTGTAGACTCAGAATATAGGATTGCACTGAAACAAATTCATTATGGTTTCAAGGCCACAGTCCACTTCATCGTGGTAAAAGCAGCTCCATTTTTTGTTGAATAAATAGCGATGCACAAGATACCCTTTGAAGCTTTCTAGTGTGATAGGAATTTTTAGGTCTTAGATATATGTTAAATGTTCATAAGTGTACCTTTACAACACTAGCTATGAAATGCAACAAGTGCAAGGTCTTGGGTCATTCTACACGTTGTGGTATAGTATCTGGAGGAAACAAAATGATAGCAAAGTTGTGTGCTATGCTTTGTTACCGAAATTGCGTTTTATTGTGTGATGCTTTTAATGCAAGCCGCACTGGGAGGAAAGGTGGGATATAAATATGAGGACAACAACAACTGAAGCACTCCTCCAAAGTCCTTATAAATACGCAGCCGACGTGATTACTGACAGAGTTTGTGTCCCATGTGCATGAAGGAGGAGAGGCAGCAGCAACAACCACAACCCCACGTATCCAGGCGAGGGAAACATCCCCTGGCTTGCGGCGGAGAGCAAAGATCAGACCAAGGCCCACCAGAGCCACAGAGGGAAGCAGAGAGCAGCGACCACGAGGCAGCCGCCCAGGCCAGGTCCTCCGGGTCGCTGGGGGGCGAGCAAGGAACCGTGAGCCGGCGCTGGGCGGCGCCTCTCCCAGGCAGGAGGCGCGGAGGAATTGTCCCCGCTCCTCCTCCAGGTCCTGGTGCTCCTGCCGGGCGGCCCCGCCATGCCTTACGCCAACCAGCCGACGGTGCGCATCACGGAGCTCAGCGACGAGAACGTCAAGTTCATCATCGAGAACACCGACCTGGCGTGAGGACAGGCGGGGGCTACGGGCGTGGGGTCGGGGCCTCCGCAAGCCTCCCCCGGGCGGGTTCCTCTCGGGCCGCGCTACTACCGGCTCGCCGCGCGCCTTGAACCCCCCGCTCTCAACTCACGGCATGCACATCGAAGAGAGAAGAGCTTTAGGGGTTCAAAACGCAGCGGGGCGCAGCTAGTCTAGCAGCCACATCCCCCATTGGGAAGCCCGAGTGCAGGGCCAGAGAGAGCACTCTTCTCCGCCTGGGGATGTTCAGGGTTCAGGGGGCTCTGGCCTCCCACGGGGGCGGGGGGGGGCAGCGCGTGGATGTTGGGGGTAGTAGCCGTCGATTCACAGTGCCGGATTTACCTATAAGCTAAACAAGCTATAGCTTAGGGCCCCACTCTCTTGGGGGGCCCCAAAAAAAATTAAAGGGGGGGAACTGGATGTACTTTGATAAAATACATATTTTGTTATGTGCAAATGGCTTTAGATACCTATTAGGTCCATAAATTACCATATAGCATGTATTCAACACAAAAAACAGTGACATTTTGTTGTTGACAAAGGACAGCTGGATATATAAAGGGCCCCGTTACCTTCAGTAGCTTAGGGCCTCATCAAACCTAAATCCGGCCCTGGTCACAGACCCCATGAATGTTAAAGCCATCCAAGCTGCTGGCCCTCACCATGTCTTGTGGGAGAGAATGCCACTGTTTAACTGTGCTGTGTGAAAAAGTCATTTATCTGCCCTGAAGTTATCCCACATTCAGCAGGTTACAGCATTATGGGGCTTTTTAGGTTAGAAAAAAGGTGAGGAAGGCCAGGACCTGATGGAAGTTTATAAAGTTATACAGTGGTACCTCTGGATGCGAACGGGATCCGTTCCGGAGCCCCGTTTGCATCCTGAAGTGAACGCAACCAGCGTCTGCGCGTGCACGGGTCTCGATTCACTGCTTCAGCACATGCACGTGACGTCATTTTGAGCGTCTGCGCATGCGCGAGCGGTGAAACTCAGAAGTAACACGCTCTGTTACTTCCGGGTCGCCGCAGAGCGTAACCTGAAAACGCTCAACGTGAAGCACATTTAACCCGAGGTGTGACTGTATATGCCACAGAGAGAGATCTTTTCCTCCCACCCTAACACTAGAACTTGTGGACATCCAATGATGTTGAATGTTGGAAGGTTCAGGACGGATGAAGGAAAGTCCTTCATGCAAGCTCATAGTTAAACTCCCACAGGAGGCAGCAATGGCCACCAACTTGGATGACTTTCAAAGAAAATAGATTCGTAGAGGAAAGGGTTGTTGATGGCTGCTAGCTGTAGTGGCTATACTCTGCAGTGATGCTTCTGAATACCAGTTTCTGGAAACTACAGGAGGGGAGAGGACTGTTGTGTTCTGGTCCTGTTTGTGGGTTTCTGTTTGGGGCATCTGGTTGGCCTCTGTGAGAACAGGATGCTTGGCAATGCAAGTGCTTGTTCTTCTGGTTAAAGAGATGCTAACAATATCTGTAGGAACTATAACAACTCTAACTATAACTCTCTCTATGTAATTGTTCTATAGAATATTAAAAATAGTTCAGAATGAATCTGTCACCAGCTGCTATGTATAACATAGCAGAGTCTGTACTATTGGGCACATTAGTGATCATATGCATGCATAAGCCCTGGATGAGGAAGACTCTGGAGAGTAGCACTTTGGGCAGATAACACTTAGAAACACATGCACACATCCCTAAAATACCAAGCAGGAAAGGACTATTGGTTTCCTCTGAAATTGGCTCAGTCATCATTTCCCATTAAGTCTACACTGTGCCACTGAGTCTTAAATGACCTGTTTTCCTCAACACGACTTGGGATTTTCCTCTTCAAACTACACCCCCCGGCTCCGCTTTAGGCTCCTCTGTTGCATTGAATAATGAGTCGCTGTGTTCCCCTCCATGGCCTGGTTGTGGGTCCTTTGCCCTGGCTGCCTTGTCTCAGGTCTCTGATCCATATAAGAGTTTTAGAGGGAGATTGCACCCAAGGCACTTCAGAAATAGTTCTCAAAGCATGAACTGAGAAGGGGGCTCATAACTTCACACACGTGGTTCAGAAATACAATTCAGATCGTATAAACACTTTGTGTTTTGTTTTGTTTTTCTATTCTAGAGTAGCAAATTCCATCAGGAGAGTCTTCATTGCTGAAGTTCCCATCATAGGTATTTCCCCATTTTATATTTTGTCTCTTCTTGCAAGATAATAATATTGCTAGGCTGATCAAAGAGGCTGGTGTGCATTCACACGCATCATACACACACAATATCTTTTTGTCCTATTTCAGATATTGTGCTCCGCAAGCTGCACTCAGGTAGTCCTCAGAAAGGTTGAGATATCTGAACTGGGCCTTGCACTTGATTTCCCCCCTCCCTGACACTGGAGACTGAGGCAGTTTTTCCCCAGGGTTGGATTTATCAAACAGGCTAACAAAGTCCTGGCTTAGGGACCATGATTTTCACATTATGGCACTGGTGCAGTATGCTAATTAACTCCCCCACCCCAAAGAATACAATTTAAAGGGGTTCTTTTCCAGAGCTTGGTCTGGGGCCTCTTAATGGTCTTCAAAACGCAGCACTGTTTTTGATTATGCTGGCTCTGAAGGGGGGATTTAAGTGGTACACCAAGACTCCAATTTTCAAGCTCTCTTGCAAGGAAAGAGGAAAAAATATTATTCATCCTGGTCAGTAACCTAGATTTGAATGTATTACTTAGAAAAAGTTGTGCTTTTGCATGCTTCTCTTAATAGCGTTGAAGTTTTCAGCTCCATACTAAAGTGGACTGCCAAGGCTTCTCTCAAGGCCCTCCGGAACTGTAGTCCTCTATGGAAATTCCAGGTCTCTAGCAGAAAATTTTCAGCATCGCCCCAGTCTGCAGTTCTCAAAGGAACTTGGGGCCACCCTTTACAACCAAACCAATTTAGGTTTGTCATAGCCTACACAACTCCCATCAGCCCCAGCATCATGTAGCTGTACTGTCTGGAGCTGACAGAAATTGTAATCCAAAACATATGGAGAGCACCAGGGGAGAAGCCTAGTTTGAAGTGTAGACATACCTCAGAGCCCACATTCTCATACCATTGATGGGTGAAAAAGTATTTTCTCATTTTGGGTTCTTACTGTCTTTTTTGCAGCCATAGACTGGGTCCAGATAGACGCCAACTCCTCTGTACTCCATGATGAGTTCATTGCACATAGGCTGGGTGAGTACGCAGAAGAAGGAATGAAGGAAAACAAAAAATACAACCCCTCATTACTCTTTAAAGAGGGGCATCATTAACCTGTGGTGCAGCAAGTCTTGTAGTGTCTTAAAGACTAGCAAGTGTATTATGGTAGAAGCTTTTGCGGTCCAGAGTCCACTTCATGAGATTCATGTGCCTGTTGTTTTTTTTCTTACCACTTATAAAGCACCCAAACTTTTTAAACATTGTACAGTTCACCAGCGTGATGCCCTCCAAATGTTGAACTACAACTCCCATCATCCCATTGCCTCTTTCTCTTGCATCTTTTTTAAAAACTATTTTCCAGATATAATCAATGAGATACAATAAGGTACATAAAGAAACAAGGAAGAGAGGCACGATGTTTTGTTAATTAAAAATCATAACAATATTTCAGCAAAGGGAATTAAAAGTGTCCCTCCGTTAATCCCTGTGCATTTTAATTGTTGCAAAAACAAAACATTTAAACCAAACTGCATAAAAGTTATCAGATCGTTTTCCTTTTTCTCTTGCATGACTTGCATTAGCTTTTTCATAAGTGCTCATTCCCAAAGTTGTTGATCAAATCTCCATAAAAGCAGTTTTTAGGGATCTCCAATATCTTGCTATACTGATTTGAGTGGCCGTCAGTCATCAAATTAAGCAGCTTGCCTTCCCCAAGGTTTCAGGTGGTATAAGAGTAAGACCTGGCATATATTGATCAGGCTGTACGTAATTTCCGTAGATTTGCTTGTAGCTCAAGCCCTGTTAATGGCTCATATTTTCATAGAAATCTTTCATCCATATAAGCCAACAGCTTCCCAATTTTAGAATACCACCAGCCTGTTATTATTATACAATTAAGAGTGAAAAATGAGAGGAATGAATACAGGGTTTGGAAGGACTGGTTTGGTGTGCCAGGTTTTCCATACAGCTAAATTAGCTCTTAAGTTTCTCCTGCATCTTTTTGGGGTTTTTTCTATTCTATCCTCTCCCCCCCCCCCTTTGGATACTGTGATCTTTCCCCAAAAAGAGACAAACCCCAAATTTTAATAAAATAATGAGATGTATTGGGCATTTCACTATTTTATTAAGTTCCATCTGATGTTTTTTCAGTACCTTGTTGAGGTTTGTTTCCCCACCCACCCCATCCTTGTCTTTGGGGCTGTTTCTTTTTTTACCTCCAGGATACTGTGAGCCACAAAAGTTATTCTAGTGTCTGAAATTTGAACAGTAAACTCTGTTTGTTCATGCTGACTGGCTGGCTGCCTTCCAACCCTCACATGGCTGTTTTCACTCATTTCCTTCTTAGGTTTGATCCCACTTACCAGTGATGATGTTGTTGATAAGCTGCAGTATTCTCGGGTGAGTCTTGACCCTAGTCAGCAAACTAGATTTCTTGGAGGATCACTGTGGAAAGGGAGTTGGAGACAGAGGGTCAAAGGCCTCCCTCACCACTTCAAAGCGGCCTCTCATGGACCACTTCCTTCACATCTCTTTTGCTCCTGTGTTGGCCACCAGGGCATAGTATCCTTCAGGAAGCCAGAAAGGATCCAGGAGTGTCTTGTTTGTAATTCCTTGCTTACTTGCAAACAACTAGTATATCAAACAGTCATCCTGATTTGCTTGCACAAAATTTGCAGGAAGATTAGATGTCCTCGGCCATTGGTTGAACATTAATTCTGATTAGTTTGTGAGGAAATTAGATCATGTTGTGTCAAGCAAACATTATATCTGCCAGTGCATTTCCACAGCATTTTCTACTTAGTAGTACAGTGGAACCTTGGGTCAAGTACCGTCCTCCTTATGAACACTTCAGGTAACGAGCTCCGCTAACCTCGAAGTAGATGCTCCTGGTTGCAAACTTTGCCCTGGGATGTCAGTGGAAGTTGTGCGGCAGCAGCAGCGGGAGGCCCCATTACCAAAAGCTAATGTTAATGTTCTTAATGTTAAGAACGGTTTTGGGTTAAGAGCGGACCTCCGGAATAAATTAAGTTCATAACCGGAGGTACCACTGTAGTACATTTATATCCCAACTTTTCTCCATGGCTTTGCCCACTTCCCATTTCTCTAAATGATCATTTTCTGGGAATCATGAACAGGAGAGGTCTGTTTCCTTCTTGGGCAGCTTGCATCTTCCCATAAACATCTGGTCAGCCACAGTAGGAACAGGATGCTGGAATAGATGAGCCATTGGCTCTGATCCATTCAGAGTTCTGCTGATGTTCCTGTGTTCTAGTTCTTGGGGTAGGAGAGCAGCAGCATCACTGATTTAATGCGAGATGTTTCGAGTTGCATTTGGACCATCCTGTCCTGCTTTTCTTCCCCTCCCTTCAGGATTGCACCTGTGATGAATTTTGTCCTGAGTGCTCGGTGGAGTTCACGCTCGATGTCCGATGCAATGAAGACCAGACCCGCCATGTCACATCACGTGACCTCATCTCTAACAACCCCCGAGTTATACCGGTCAGTCCAGAGTTCCTGCTCTATCTATGCAAAGTCTCTTAATTGTCTTTTTTGTACAAATAAAAGGGAAGAAATGTAGGAAAGCTCCAGTGCAGGAATAAGAGAGGACAATGCCTCAAAGGTAGCCCCAAATACTGTACATGCTGTTTCCATTCATTTGGTGGCCATTTGCATAACTAGTCCACGATTTCCATTATTTCCTTTGTCAATATTTCTAATCTGGATTTTTTCCAATCTCTCTCCATTTTTCAATGGTTTCTTCCTGAAATGGCTGCAGCCAACCAACAAAGGAAAAATACTGATTTGTCCAATGTCTCCTGCTTTCTGATTCATTTGATCTTGCTTACTTCCTCCCTGCATGGTTTCTACCCCAAAATGGCTGCCACCCACCAGCAAAGCACAAATATGCAAGGAAATAAGGAAGCAAGCAAACTCCCGATGTTGAGATATCTCAATCTGCTGTTTTTAGCAAGCTTTGGGCATAATTCTTTATGTGCAGATAAGTGAGTTTTTGCAGAGCAGGTGGACAGCAGGACCTGCATGTATATGACGCCTGATGCCTTATACACCAGGGCTGTAACTCAGTGGTAGAGCACCTGCTTTGCTTGCAGAAGGCCCCTGGTTCAACCCCCAGCGGTATCTCTAGGTACGGCTAGGAAAGAACCCTGGAGAGGTCAGAAAGCCTGAAGAGCTTCTGCCAGTCAGTGTAGATAATATTGAGTTAGAGTGACCAATAGTCTCCCTCATTATAAGAAAGCTTCCTATGCTCCTAAGTCAGGGTGGGAGAAAAGCAGATTGGGATCTAGTGGTATTCTGATCCAACTCTGCAGGCCTTGTGTTTAAGCGAGGAACTCAGTTTTTAAATTCAGAAGATGCAAACTGTCTTCCTGTGATCTCTTCTCTCTTGGCTCCACACAGGTGACGTCCAGGAGCAGAGATAATGACCCTAATGACTACGTTGAACAGGATGGTAGGTACCCAAGCCAAAGGCAATCTACAGGCAGAGTTAGCAATGTGATTGTATTTTATCTCTATGGAGCCATCCTTTGATGCAACTGATGCTGTACCAGGCTGTGTAATATGTATGGATACCTATGAAAAGTCCACCACAATGCACCCATATTTTGGCTTCTGGTGAGAGTTGCCTTTAGATGGCAGGATTGAGCCCCTAGCCTCCCAAAGGGTTGCAGGTACAATTGTGTATGTTTTCTTTAGACATCTTCATCTGTTGTGTTTGTTTTCCTTAGACATATTCATCTGCACATTATGGGAAACTCAGTTTAAGAGAAGGTCTGTTACATGAGAAGCAACTTGTGTAAGGTGTTGGGAGGGGGAGCTCCATTCCCAGCATCCATATACACATATATGAGTAGAGAAACATGAAGATGGGATACCCCATCCAGGAATCATGCCTGAACAGAGCTGGATTCTCTGACCAAACTAGACTTCTTTGTTTAATTCTTCCTGAATTGTATCCAGTCACAGCCTTTGAGGCCCAAGGGCTCTATAGGCATTAATACACATGTGCTACTCAACATGGGATGAGAGATGGTCCATGTAGGTCCCCACCCACCATTATGTGAGCAGCACAACTGTTGGTATTGAGGGAGTGTCCTTGAACTAGATGCCAAGATCCCTGCCCCAGCAGCCCCATGATAATACACCCCCGTTTGGGCTTCTGGTGAGAGGTGATTTTGAAGCTACAAAGCATCACAGCTGTTTTACACCACTTCACCAGTGTATCTCTGTGTGTCTTCTTCTTCTAGACATCCTCATTGTCAAGTTACGGAAAGGCCAGGAGCTGAGGCTGCGAGCATATGCCAAGAAGGGGTTTGGCAAGGAGCACGCCAAGTGGAACCCCACAGCAGGAGTGGCCTTTGAGTACGACCCAGATAACGCCCTGCGACACACCGTCTACCCTAAACCAGAGGAATGGTGGGTTTCCATACAGAGGCGTTTCAAGTGGGGAAGACACAAAGTTGTCAACTTCTATTTCTCGTTTTTCCATTCTTAAATTCAGTTGACCAGATTTCTACATTGTTTATTAAAAAAAGTTCTGAAGAATGTTCACCAGCATTTTAACACCTAATTGACATCTTTTCCCAGGCAATGTCCCAGTTTCTCAAACTGGGACCACCTCATTCAGGTGGTTCATAACATGTTTGTAAAAATACAATGAAATATCATACATTATCTGGCGCAGCACATTACAATTGCTAAAACAGGCGGGAAGATCATTGAGTGGTCTGCCAAGACCTTCAGCATTTTCAAGTTGTCTGTGAGGGGGTGGCGGAAGTTTAGGGACTACTGTACTAATGTGCATTTTTATGCACACTTTATGCTAATAAATGCATTATTGTACATGGATTTTGGTTCAAGAACTGCATCACAAAATTTGGAAAGGTGCAATTTTTTTGTGATTCAGTTCTCAAACTGTTGTAGGGAGTAACAAGTTCTTCTTAAAACACAAATCAAACTCTTCCTCCCCATTGTATCTCTAGTTTAAATAAAAGCAAACTGTTTAGGGTATATTGCGAACTTTACATCTAACATTATGTGGAAGGAACAGAGATTGGCAAGCCCTGTGGATTAAATTTTTACACATCCACACAAAGATGCCCCAAAATGGGGGTGGGAGTCTGTCCTCCTGCTGGTTGCCCTGATCTGTCATTTTCTTTTTGCAACCAAGGTGAGAGATAAATGCAAGGTTAAATCAATAAAATGTGCTGAACAAATTTGGTATTGCATTTCCCCCTATTTTTCCCAATATTTATGGGATGAGGGGTAGTTTGTTTTCTCCTTATGGATTCAAAATTTCTGGCAATGTTATGTCTCTATTCTAGGCCAAAGAGTGAATACTCTGAAATTGATGAAGATGAAGCCCAGGCTCCATATGATCCCAATGGAAAGCCAGAGAGGTGAGGAGTTTGATATCTTACCAGCACCTGGATGTGTGTATGTGTGACATTATTTTGCTCCCTATATCTTGTAACAGCAAATTCCACAGTTTAAGTATGCGCTGTGTGAAGAAGTATTTTCTTTTATCCTGAATCTTCCAAAAATTCGGCTTCGTTGGATGTCCCCAAGTTCTGTTGTTACAAGAGAAGGAGTAAAGCTTTTCTCTATCCATTTTCTCTACATATATCTATGATCTGTATGTTGAATATTGTGTTATAGCCGTAGCTCAGTGGAGGAGAACCTAATTTGCATGCAAAAGGTCCCAGGTTCTTCTCTAGATAGGACTGGGAATGTCCTTTATCTTAAATCCTGGAGAGCTGCTTCCAGTCTATTTTGGACAATGTTGAGCTGGGACTAGTGTTCTGACTATGTATACATTCCCAGCATAACCCAAAGCACCTCTTCTTCTCTGGTGAGTGACTGTCACCAGCCTCCATGGAAAACTGAAGCACTTTTATACATTCACAAACAACTGAGTTGCAGTGCATCCTTCTTTTAATAAGTGGTGTCATGAAGATAGTTCTCTTGAGTTTTCCTTACTGTGTGCTGGGGCTCGAGCAAAGAGCATCTCTCTCTGAAAACCTCTCTGGCCTCTTTATCCTCTCAGGTTTTACTACAATGTAGAGTCCTGTGGCTCCCTGCGCCCTGAGACCATCGTCCTCTCTGCGTTGTCTGGCTTGAAGAAGAAACTGAGCGATCTCCAAACCCAGCTGAGCCACGAGATCCAGAGTGACGTGCTGACCATAAACTGAGTCTTCTCTGTCCCCCAGAGTAGCACCAATTCCTGAGACTCTTGCAATGTTAGTCAGGAGACTGTTGGCATGGAGACAGCCTCTGAGGAAGATTATGTCTGTCGATGTGTCTCCTGCGGCTTTGGTCTGCAACTTCCATCAGCCCCAGCCAGCATAACTGATGGTCAGGGATGATGGGAGTTGTAGTCCAAAACAGCTGGAGGGCACCAAGCTGGGGGGAAGGCTGATGCTTGCCATTTTCCCCACAAAGAACTAGGCCCTCCCCCACTTTCTTCCTCCCAACAGCACAGGTTGCCTTCTGTTCTTGCCCTGCCTGGGCTTTTGAAGCAAACTTCCCCTGCCTAGCAGATGTACAGGTTACGCAACTGTTGTTTGATAGCATTTGCATTTATTACTTTTTGGAATAAAAAAAAAATTCTTTCCCACCTGCTTAACCATGTGTGAAAGCTTGTCTGATGCCTTGGGAAGGAGATGTCAAAGCGCTGATTTCTTTCCAGCCAACATTAAATTAATGAAGGTTGCAGATTGTCGCTCTGACAATTTCCCTTTCAGCAGTTTTTATGACCAGGGAGGTCTGGAAAGCAAAGCTCAGAACATAAAACTGTAACTTCTAATGCAGGAATCGAGTAGCTTGAGCAAAAGTTTTAGAAAAACAACACGGTTCTAGCCCTGTTGCAGAACAAGAGGAAGCTGGGAAAATTATGAGCATTCTTGTTAAAACTTAACAAGAATTTACACGCCCTTATCTTCCCCATTCCCTATTTGCGAAGGGGGAATGACTCTGCGGGTGCATAATAGACTTCCATTGCTTGTGCTATCTTTATCCTGCCCTTTCTCCCTAACACTAAAACACCCCTATGAAAATGTGTAATGAAATGTGAAGGTTGGGAATCTCAGGTGAGATGCCCCCAGGCTTCAGAATAGTTGCAGTATGGTTTAAAGAACCCTAACCCTCAGACGAGGGTTGTGCACCAGGAGAGCAAGGGAGAGGAGAAACTTCCCCCTCCTCTCCCTTTATCCTCAAATTAGTTCTGCAGGGATGGGGGACCATCCTGATAAGAATTTGGGAGTGTGGAGGGGCAGGAGGGCTGCTGGTTACTTTCAACTCCAGGATTCTCTGATTCTTTTATTGATATTGTGAGTTATGCAAGGGTAGGTCACATCCATAAGTGTGTCCCGAATGGTCCCTTGGTTCTTTTAAGGATGCTACTGAGGTCTACCTACCTGATGAGTTGTGCTGTTGTAAATGCTCACTAGAGGGCATCCTTGCTTTGATGAATGCTGAAGCAAAGTGAAAATCCTTCCTTGAGCGGCAATCCGGTACCCATTCTTTGTTGTCATAGAAGTTGACACGCTTTACCTCTTGCATGTAGCAGCAAGGGGGATCTGTTAATTTAGGGAGAATGATCGTTTTAGTAATAGCCAAAATGTCCAATATAGTATAATTCTCTCATTTCCACCTATTTATTAATGTTTTGCCAAACAGGTTTATTGTTGTTTCAAAATAAACTGTTCATATTTCTGAATATATATGTGCCTAAATATTTTAATTTGCATTGAGTAATGCCCAATGAGTTTAAAACACATTATATTTGAATGTTTTTGTTGCATTAACTGCCTGCCCAAAATCTGGAATTGAATACAGAGAAAATGAGAAGGGAAAGGAAATTTTAACTCAATTGCAAATGAGTTACTCAGTGAGTGCATTTTTTTATTTCATAAAATTTATATGCCACTTGTAGAAAAAACCTCAAAGCGGTTCCATTAGTGCAAGGATTTACACTTCAGCAATAGAATTTCCCCCTTTCCTTCCTCACCCCTTTGCAGCATGCCTATCCTAGTTCTGTTCCAGAGGGTGGGGAGCCCTCAAACAGATTCAGGGGGGAGAGGGGGGAAAGTTCAGTTGCCTCAGAATAAATCCTTCCATTACTGAAACAAGCTAATTACTACAGTAGACACCTCCCATAGTTCTCTGCTTCACAGCAGCTGTGATTTTTCAGAGTTTAGTATGTGGATAGAATCTCTAATTTCATCATGGTTTGGGGGGGGACATATAAAAATCACATAAATTCACAAGGATCTTTGGCTTGGATTTTTGTTTTGCAGCGCAGTGAATCCCTAAATCTGTGGTGGGGTTTTGTGCTGCAATATTCCGATCTGGGTGTGTTAAGGAGTGGACAGTTGTTTTGTAGGATTTCCCTATAAAAATTCCAGAGGATCCATGATCTGGATTCACATTTTTGCACTATGGCAGCACCATGTAATGGGTTTTATTGCTCAGTTTGTGCGCATGATGACTTCCAGGAGTATCCCGTATAAAATTTCTGAGCGCCCATGACACGTGACACGACACATTGCGGGATCCATGGCTTCTGAGCTGCAATTCATTGTAAGGATGTGATCTGTGATTTGAGTCACTTTGGAGGGAACCCACTGTAAAAATCCATAGGTCCATAAAGATCAGTGGCAGGTACAGATATGCACTTTTGTTGCTGCTGCTGTTGCCGTTTGTCATTCCTTCTATCTAAATACCCAGAGGGTCCCTGCCTTGCGCCATGATTCACGACTCCCACCCCAGTGTGCTATAGTAATATTTGTTTATGCCCCACTTTCCCCCCCAAGCAGGGACTCGAAGCAGCTTACAGATAAAGCAAGAAGTGCTTAAAACGGGCAGAAGGGCGGGGACAAGCCCAATCACAACAAAAATAGCAGGGCACCACCACCAGTCAGTTCCCCAAAGCTTGTCTTCACCTGCGGGCGGAAGGACTGTAAGGAGGAAACCCGTCTAACTTCCCTAGGGAGGGACTCGCAGACGCTCCCTTTCTGCCTGGCTGGAACCCCCTAGGGCGGAGCCCGCTTCGCCTGCCTGCCTGCCTTCGCCCCGCCTGGCCCCGATCGCGACTCCTCGGCTTCGAGGGCGAGCGAGCGCGGCTGCTTCCTCTCCGCCTTCGCGGCCCGCCCCTTCGTGCTGCTTCCGCGCCGCGCCCGACTCCAGGTGGGCGCTCCTCGGGGCCGCCGGTGGTGGCGGACTGCTGCCCTGCCCGCCTCCTCCAGAGACACCTTCCGTCCAGCCTCGGAGCGCCCTCTGGGGGATCCCGCCAGCCGCGCGCCCTTCCTTCGCGACGGCAGCGGCGGTGGGCAATCAGACAGCCACGCCCCGGGTTTCTGCGAGAGGCGGAGGTGACTGCTTCCGACGGGGTCCCCGCGCCCTGCCTCGGCTCGCCGTTCCCGCAGCCCGGCGGCGCGCAGCCCTTGCGCTCTGGCCACCGTGCGCTCTGGCCGCGGCGCGCCCTGCGAGCCCAGTGCCGAGCTGTGATTTGGACGGGGCGGGCTTGGGGTTGGGCTGCGTAGGGCGAGGCCGCTGGCGGAGAGCCGGGGCTTCCCTGACGATACCCGCCTCTTCTTCTTCCCTGTTCGGCAGGAGCAGGCTGCGGCGGGCGCGATGGAGCTGGAGAGGTTGCACGCCGAGGAGGAGCGGGCAGCCCGATCCCAGGAGGAAGAGGAGGGCGAGGAGGAAGGCCGGAACCGTGCGGCCTGCCTGAGCTGCGACAGCCTCCACAACACGGTGTCCAAGTGGATGCTCCCGGAGGATTCCCGGGCCACCTATCTGGAGAGAGCCAACTGCATCCCGCCACCCATCTTCATCCTGGGCATCAGCGTGGCTGAGGTACGGAGCTCTCCCAGGAAATGTTCAAAACTCTTCCTTGCTACCCGAACCCCGCCTAAGATCCCAACATATTTTTCACAATTTAGAATGACAGACAGAGTAATAATCCAGGATGCCCTCTTCCCTGTGCGTGTGACAGTTTGAATCTGTGGTCTCATTTGCCTTCATGAGTAAAGTGTTCCCACTCCTTGTTCAGTTACTTGGGGCTCCACCTAGCTGTCAATTTACAAAAAAGTCCATGCCATGGTGCAGCCTTCATGGGATTATATGATTTCAGAATGCAAGGGTGGAATGGCTGAAATGAATTCTCTGACTTGTCAGGAACCTTGCGCTGGGAAAGCAAGGAAAAGCAGTCCATCCTCCTCAGTAAAAATGACTGCTACCTTTCTGTGTGCAGGGATTCTTACTTTCTTCCTATGTGCATATTTACATGCTCTTTTCTGAGCATATAAAGTTCATTTCAAGTTAAGTGTCAGTTAATTGACAATAGAAATACTATTGCCTCTAAACAGGGAGTAAACATTTTGCTTTGCTGATCTTAGTTTACATGACTTTGGATGAATTGTGTCACTGTATTTAAAGTAGAAATGGTCCAATGAGGGTCTGAAAAGACACATACCCATCCGAAAAGCTACTGCTGCTGAGGGATTGCAGGGTTCTTTCCAGTCTGCATCGGAAAGGAGCTCGGAAATCATGACTGCCAGGGTTCCTCTGGTCCACAGAAAGTGTTATGTGTATAGAAAAGTTATATTGTCTAACGCTGCTTAGCAAGGCTCCTTTGAAACACATACTCAGAGATTTCATAGGAGAACACTGGCAGCAGTTGCCTTATACCAAGTAATGATAGTCCCATCTAGCTCAGTAGTGCCTGCACTGACTGGCAGCAGTGGATCTCCAGGGGTTCAGAGAGGGAGTTTTCCCCCAGCCCTCTCTGGGGATTGAACCAGGTTCCCTCTGCATATGCAGCAAGTGCGCTGCTGCTGAGCCTGCCATAAAGGAAAACAAATATTGAGGCATGTGGTCCCGCAGTGCCACTAGTCTATGCAAATGGCTGGCTCCATTAAGACAACGTAGAACATTTATTCCAAATAATAATGAAACTCGCAGGTGAAGAATACTTTTATTTTTATAAACATTTAATATTTGCAAAGGGAACATTTGCATGAGTTAACACTTCATTATCCCTTTGGAGCTGAGCTGGATGATTGGACTTTGGTCCTTACAGGCTACGGTGCTTCATGGGTTACATTTTTTTATTCTTTGTTTTCTTTCTTTTTGTTAGGTTTGCACTTTTCTTTTCTTTTTGTAACAAATCAATAAAAATAATTAAAGAGGCAAAATAAATAAAGGAAGACTCCTCTATCCCTTTGCCCTCAGTGCAGACTTCCTGTGCTCCTAAACTTTCGGATGCACCAGGTTCTGGCGACTCTGAGATATGGGCGAGAGATAGGTGGCAGCAATAGCTGCTCTGCCCTTTCGTTGTTTCCCTGAGCCAGTCTGAGTCCGACTGCAACTCTCTCTGTGTTTCTTTCTAGGTGGCCGTATTCATTTATTACGCGGTTTCGAAGCCCCAGAGTCAGTGGCTCACCCTAGACTGGGAAAGCAACCAGAACAGTCCTTTCATTTACAGGCCTGACAAAAGGAAGGAAGCCTGGAGATTCTTGTCTTACATGCTGGTGCATGCTGGGTAAGCAACCCATTGCATTGATTGATGGGAAGAAGACTTGGCCTGTTTAAAATAAAACAAAAATCCTGGTCTATGGGATCAATGGCTGGGTTAACTTTGGAAAGCGCAACAGAATCTAACAGGCTTTTAACCTCCTGGAGTTAAGAAATGATTCCCATCTCAAGGAGTTTGGTTTGGAATGTGCATCCCAGACCTAATAAATAAATATATAATCCAGTAGCACCTTAGAGACCATCTAAGTTTGTTCTGGGTACAGTGGTACCTCGGGTTACAGACGGTTCAGGTTACAGACGCTTCAGCTTACAGACTCCACTAACCCAGAAATATTACCTCGGATTAAGAACTTTGCTTCAGGATGAGAACACAAATTGTGTTCCGGTGGCGTGGCGGCAGTGGGAGGCCCCATTAGCTAAAGTGGTGCTTCAGGTTAAGAACAGTTTCAGGTTAAGAACGGAGCTCCGGAATGAATTAAGTTTTTAACCCGAGGTACCACTGTATAAGTTTTTGTGTGCATGCACACTTCTGAAGAAGTGTATCTGAAGAAGTGTGCATGCACACAAAAGCTTATACCCAGAACAAACTTAGATGGTCTCTAAGGTGCTACTGGACAATTTATTTATTTATTTATTTTGACTGTCAGACCAACACGGCTACCTACCTGAATCATCCCAGACCTGTTAAGCTATATGAGTGTCTCCCCCTCAATGAAGCTGGGATGAGTTATGGATTATTCTTCGGTGGTCACCCCTTTCTCCTAAAACGGTGCTTCTCTGGCTAAGCCTCAAGACAGCAGTGCACCTTCTATGATGTGATTAAGATTTTCAGTTTCGTGAGGCTTGGCCTTTAGAGCAGCACCCATTCAATCACAGCCATGGCACAAGTGACTGAGTGGGTGACTTGTTGAGTGCCCCACAAAGAAGGGCAGCAGGGTCCCCAAAGTCTTTCCTTTGCTGGAGACCTTGTCTCAGTTTCCATCTGGATCTCAACTGCCTTATGGCCCAGGGCTAAGAGAGTAGTAAGCGGCCTGTGTGTGTCAGCACCTGTAGTTATCATACTTAGCCTCCAGCACTTGAATGTAGGTTTTGGTTTTGTCTTAATCAAGATAAACATAAGTGCTGATTCGTCTTCTCCCTGTGCTCTTTTCCTCTGCAGCATTGAACATATCTTAGGAAACCTCTTCCTGCAGCTCCTCTTGGGGATCCCCCTAGAACTGGTTCACAAAGGTCACAGAGTTGGGTTGGTCTATATTGCAGGAGTGCTTGCAGGTGAGTGGGAAGAGATTGAAAAACAGGCAGCACAGTCATGTCTCTTTCTATGGGAAGCTGCCAGACTTGAGTGTTGACACTTGTGAGCATAAGACAACAGGCATGAGGATGGGCAATGAGTCAAGGGGTGGTGTTTTGCAAGGTCACTGACTTTCAGGGGCATGTCCAGGTTTCTTGATGCTGAAGCGTGGACTGTTAAGCCAAGTGCTTGAAGGTAGCATTGCCATTATTACCGTATTGGCCTGAATATAAGCCTCACCTTTTTTTCCAAATTCCGACAGTGAAAAGTTAAAGTGCAGCTTAAATTTGCGACCTTACAAAAATTGGCTTTTACAATATTGCTGCTGAAACAGACACATGGTAAAATGGAACAAAAAAATGTTTTCTTGCCAATTTGTGAGCTTGAGACTGTTTATTTGCCATTTACAGGTGTGAGTGCCTGCGGAATTGTAGCAATTGAATAGCAATTTGTGATTTTAGCGATTGTACGGTAACTTTTGCGGGCTTGCAAGATCAAAGGCTTAAATTGGCTGGAGTTACAGTTCTACCAACCGCAGCAATTTTCAGCCTATAACCCAATTTTAAGGGAGCAGCTTATATTCGGGTATTGTCTTTTTTTCTCCCCCCCCCTAAATTTTAAAGGTGTGGTTTATATTTGGACCAATACAGTAATTAACCTGCCACAATCCTCTTCTCCCCACCACTGCTGCAGGTTCCTTGGCAAGCTCAGTCTGTGATCCTCTCCAGGGCCTGGTAGGAGCATCAGGAGGAGTCTATGCTCTCATAGGAGGATACTTCATGAATATTCTAGTGGTAAGGAGGTTGCTCAGGATTCAAGTGAAGTTGTTTGCAATTGGGGTTGGTATTAGTAAAGATATAACTACTCAAAGGTAGACCATACCTATATCATTGTGGGTGCGAAGCCTAATCCTAACTCTCTTTGCTCTATGGGGAAACAATTCTTTTAGGCACTTAGTTCCACAAACCAAAGCCCTGTGAAGAACAGTTGAAAGAGCAGGACATGTTTAGCTTGGAAAAGGGAAGATTAAGGAGAGCACTCTCAAAAAATTTGAAGGTCCATCAAGCAGAAGGTGGATCATAGTCTCATTCTCTTTTGCTCCATGAGGACGACACCACAACTTTGGGGGATAAAGATGGCAGGGGAGCAATCAGGAGAAATGCCTGAATGGCAACAGGTTGTCAACTGAGGCTGTCCCAGGAGGTGATGGGCCATTTGTAGTTGCAGACCCTGCCCTGAGCAGAGGACTGGACTAAATCACCTTCAAAGTCCCTTCCAATAATATGATTGTATGAAAATGCAAGATACCTCCATAACCCATCTCTCAGACTCACCCAAATGTTTCAAAGATATAGGAGTCCCATACCTTCTCTCCCCTTTATAAAATATGTGTTTTGGTGGTGGTGGTGGTGAGGTAACATCTAAATCATAGAAACATAGAGTTGGAAGAGACTCAAGGGTCATCTAGTCCAACTCCCTGCAATGCAGGAATCTCAGCTAAAGGCTGTCATGACAGATGGTCATCCAACAGCACCCTTAAGAGGTATGGGGTTGTTCAAAGGTTTCTTAATGTTTTTGTTCTTTACAGAACTTCCGAGAAATGATTCCGCTGTTTGGAGTTGTCAGATTACTCTTCATACTCAGCATAGGTATTTTTTAATGTGTCCCATTCTGATCTAATCTCTCTGTAAATCTGTAAGCCCATTTACTAAGCCAGCCTCTTTTTTCAGCCCCATGCTCACTAGGGCATACCTACAGTTCTTCTTTTATGTGGCAGTTTATTTACATAGCTCCTTATTTGTTTAATATCATGCCTTTTATCCCGAAAAAGCAGAGTGTCTAACAGAAAACAATTTAATACAGTCATAAAATAATAGTAATAATTCTACGTTATAATCCACAGTTTGGAAGCAGAACAAAGTCTGGTGGACTGTTTTCTTTTCAAAGAAGGTGACTGTCAGGGAACTGACATCGGAGCTAGAGGCAGAGGGGAGGCTCTCAAATGATGCTGGAGAAGGGCCCAGCAGGGAGAGAGGCAGCTCAGCAGATGGGGAAGCAAATCAGCGCAACACCAGAGATAAAGGGGGGCAGATGGGGGAATCGGTGAGAGGGCTCCAGGACTCTTCACCGGACACCAGTGGGGAGAGCACGGGTCCTCCGCTACCCACGCCCTCCCTGCGCAGAAGGCTTCCACACAGGGAGAGTAGGAGGAGACTTGGCGTCAAACAACTTTTATGTTGGGAAAGGTTTAAGAAACGCCCACTGACGGATTCTGCTAGCGACTGAGGCAGCCACGAAGTGAAGGGCTGTCCAGACAAAAAGGTTTAAACAAGGCAACATAGCCAGGAGAGGCAGCAACTTACGCACGAGCAACCCATACTCATTACAGTGACCCTTGCTTAACTTGGTTGTAAAAATCATTTAAAGGCGTAGCAATTACGGCTGAGCCATACAATTCAGGCTCTTCTTATATCTACAATGGTCTGCACCGCCACTACCAACTTCCAAAATTTGTCGTTTATATATAAAAAGATTGCTCTGATGTGCTTCCTCACTTGTGATACCATGATCAAAAATTTATCCCCCCCCCATCTTCTCCCATCCACCCCTACCCCTTTTGTGATCGTGATAGCAAAGTATTTTTGTGGCATCCCAAATTTGTCCCTTTTAACTTCTTTATAAAATAAGTATTAGATTTACTTTCAATGTCTGCTTCCATAGGTGATACTGTGATGCCAAAGGTTTAGAGCTTATTACGCCCACAAATTTGTTTTTTTTAAAAAATACTCATTTACTTACCATTCCTAGGGGGCCCCTGCTGTGATTCTGTGAGGCCAAAAGGTTGTTGTGACCTTCCCAGACTCCCAAAATATGTATTTTTATAAAAAAAAAATTAAATGGTGATGCACACTTCTACATTTTGGCCCTTAAGGACTTGACCCAGTGGGTCAATGTGGCCCTTGAGCTCCACTGTCCTGTCAGTGGTTCCCAGGCAGGGAGGCTGCTCCAAAGTGTTTTGAGGCCTTGCCCAGTTTCCTTCTGACCACTTGCCTTGTTTTCTAGTTGGAACTGATGTGGGATTTGCTTTGTACAGAAGATTTATTCCCGATAATTCTGCGCCTCAGGTAAGCGCGTTTCCTGCAGCAGAGTTTCATCGGGCTCTCTCAGCTTTCTGCTTTGGGAAACTAACTTGGCATTCTCTTATTTCCCTTCACCAGATGCTCCTCCTTCCTTCAAGGGCTGAATCCTTCCGCTCTTCATGCTGTTGGCCTTTGGGACTGTATGATTTACCTGCGGCCTTCTTGCTCTCTCTTTTTCCTCTCTGGCACCTTACACAGGGTTAGAATGAAGAAAGGCCTGTTCTACGGGTCCAGCTCAGTGGCTGCCTTGGAGCTTCAAATAACACCGGAAGGAAGCTGAGGGGCACTTTGCATGCTGCAGGTTGCAGGGGAAAGTGGGTGGGTGAGGAAGCCTGAAGAGAAGTGGCTACATGCGGAAAGAGAGTCCGGGAACGGTTCCCACATGAAGATAGGGCTGAACGCTCTGGGGAATGCTCTTACCTGCGTGCTCTGTAGGAAAGGACTATTGGTCTTGAGTCAGCCTGGCAATGCGTTGGAAGGAAATCAGCATGTTCTCTTGGTCCATGCAGAGCAGAAAGGGGGTTCCCAACTGGGGGGGAAGGTTCTGTAGCTGGAGTCAGACAAGCTGCCTAGGAAGGGAGACCTGGCTTCCAGCAGCAACCAAGACAACGAAAAGCAGTTTCTACTAGGGAGTGGGTGTGGGGCATGTGTGGCTCACTCTGAGGTGGGTGCCTCCCTCTAGCAGCATTTGTTGTGGGGTCCTCCTGCCCCACCCTTGCAGTCTCCAGCTGGTTCCCCGTTTTTGTGGGTTCCCTGGAATTCAATATCCCCCTGCTGCATCAGTGCAAGCATTTCTCCTTGCCAGGTGGAATGGTCCACCCATTGGGGGTTCTCCCAATCCTCCAGAATGGATTTGGGGAAGGGGGAAGAGAAGGTGGGAGCCCTATTACACTGGATAATGTGCTGGGTTAACCCCTTGTTTTTCCTGGCTGCTGCACATTGGCAGAGTTGTTAGAGCTTTTGGAAGCTCTTCTTGCAAAGTCCTTGACTTGGGGCCATTGTTCCTGCTTGCAGCCCCCGCCTTCCACAGTACAGACTGCGCTGAAGTCCTTCTGGACACTTGCTGGCAATTCTGCTCTGACTTTCCCTTGCGCTATACTCACAGCCTCTGTGTCATGACCACTGCTTGATCCTCCATCCTAAAGTGGAACACCTGCTAAGTGTCTGTGTTTGTTTTTTCTCTTAAGGTTTCCTTTGTGGCCCACATTGCCGGAGGTCTTGCTGGGATGTCAATAGGCTATGTCATATTCAGCTGTTTTGATAAGAATTTCATTAAAGATCCTCGATTCTGGGTCTGCATAGTTGCTTACTTGGCATTTGTAGTGTTTGCTGTATTGTTCAATGTGTTTTTTTCACCAGCAAACCAATAGAACACCTGACAATGATTATGCAAAGCTTTAAAGGACAATATGAAGTGATTTTCTTTTCTATGGGTGATATTTCATTGCAACAGTGGTTTTTGTTGGTTGTTTTTTTTTTAATCACTATCTTGCCAAAGTCAAATGTTGCACTTCAGTGCTCTGAAAATATTTTTTTTTTTGTATTTTAATATAAAACTGCAAGCATTTTCATTACTTCTTATGTTTGGAATTATTTTGCTGTGCCATAGCATATGCACAATATGATGGTATTTCATTCATATATGAGCTTGTTGATCTCTACACACAAATGCTCCTGCATGTGATCACGTCTTTCCTCCTTGAGATCAAAGAGATCAGTTTTGCCTGATTCTGTCCAGATAGTCCGCCATGTTCCGACTACAGTTGCAAGAGAAATAAAAATTTTGAGGGAAGGCAGTGGGGTGGGGATGAAGCAGATTTTTTTAGACCCATTTCAGTTTGGCTTTAGGCCTGCAACAGCTCCTGTTGCTCTCATTGGTTATTGAGAAAGGGGTAGGCAAGTTTTTCCCTGTGGATTCTTCCCAGCCTTTCAGTGGTTTTCTATACCATTGACCGCAGTATCCTCCTAAAACAACTCTGTTGGGTTGTGGGTGGGGTTGCACTGTTATTAAGGTTCCCACTAGAGAACAGCACTAGAGAACAACAAAATTCCCCTTCTTCACAACTGTTAATGTTACAGAATCTCTGATGTTGAATGAGGAAAGTCCCAGCCTTCAAATTATTCTAATAACTTGCCAAAACTTCCCAGCAACAGGAGAGGTGTCCTGTTCTTCGTTCTGGTTCAGTTGTTGTCCCTAAGTAGCAGGAGATTACAGATGACATGTAGCTGGGGTCTTGAGTTAACTGAACCAATGTCAAGATTAATCCACTGGCTTTTACATTGTGTGTTCGTTGCAATGTTTAGACAGCCAGTTTAATATAAAAACACTGCAAGTTAAGCCAACTTTAGGTAAGAAAAGCTTTTTTGCCGTTGGATCTTGCAACTAATGAATAAGCTAGGCTCTTTTAACCAGGCTTTCTTTGTGAATTGCAGGCACAAAATGGTAAACTTTGGAACATCTTGCTAACTCCTTGTGCATAAGTTGGTGCATATTTGGGAAGAAAACTGGGTGTGTTACAAAATGCACTCTGGAAGATTGGTTGTTTGCAGGAATAGCCTCAGCGGTTGTGGCACTGCCTTTTCATGTGGGGAATGGATATGATAATTACAAGTTGTCTGTCGGGGGTCCTGGCCAGAGCAAGGATAAATGACTCATGTCCTTTTATAGAGTCAGGAGGGAAAGGGCAGCAGGCTCTAAGCAAACAGGGTTCCTGCAGGACTATTCAGAAGGCACTTGAGGACTTTGGGAGTAACCCCTTTATCCCAGCCAGCCATTTTTATGCAGCAACTATCCTGAGGTTCTTTTAAAAATACATTCAGCTCTGTCTCCTGAGGTGTTCTTGGCCAATAAGGTTAATCTCAGGCTGGAGGTATTGGGGATTGAACTTGGGCCCTCTGGATATCCCTGAGCTATGACTGTCCCTCACTGTACCTCAAAAGTGATTCCTGACTCTTTGCAAACACAGATACTAAAACAGGGAACATTTGTTTCCTGGAATGACAAGGAGAGGCCAGATCCAGTAGAATTATTCAGCAAACATAATAGAAGTAGGTATTTCAAGGAATAGGGTGGGGGAAGAGAGTCATTCAACGGACCAACTTCAGTTACTGAAGTTGCATTTAAAAAACGAGAGAAATCAGTTGCTGAAAGGCCAGTGGTGAAGGAGAGGCTGGCACAGAGGATTTGACTGTGCTGGGGCCTCGTTTCATTTAACTATGAAATCGGACGTGACCGATTGATTGCTACTCAGTGCCAGAACATGATATTGATCCGCTGCTGGGAGCTCTCTCCATCTGGTTGTTTGCTTGTCCTCTGCAATATGTTCCTTAAATTGTGCAAATTAATAAGGCGGGAGGAATTACAGGTGCTCATGGCTTGCTAGTAATTGGAAACCAGCTAATTATTTTTGTATGCCATTATTGTGTGCCTGTCTAATTCCGATCAGCCAGGACTGTTCCATACCAGTGAAAAGAAACAAGCTAACAAACTGATTTAAATATTGGCAATGTGTTTAGTTATTGTTCTCTTCCATAAAGCAACAGCCTTCTTGCTTGCACTTTGGGCCCTGCCCATTTAGAAGCTGCGTAGATGCATATTGCTTGCCTCCTGTTTCAAAGAAAAGAATGCACAGGCTCCAAGGAGAGGACTCCAGAGGGTGAAAGAAAAGACACTGCCTTAGTTATCTGCCATGTGAAGAAACAAGCAATAAATGGTGGGATAAGTCTGCCAAGCTGGCCTAGCCCTGTACAGTATAGGAGCCTACCCTCTGAGGAGGCTGCCGGGGTGTCAACTGGGTTTTCTGTGGCCAGGACATCTCATGGGACTAGGCCCTTAAGTCTATTGGCATGCTCTAAACCAGGCACCCCCAAACTCGGCCTCCAGCTGTTTTGTGGCTACAACTCCCATCATCCCTAGCTAACAGGACCAGTGGTCAGGGATGATGGGAATTGTAGTCCCAAAACAGCTGGAGGGCCGATGCCTGCTCTAAACAAAGTAAACTATTGGCAAGAACCCATTTCACTGAAGGCAAACCTTGCATAAGAACCAGGCAGGCTAGCCCACCTGAGACCCAACTTAAAAACCCCCCACTCCTTTGGTCCCAGAGTTTTTTGCTGTGAATTGAACATCAATTTCACAACATCAATTGGTACTTCAATTAATTACCCTATTAATCAATAATCACTCCCAATTAAAACGAATAGGGTTTGTTGTTCCTTTCAGGTGATGGGCCTTTCTCTTGTGGAAGGTGAGCAGGGTACCTGATAGAGGCAGCCAAGGACAAATCAGCCAGCAGCTGATCTGCCTTTGCAGGCTACTCCTTGCTGTGCCTGCTGTGATGAAGCAAACACAAACTGTTCCCAGAGGCTGCTGGCAGGGCATGGGTGTGTGTGTGTTTGAGACTGCATTTTATTCCCAGGGAACTTTGTGGGAACCTGCCTGGAAAGAAACAGAGACAGCATAATTTCCCTTCCTTTCCAGGGGCTCAGGGTAACACAGCTGCAGGCTTACAGCAGTATGTAGTGCCTTTTGGACCTGGAACAAAGTTTTCTCCACCCCCCTGTGCTCAGATCTTCTGAGAACTGGAAGGATTTGAAGCATGTGGAGTTTTTTAGACACTTTAAAGCACTAGGGAAAGACTATTACTCTACACTGTCCCTTGAAGTCCAGGCTACCTCAATGGCTAGGAGTGCTGGTTCCCATCTACAGCTCGTTCTCCAGCTATGGCTCCTTTCGGACAGAGATGACTTCGCCACAATACTCCATGCTCTGGTTACCTCCAGATTGGATTACTGTAATGTATGGCTGCCCTTGAAGGCAACTAGGAAACTTCAACTGGTCCAAAAGGGCTGCCAGTTCATTTTTGGGCTCAATTGAAGGTGCTCAAACTACTTACTTAATTCATAAAATTTATATACTGTTTGATTGCAAAAAAAACAACACAACAAAAAACCATACCTGAAAGCTGTTTACAACAAAACTATGAAATTATCAGTAAAAGCAGTTAAACACCAACTATTTAAAGATTCAAAAAACCTTGATGAGTCCAAGATGCACCCCCACCTTGTTATTTGGTGGGCTGACTGGTCTCCTTGGCCCACATTTGGTCCTGTCAGAATATCTTCCTCTCTATATACCATTCCAGCCATCATTATTCAACAGCTTTTGCTGCAGGGCACAGGGAAACTTTTTTCCTACAGCAAAGGCAACATGAACTCTGCAGAGCCTCATGCGAACATCTCTTTCCCCTGCCCACTTTCCACCCTGTGACAAAATGCAGGCTCCACCCCACGGTTTCAGTGCCTGCCAGCTGTTTCCCGCCTCTTGTTTTGTTCACCATCTCATGTGATGAAGAGTTCCGGACAGCTCAATAGGATCGCGCACAATTTTGTGACATGCTGGTTGACCTAATATATGGCCTTAATGTGGATTATGGGTTTCTTGCTACCTGTTTCTGGATATGGAATAAAAAGGAGAGCCATGGCTCACACCAACCTTGGTACCAATAAGGTGGTAAGAGATGCAGCCTGCCAGCCTGTTATCCAGAACTGGGAGTGGAGGCCAGTTATTTGAACATAGCCTGGATGATTATTTCCTTTTGCCTTGTGATGGACCAGAAAACCCAATTGTGATGGACCAGAAAACCCAAGAAGAAAAATAAACTGCACAAAGGCACAAGGATTGATCTCTTCAATTCCGGGGGTTTTGCTTTTACAGCTTACATTTTGCTTCTAATGAAATTTTGAAAAGCAACTGCGGCTGCAAAGGGCTGATTGATTTATGTCCTCGCATTCCATTTTTTCCCATGAAGAAAAAAAACCCCCGTACCATTTTGTAATGCCTATGGGATATACAGAAGGTGAACTAGTTGCAAGAATCCACTGGGCTTTCAGAATTTGTTTTCAGCTGAAAAGGTATGTGCACTATTAAAATAGTGAAACAAAATACAAGAAGCCACCAGCTTCTTTCAGGGAGCAAAGCTTGCAAAATCTGAAAATCTGAATTGTGGTCAAGATGCAAATTAATGTATAGTGCATTATATGCAACTACCTCTTGCAAATGACTGAAGATATTGGTAGAGACTCATGTAGTTTTTGTAGAAGTAGAGATATCTTTCAATCTTTTGTTAGAAAGTTGGAGGTTCAATATGGGGGGAAATATTAAAGTATTCTACTTTTCAAAATGGAATTTTAAGGCTTCACAGTTCTCCCAATGGAGGGATGTAGAAAGCATCCCGAAAGATCAGTATTGGGACCAGAGTTTTTTAACTTGTTCCTAAATCACCTGGTGTTAGAGATAAACAGTGAGGTAGCAAAGTTTGTTGATGATACCCAATTATTCAGAGTGGTTAGAAACAGTAATGGATGTAAAGAAGCTCCAAAAGAATTTTTCCAAACTGGGTGAATGGGCAGTAAAATGGCAAATGAAATTCAGTGTAAACAAATGTAAAGTGATACACACCAGGGCAAAAAATTCCTAACTGCACATATGCCTGTGGGGCCCTGAACTGGCAGGGACTAACCAGGAACAAAGCCCTGGAGTCGTAGTCAATTACAAAGATGTTGACTCAGTGTGCAGCAGCAGCGAAAAATATAAATTTCATGTTTGGAATCATTAGGAAAGAATTGAAAATAAATTATCCATATCATGTTGTAATGCAAATCTGTGGCGCAAACACACTTGAAATACTGTGTACAGTTCTGGTTGCTCATCTCAAAAAGGATTTTATAGAGTTGGAAAGAGGCAACCAAAATTATCAAGGGGATCATTGCAACATTTGGGCCTTTTTCATTTTAAAGAAAGGCAAGTAAGAAGAGACATGATAGTGGTGTATAAAAATATGCATGGTATAAGAAAATCAATGGGTATATGTTTTTATCCTTTTTACAGACCCTAACTATATATTTAGAGCTGACTGGAGTAGCATTCAGAGTAGACGGAAGAGGTTCATCTGGAGTTGGTTGATAAGGGACATCTTTGCCTTTGTCATTTTCAACATGTGCCCACCAAACACGACCATTTTCCATTTCTTTTTCTGCTCTGGCTTCTAGGGTCAGAATGGCAGCATAGCCATGGGAGACTGGAATTTCCTGGGTGGGATTTTGGAGGAAGTCCACATCCACTCTACCACGATTGGCAAGATCTGGCTGACCATCCTCTTCATCTTCCGGATGCTGGTCCTTGGCGTGGCGGCCGAAGACGTGTGGGACGACGAGCAAGCAGACTTCATTTGCAACACGGAGCAGCCCGGCTGCAGGAACGTCTGCTATGACCAGGCCTTTCCCATCTCCCTCATCAGGTACTGGGTCCTGCAGGTGATCTTTGTCTCTTCGCCCTCCTTGGTCTACATGGGCCACGCCTTGTACAGGCTGAGGACCCTGGAGAAGGAGCGGCAGAAGAAGAAGGCCCAGGTGAGGGCTGAGCTGGAGGCGACAGCCCCAGAGAAGGCGGAGGATCGGCGGAGACTGGAGAAGGAGCTGCGGCAGCTGGAGCAGAAGCGCCTGAGCAAAGCGCCCTTGAGGGGCTCGCTGATGTGCACCTACCTGGCCCACATCCTGATGCGCTCTGCCCTGGAGGTGGCCTTCATGATGGGCCAGTACCTGCTCTACGGCTTCCAGCTGGAGCCGCTCTACCAGTGCCGCCGGCCGCCGTGCCCCAACGTGGTCGACTGCTTCGTCTCCCGGCCCACCGAGAAGACCGTCTTCCTGCTCTTCATGCAAGCCATCGCCGTCGTGTCGCTCGCCCTCAACGGCCTGGAAGTCGCCCACCTGGCCTGCAAGCGCTGCCGGGCCGGCTCCTGCGGCGCTTCGCCCTCGGCCCTCGGGGGCAGCCCGCGCTCCGCCCTGCTGGGCCAGCAGCCAAACCCCCCGCCCTGGGGACCCCGCCCGGACGACCGCCTCGCCCAGGGCCCACCACCGGCCGCCGACGAAGCCCACCAGCCGCCCGACCCTCGCAGCCCGACGCGGAGCAGCAGCAGCAGCAGCAGCAGCACCAAGGAGAGCGGCCCCGGCGCCGCCGCCGCAGCCCAGGCGACGGCCGGCTCCTCTTCCTCGTCCCGCTCGCCGCCGCCCGCCAACGGTGCCCGGCGCGGCTCCTGCAGCGGCGGCGACTCGGGCAGCGCCGTCTCCTCGGCCACGGCGGCGCCGAGCACGGCGGGCTCCCCGCCCTCCAGCACCGGCAGCGAGCGGGGACAGCAGAGCCCCCAGGAAGGGAGTTTCCAGCCCGGCCACGGCCGGACTCGCGCCTCCGCCGCCGAGGGGAGCCAGGCGGGAGGCTCGGCTCCCTGCAAGGGCGGCAGCGGCGGCGGCGGCAGGGCGAGGAGGAGCGGCAGGAGCGGCGGCCCAGGACTCCCCCCGCCCCGGAAGGAGGCCTCGGCCGGCGGTGGCAGCCACAGGCGGGCGCCCACGGACCTCCGCGTCTGAGCGCACCTCCTGGAGGGCGGGGCTGCCTTGGGGCCTTTGTCTTCCCCCTCCAGGGAAGGGCGGGATGTGCGGGGAGAGGCAGCACAACCATAGAGGTAGGAAAAAATAGAGTGCCCTCTTGCTCTTTCTTCTCCCCTGTTGCCTCTGCGGGGAGAGGGGATCTCCTCGGCCGCGTTCGACCTTCGCCTCCACACACCCTTTTTCTCCCGGGGCGGGCGCCGCCTCCAGGACAACGTGCGAGAAGGGTGCAGCGGAGCCACAGTGAACGTGGAGCGTGTACGTCTACCCGTCTAAGTTTATGATGGCGTCGGCAAGAGGAGCGCCGGTCTCCATGGCGACGCGCGGACGCCGCGTCGCTTACAAAGGGTGCGAAGCGCAGGCGCAGTCTGACTTCCGGCTCAGGCGGCGGACCCCATGGCGAATTACAAGGTGGGGAGCCCGCGGAGGGGGAAGGAGGGAGGGAGAGATGGAAGGAGGGGCGGGCAAGGGAGCGCGGGAGCCCCCTCGAGCCCCTGACTCCCTCATTCTCTCCCTTACAGCCCGCCGACTCCAAGAGGGAGCAGTTCCGCCGCTACCTGGAGAAGTCCGGCGTCATGGACAGCCTCACCAAAGGTAAGCCGGGCAGGAGGAAGACGAAGAGGAGGAGGAGGGCAGGGACGGAGCTCAATAGGCAGAGCGCCTGCCTGGCATGCAGAAGGTCCCAGCTCCAGTCTTGCCTGAAACGCTGGAGAGCTGCCACTGCCAGTCTGTGCTGACTATGCTGTGCTAGACGGACGAGTGGTCTAGCTCAGTATAAGGCAGCTGTTGCCTATGTTCCCAGGGGGCAGAGAGAGCCACTCAGCCTCCTCTCTCCTTTCCTCCCTCTCTCTCTTTTCTCCTCCCGCAGTCCTGGTGGCCTTATACGAAGAACCGGAGAAACCCAGCTGTGCCTTGGAGTATCCTTCACTTGCCTGGCCTACTTGATGGGGATGAGAATAATGGGGGGGGGGAGCCCTGCCGAGCTAGGGAAATGGATTCCCACAGTAGCTGAGTACAGCCCTGAGCTAGCCCTGAGTCCCTGGTTCTCCTATAGGATAAAGTGCTGTGGCCCCAATTACGAGGCTCACTAAAGGGCTCCTTTCAGCTCAGCATGACTCACTATTTTCAGGAGTAAACCTGACTTTGGTGGGCTGTAATCCTAAAAACAAAAGTAGATGTGCCGACAGATGGCAGCACCTGAGTTAACTGGCATAGTTTAGAATTTGGTGAGTAGCACAGCCTGCAGCTCATCAGTTGCACAGTGAAGTATCATCCAAGCAAGCAAATAACTTAACTTTTGGTTAAAAGCTTTATGAAACATCATTTAGGAGCTACTGCTCCAGAAAATCCTGAAGTGGAAGCCCTTCGCTTGGAAGTGGCAGAGATGAAAGAGAAGTATGAAGCCATGTTGGAAGAAAATAAGAAACTAAAAGCAAAGGTAAAGCGTTCAGTGTTTATGGAGTGCAAAGCTCATCCAGGCAGTTTCCTGCTGCTGACCCAGGGCCACCTCACCCATGAGGCAAGGTGAAGTGACCACCTCAGGCAGCAGGACCCACAGGGGCAGATCCAGCCTCCAGGGAAGGCATTGTTTGTTGCTGCCGCCACCACCATCACTGTGAGAGCATTAACAGCTGCTCCATGCTCCTTGGAGGCTGGATCTATTGTCTTCTTGGCAGCCCTCCCCAGTGCCACCTCTGCAGCAGCTTCTTGGCAAATAAGAGGTGCTGCTGGTTTTCTTCCACCCTTGTTCCCAATGTACATCTTTATTGTCCCCTTATTCACAATGTAATCTTTATTGTCATCTTGTTGAAATTCTAGCAACTGATACAAAAGTCAATCAGATCTATACTTTTAAAATCACAATTTCTTTATAAAGGTAGCTTAGTAACTTGTTTGGCAAGCAAGCCAAAGGACTATTATGCACTGCTAATGTATTCACACTAACAAGAGTGTCAACCCATAGCATACTTTTTTGACACAACAAAAATGATCTGAGACTTAATCAGGATTTTTCTCTTTGCAGCTCGCTCAGTATGAACCACCTCAAGAAGAGAAGCGTGGGGAATAAGATCCTTTTGTATTACTTGAATAAAAGACCCTGAAGCACACAAATCTAGTGTTCCTGACTCTTGCAGTAATAAGTCTCCTTCATATGCTTTTGTCAACATGGTGTCTATTATCTTTCAATACCTTGTCTTGAAAAAATAGAGAACATTAAATAGAAAAGCACTGTTTAAAAGCGGATCCATTGTACAGCAGGGCAATATTTCTGTTTTTTTTGTTGGAGGGTTGAAAGCTTTTATGAAAGACAAATAAGAGTACAGACATTGGTGTGGCGAGTCATAGAACTGTCAGGTTGGAAGAGACCCCAAGGGTCATCTAGTCCAACCCCCTGCAATGCAGGAATCTCAACAAACAACCATGACAAATAGTCATCCAACCTCTGTTTAAAAACTTCCAATGACTTGGACTTGAATGCCACTTAATATTCCTAGGGTGAAGCTAACTTCCCTTAGAACAGGAGCAGCAACCCAAGATCCTCCTGCAATTCTCAATTAAGACTGCTTAGAACTGTAATCTTAATTCTTTTTGGCCAGTGAAAGAATCAACATGTAGTAAATGTAGCCCAGTGCAAGGAGACCATGAGACTAAGGTCGCAAGTGGGATGCTGGAAGTTTCAGCTATTCCTCCATAGAAAATTCCCGGTCATGCTGTTTTAGTGAGTCCGTGGAAAGGGGGAAGGAGTGGGAGGGCTTGGGGGTGTCAGTTTATTGGCTTCCACGGCCGTAGCGCACTTTCTCAGGAGAACTTTCGAATGGGTGGAGGCCAACCCCCCGCCCCCCGCCTCCGCGCGATTCCAGGGCGGTTCGCGACGCCGAAACAAGGACATCCTAAACGTTCGATGAATTTGCTGCTACCGCCGCAGATGACACAACACTGAATGCAAGGCCGCCACTGTTTCTGCTCCCTTGACAAAACCAGGAAGTCGCCCGGAAGGCGGATCCCAGGTGGGGGTGGGACTAGAAGAAGAAGAAGACGCGCCATTGGGCGAGGCGAGGCCTGCCATCGGACGTCATCAAAGGGCGCCCCTTCCTTACCGGACAGGTAGCTGGAGGCATGGTCCCCGCGCGCCCCCCTCCGGTCACGCGCCGCGCTGCCGTCTCATTTTCGGCCAATGGGAATGCCTCTTGCTCCTGCGGGCCAATCGGTGCGCGAGGTGTTGGGAGGTGGGGGCGGGCTCAGGAGCTGTCGGAGTGGGGGGCGCCTTTGGCAGCTCGTGATGGCGGCCCTGCAATTCGGGGCGGCGGCGGGTCCTGGTGCGGTCGAGGAGCCAGCGTCGGGGGCTCTGCCCGGCGGGAGCCTCGGGGCGGCGGCGGCAGCAGCGGCGGCGGCGGATTCCTTCCCGAAGGACTTCGGCTACGGCGCGGAGGACGACGACGACGAGGAGGATGACGAAGAGGACATGGATGGCGGGGCCGAGCTGGGCGGCGGCAGCGGCGGCGGCGGCGGAGGAATCATCGGGGGTCCTGGCGGGAGCGGCGGCGTAGGAGGCGGCGGGGGCAGCAACTGCGGGCTCGGCTCGGGCGGCGGAGCGGGCGGCGACTCCTCCAAGCAGCCTCGGATCTTGCTTATGGGGCTGCGCCGCAGCGGGAAATCGTCGATCCAGAAGGTGCGCAGGGCCTCCCGCCCCCTCCTCCCTGGCGTGGGGTCGTGTCCGGAGCATCCCGGGGGCTTCGGGACAGCGACGAGGGAGGAGATCGAAGTTTAGGCTCGGACTAGGACCTGAGAGGAAACCAGGATTCAAACTCCTTGAGTGATCTTGGGGAGCCAGTCATTGTCACTCAGCGCAACCTACTTCACAGGGTTGTTGTGGGGATAAAATGGGGAGAGGGGAAATCATATGCGCCACCTTGAAATCTTTAGAAGAATGGTGGGATATAATTGGGTGTATTATTATTAATAATAATAATCACTCATGATTGGGGAGGGCAGGGGGACTAATCGGGTGGAGGGAGCCTGCAGGGGTATAAGCAAGATCTCTCTTTTCTTCATGCCCAAGTGGAACAAGGTAAGTTCTTACCCTAATACTCCACCGTTCAACCTGTCATTCCACATCAAGATGTCTACAGGCCTGACATTTCTTTACTGGCTCCTCCTCAAGGTAGCGTCATAGTTGGTGGTTCAGGCAAGAGACTTGGGAGAAAGATGCAGCTTCAGGTTCTCAGTCCTGATCCTCACTGAGAAGGGGGGAGTTGTGCCTCTTGTTATTTTGGAGATAAAATGGATGGGTGGAGGAGAGAACAAGGATTCTTGAGTTCCTTAGTGGAAGGAAGGATAGAAATGTAAAACAGCAAAACAGTAAATAATGGTTGCATGCTCTCTATTGCAAACAGGTGGTGTTCCACAAAATGTCTCCTAATGAAACCTTATTCTTGGAAAGTACCAACAAAATCTATAAAGATGATATTTCAAATAGCTCCTTTGTGAACTTCCAAATATGGGATTTTCCTGGACAAATGGATTTTTTTGATCCAACGTTCGATTATGAGATGATCTTCAGGGGAACTGGAGCCCTCATCTATGTTATTGATGCACAGGTCATTATGAAGCTTCACTTTGGGGAACAGAGTAGGTTGCTCTGTGAGTGGTGGGGAGGATGTACTGGGGATGTTGCAAACAATGATCCTGAACATAAATATCAAGTGTTGAAGTAGCTGTAGTCTGTTGTTGTTATCTTTTAAACAGGTCACAGCTCAGAGTAGATTACAACCTTTAAAATACTGGTAACGGCAGGAATGACATTGTGCAGGGGCATTACCATATTAGATAGGAATACTACTGAGTAATTTGGGCAGTCTTAAGTAAGGTAGAACACAGCTCAAGCAAACAATCCAGCATTTAGAGACCAGTTTGTGGTTGAATTTAACAGTTTCTGTAACAGTATTTTTAGGCTTTGGGATGAGATTTGGTCAAGAATAAAACTATTTTGATTCTGAATTATCCTTGGGATTCTCACAAGGTCTGTTTCTATTATAGTAATTGTAAATTGTAAATATCAACAAGCAGACATCACTACGTTTCTTAGTAATGTATGGCCTGTACATTTAATTCTGACTGAAGAATGCATATTATATTTTGCTTACAGGATGACTACATGGAAGCATTAACCAGGTTGCACATTACAGTCTCAAAAGCTTACAAAATTAATCCAGAAATGAACTTTGAGGTTTTTATTCATAAAGTTGATGGTTTGTCAGATGATCATAAAATAGAAACTCAAAGAGATATTCATCAGAGAGCCAATGATGATCTTGGTGATGCTGGGCTAGAAAAACTTCACCTTAGGTAAGTGGACTTCATTTGGACACAATTTTCTCCCATTTGAGACCAAATCTGGAGAAGCTGCATTTTTGAGGGCTTGTTTAATGCTGGGACCATCACCTGAATAATCAGTTGTTGTTGTTGTTGGCATTCGCTTGTCTCGAGACAATGAAGTGTGCCTACGGGGATGAAGTCAAATCACTGTGCAAGCTTGGGCAGTGTGTATGGAGGTGGTGGGCTGCACAGACGACAGGACCCCGACCCCCCCCACCTTGCTGATGTTGTCCAAAGAAAAGCAGAACAGGATGTTTGGCACCAACTTGGGTGCAAGAGTTGCAAGGTGTCATCTAACTCCACTTTGGATTTATGTAGGGTTTATTCCTTAGACTTTTCTTCTCCCTCAAGGCAGCACAGGTTTAAGATCAGAATTTTCCTTCTCCTAGATGGGCTACCTTCCCAGGTTGATGAGCCCCATCTGCCCTTCACTTCCCTCTACAGCACATGCAGGGTGTATGTGGTGTTAGGGGAGGGGTAGTACCTCTGGTGCGGTGCATGTCATGCTCCTTCTGGGGTAGTTTGTCCACCTTTGGTCCTCACCCTGCACTCAGCATGCAACAGCAGCCACATCCCAGGAACAACTTTTAACTGGTTGGCTAAACCAAGTGAGGGTAGCCTATGGGTCTCAAATCCTCAGTTGAGTTAGGGACTTCCCTTGCATGCAAATACTGGCTATGAGTGGCTAAGACCAATAGTGAGTCTATTGGTCAAGAAGGGGTCAGCTGTTACTTGACTAATAATATGAGTCTTAATCTACACATGAATAAAGAGGTAGTTCTGAAGAGGGGGGCATTTGCATAATGTTAGAAGAGGTATTTTCTCTTCCATACAAAAAGGAGGAATATGTAGTTCAGGATGGTACTAATCATTTGCAGGTTTTGTGAGTAGTTGTCTTTAAAAATCATTAGTCTCTGTTGATTATTGTTGGCGTCTTCTTAAAAAGTGTACATTCAATTTAACCAGACATTATGGAAATTACAATTTGTGCAAAACGTATTAGCTAGGGTGCTGATAGGGTAGTGGGTCAAGCACATCTAATTCCCATTTTACAACAGTTAACATTGTCTGCAGATGTTGTTCTGGGCCTAAATATGGTGCTCACATTTAGGTTTAAAGCCGTTGATGGCTTGGGCCCCAAATATCCACAAGAACACCCACTCTCATGTGTAGACCTATCCATGCCATGAGATCTGCAGATGAGGCCCTCCTACTGGTCCCTATGGGGGAAGGCTCTTTCCAGTAGTGGCCCTGCAGCATTCCTTCCCCCTGGGGCATGTCTGGCCCCTTGATTATATTCTGTATTTCAAGAGAAAGGTTTAGAAAAAGGGTTGCTCCTTATTGTGTGCAATAAGGAGAGATTGCAAACATATTTAAACTGCTTTTGCTCTTTGTTATCTCCCCCCTCGCGGTTTCTTTGAGATGCAAATTAGTCTTCACCTTAAAAGGTATCTTTGGAAGCAATGATCTCATCACTGAGGGGAACAAAGAGAAAAACAAGAATTTCCAGAGTATGTTAAATGTATTTGAAGCTGTTCAGTGTGGGCCTCCTTGATGCTTCAGTTTTGCTTTCAGTATGCCAAAGCAGCAAATTAAACCTGGAACTGTTCTGATAGCTAATAACAGTGTTCTGCTTTGTAGTTTTTATTTGACCAGCATCTATGATCATTCTATATTTGAAGCCTTCAGCAAGGTGGTACAGAAGCTCATTCCACAGTTGCCAACTTTGGAAAACCTGCTAAATATCTTTATATCAGTAAGTAGGTGTTGTACATGTACTTTAATTGTCATGTTTTTGTACCCTGCCCTGGGAACGTTTAGTGAAGATTAGGCAATGAATGCAATGACTTGTTTTTAAATGTTGCAGTAATGTTTTGTTGGGTTGGTAAGCGTATGAACTTGCTTAGAAGCTCTCATTTGGAAGACATATTGCTAAGAAATAATGAGTAACTGGCATACTTGGTTAGAACTTGGAACTACAAGCTTTGCTTCAAAAACATGTGTAGTTCTCTGTGGGCTCCAGCAGTTGGGGAGCTCTCAAACTATGATCTATGCTAGACTTCTTCATTACAGCACCTGCAATAGCAGCTTGTGCTCAGTCGGGGCTCTTGTGAGCAAATAGCCTTTCTCTTCAGCTCTAGCCAGTGGCCAGCTGTCCAATGGCATCTTAGAGGATGAGATGCTCTCTGCAAAGGGAAGATTTTGAAGGTGGGTTGGAGGCTCTATAGGCTTATATCCTTCATAGACAGAATAATTGTGTTTATTTATAACAAGACATTTTAATCAGCAAGAAAAAGAATTACGTCCCCTTAAGATTTAAGCTTCCACCTTTGCACTTTATATTTTTTAAAACAAGAGTCTAGTACAGGCTTCCTCAGACTTGGCCCTCCAGATGTTTTTAGCCTACAACTCCCATGATCCCTAGCTAGCAGGATCAGTGGTCAGGGTTGTTGGGAATTGTAGTCTCAAAACATCTGGAGGGCCGAGTTTGAGAAAGCCTAATCAACTATCTACTTCTGTGTAAAAGGGCAAGTTTTTATCCAACCTACTTACATCCCCCCACAATGTGTATAATAAAACACCAGTGAAATAAAGCCAGCGCTTGTGCAGCATAATAGGCTGGGGGGAGATTTAGTAGGCTTCCTAAAGCACACAGACATTTTCCTAAATAGTTGACTGATATCTTCGGAGATGGCAGCAAATGTGGACAAGACATTCCTCAAAGCAGAATCCACTACTAGAGAGCCTTGCTTGTCGTTTTATAAAAAGATAGCCAGTTATTTATTGCCTTCTGAGCGTGTTTAGTTGTTTCGGGTGCCTTCATTTCAGATTGCAAAATGGACAGGAGATGCCCCATCACTACCACCAGTTTGAAAATCAAACTGGTGGTATGGCTGTCAGTTTTGCAACTGGCACAGTGTGCTGTTTGAAACATTGGGGGGAGGTGTCTTTGAGGTAATGTGAGGCCACCATCTTCATTTCCTGCAAGAGATAGTGGTGGCTGCTTGGGTGGCTTTGAAAGGAGATCAGACAAATTTCTGGATGTCTGTGCTCTGCCTCCACCATTGGAGGTAGTTTGCCTCTGGAAGCCAGTTGCTGAGAGTCTTAAGTGGGAAGAGTATTGCTTCTCTTGCACTCAGGTCCTACCTTTTGGCTTCCCATTGGGGCATCTAGTTAACCACTGTGGAGAACAGGATGCTGGGCCAGATTTTGGCCTGATCCAGCAGCTGAGCTCTTCTTCCTTGCATTCTTAGAGTGGGGATGAAAGGCCCCTTCCTGTCTGACCAAGAGTCACCAAAACAAGAGTCACCAGTAAGCTGAGAAATAGTTCAGTACGTGAGACAACCATTTTAACTTGTTTTTTCTTCTTTAAGAATTCTGGTATTGAAAAAGCTTTTCTCTTCGATGTCGTCAGCAAGATCTATATTGCAACGGATAGTTCGCCTGTTGATATGCAGTCATACGAGCTCTGTTGCGACATGATAGATGTAGTCATTGATGTTTCTTGTATATATGGGTAAGTACCATGTGGTGCTTCTATGGCATTTCAGAGAATCTTAAAGTAGCTTAGAGGGAAATCCATTGTCAAATGTCATGAGAAAATGAAAACCTAGCATTGAGGAAGCCCTGGCTTTGCGAATATTGGGTGTGAAACTAAAACACATTTTCTGTATGATTTTGTTGCTAGTAAGGAGGGGTACTAGAAATTGCAGTGTCTGTTTTGAGCGAGTGATGTAAAGTAGGAAGGTGTTTGAATGGATTCATGTGTAAATATTTTTCTGTATTTATGATACTGAGACATTTTAATATATTCATTTGTACTGAATAATGAGGAAAACCTTTTGTATGCTGCCCATTCACATTATGCATCTTACAATCAGCACCAACTCTTTTCCGTACTCTTCGGAGCAGAGTTACACAGTGGCGTGTGTCGAAAGAGCGGTAAAAGAGTCCCAAACGTTTCTTCTGTCCTAATATCTCTTTATTGGCACAAAAGTAGCGTATTTACAAACTCCAACTTCCATCTGATTCAAGCTGCATCTTCTCCCTCTGCTTGCAGCGACGCAACAACCTGCTTTCGATTTTCACTCAGTACACAGCATTCCAAGCTGCTTTCGTCACGTCCTGGCTTACTTCCCTTGTAAGCCCATCCCCTCAGTCTCGAGACACAGAAGGTTAACTCTTCACTACACCCAACACGTACTATTGCTAAACCTCCTATTCCACACCCACACCCACTCACAAAGTTTTCTAATCTGATCAGAATTCCTTTCACCCTCCATCTAATTCCAGGGTAGGGGCCTGCACTACCTCATTCCAAAACTTCTCTCCAGTTTGATGAGGAGCTGTTGGTGAGCATTTTCTTTTTGGCTAGTTTTACAACCAGCTGTGAATCCCTCAGCTGTGAATCTTCAGTCCTGCATTTAGCTAGAATCATAGAATCATAGAGTTGGAAGAGACCACAAGGGCCATCGAGTCCAACCCCCTGCCAAGCAGGAAACACCATCAGAGCACTCCTGACATATGGTTGTCAAGCCTCTGCTTAAAGACCTCCAAAGAAGGAGACTCCACCACACTCCTTGGCAGCAAATTCCACTGTCGAACAGCTCTTACTGTCAGGAAGTTCTTCCTAATGTTTAGGTGGAATCTTCTTTCTTGTAGTTTGGATCCATTGCTCCGTGTCCGCTTCTCTGGAGCAGCAGAAAACAACCTTTCTCCCTCCTCTATGTGACATCCTTTTATATATTTGAACATGGCTATCATATCACCCCTTAACCTCCTCTTCTCCAGGCTAAACATGCCCAGCTCCCTTAGCTAGCTTCTTCATCAGAATATCCTGGTACATTGTTAAATGCTTTGCTGAACTCAGGATAAACGGTGTCTACAAGATTCTCACAATCCTCATTGCTGCTTAATGCCTCAGTCCAGTATTCAATTACTGTTGAAATGCTGCCTCAAAGTCCTTAGCTAACTGTGTGCCCTGAACAGTCCCTTCTTTCTCAAACAACCGTAGGCTCAAGGAGGATGGGAGTGGCAGTGCCTACGACAAGGAGTCCATGGCCATCATCAAGCTCAACAACACAACTGTGCTGTATTTAAAAGAAGTGACCAAGTTTCTGGCCTTGGTGTGCATCCTTAGAGAAGAAAGCTTTGAACGCAAAGGTGAGGAAGAAGATTGGTGTGTCCCTCGATTGAGTGCCTGGGCTCCAGCTTCTATGGGGTCGCACAAATCTGGTAATTGCAATTTGTGAAGAGTTGATCCTCTGTGAGCTGCACTCACCAAAATCCCCTTGGGGCAAGTTTTCAAATCTTATCATTAGTCTTATGCAGCCTTATTTGTTTATTTACAGTATTTATAGCCTAGAGTGGGGTACAAGGAAATAAAAATAAAGAGAAACAATATACAAAATTATATAAGCAGAAGCAATAAACAACTAAACAATCTATTATAAGGTACACAGGCAAAAGTTTGATGGTGTTGGTCCTCAAGTGGATGCTGAGCAGTGTGTGCCTGGGCTTGTGGTGCTAGCCTGGAAGAAGGGAACAAGGGCTGCAAAGGTTCAAGTAAAGGGCAGCGAGCCTGGGAGGGTGCTGAGAGCCTCCTTATGGAAGCATTCCAGAAAAGTTCCTTCTGCATGATGTGTTTTCAGTGCAATGTAAAACTCTGTTGGAGACTGTTTTTGTGTGTGTGTGTCCCTTGCATCAAATAGCTTGTGCTATTTGATGGCCTCCTTAGTGCTGCCCTCCTCATCTCTGCCTAGTTCTCAGGGCCTCTGGAGTCACATACTCTGCCCTAGACTCAACCTATATTCAATCATTTTTCCAGGCTGGCTGACTCCAAAATCCATTTTGGATGGCCTCCCCACTTCTAAAACTGTGTTGCAGATCATGGGCCCATTTCTACATTTAACCTCTCCCAGTTATTCTTACTAAAGAAGCTCAGGTTTGGGCTTCGATCCAACTGAATCTTTATTTGCCATGCAATCTTTGCTGCTTGGATCCAAACCCTGAAGCAGCACGAGTGTCTGCCTGAGCATGTAAAGTTGCTCATCCTCTTAGGTTGTTGAGTTGTGTTTTGTGTTGTTGTAGCTATTTGTGTCTCGACCAGATAGGCAGCCTGAGATGCTGGAACAGCAGGGCCCCTTTCTAACATGCCTGGATACTGTCAGGCATGTTAAAAGAAGAATAGGCATGTTTAGTCAACTGTGTTTTGGAATGCATTTGGCAGAAACTGTGATGCAGCTGTAGAGCTTCTGTCTGCTGCTGCGCAGAACAGCTGGGTCAAGGGTTTACACCCAGAATGAATGGCAGAGGGTGCTGAGGGTGTTCTGGTAAGTCAGGCTCCCAGATGAGGTTGTGCTTTGCCTTCTCTCGATTGTCACCTGTGGTTTGTTTCTCTTGCTCCCCCAGGTTTAATAGACTACAATTTCCACTGCTTCCGCAAGGCCATCCACGAGGTCTTTGAAGTGGGCATTTCCTCCCACCGATCCTGCAACCATCAAGCAAACATCCCTGGTCTAAAAGCAGTGACTCATAACGGCACTCCTAGAAATGTCGTCTAGCGGAGGGGACCCAAGGCGGGTGGCCAAGTGTTCCCTGCTCCGAGTCCGTGTGTTGGGGATGGACAGCACAGAGAACTGGCTCCATACATTCCTGTGTGCACATTCTGGAAGAGACGGGACTTTGCCTTGTGGAGCTGCAATTGTGGCAGGCGTGGCACAACTGAAATGGCCTGGAAGTGGGGCTGCTTCCTCCCCCGCTTCCACATCTCCCTTGATACAAAACAGGGCGTGGATGATTCCGGAACTGAGCTGTTTTGACACTCGGCATTCCTTGGTTTTTTTTAAACATGCGTAGTGTTAGTGCATTTGCGTTTCAAAGAAATTGGCGTTCGTAAACTCAAACATTACAGCTTGTAGTTTAGTTTAGCGCAATTTCAAACATTCCATCCTTTGAGTTTTATCATATCCTATTGCGGTTAACCCCTTAAAAAAATTCCATCTTCTGTGAAATGAATGTGATGCCAAGTGGTGCCATTTCCCTCTGCAGACCCACTGAGCGCAAAGCTCTCTTTTTATTGGAGAACAGGATAAAAGACAAGAATTGGCAACCTTAACTTTGTCGCTCGAAACTGGTTTAGCATATGCTCGTCTTGCATTCTCAAGCTTGTTGGCAGGCCACTTAACAATTTGCTGCAGCAGTTCCTGTACTTGTCCTTGAAGATGCTTTTTGTAGTAAATGATTCAAATTCTGCCCAGTTGTGGCTAATGTGTTTGGATTTAAGTGCGTTTTCCATTTTTTGAAGCTATGCTTCAATTGCATAACAGGTTAGTTTTTGTAAAATATGGTGTGCAACTGAACTCTGGTTGCTAGAATTCTCTGTAGCTGCTCACCAGGCAAGGAAGTGCCTTTACCTCAAGGTCAGGAAGATACAAAGGCCTCCCTGAACTCCATATTCTGCACATATTCCATTGGATGGAAGCTCCCTTCCAACTCGTGTGTGGACTTTCCCTTGTGGCCTCGTGCACATCAGACAACGCTTGTATATTCCCAAGCCATGGAACCTTTTCTCTCCTCAGATGTCAATGTGGACGCGCCAAAGTTTTAACAGGGTGGCTGGTGTTGCCAGCAGCCGACTGTGTCCTTGCACTGTTCAGGAGGCGGGTGGCTCTTGTGGGATTCACTTCTCAGTAGTCCGCATTAATAAAATGCATTTCATCTTGACAGCTGTTTTCTCAGTTAAGTGCATGTGTGAATTGTTGGTTTTGGTGCCCATGCATGGACAGGGCGTTGCAGGTTCGTACGCTATTCCTGATGAATTAATTGGATAGTTGTAGCTGCTGACAGATGCCCTGCAGAAGCTATGCCTTCTGCTTTGCAACACTTGCAAGTGTGCTCCATGCCAAAAAATGGTGGCAATTGCTTGTTCCCTCGTTAATACTGTGTCACTTCAACTACACTCTGGATGTTTTGAAATTTGAAAATCTATGGAGAGTACAGTGATTTTCTGAACAGTTTTTGGCACTTTCAGAGCTTGGAAGTCTTTCCTCAAAGAACTCAGCAGAAAGGCAGGAGGTGTGGTGCTGATCAGGAAAAAGTGAATTTAGAGGCTTTGAGCAGCTGCATAATGGTCTTTGCTTGGTCAGACCAGGTCCGTCTGCTTTACTACTGCAGTGTAAGCTATCCCCTGAGCTTTGCCTCCATTGTGCTTGGTACTTGCAAGCATGAAGCTTCTCTTTTGGCCAGTAGGATTAATAGCACTCTTCTTCATGATCCTTCCTGAGAAAAACCCCAGTAAGCTGGCAACAAGTGATTTAGGTGGCAAGGAAGAAAGGATTTTGCTCTGTCCTGAGCCCACCACACAGATGGCTGATTGGTTCACAATATAGGTTTATCTCCATAGCACACTATTTTATACAGACGTTGTCAAGGCTGCCTCAAGTCTTAGCTCACAAAAGACCAACGCCTACGTCTTCTTGAATACAAAGGTGTTTATTGCAGTTCATGGTTTGCTTGACATCTTAGGCGCGCAGCCTTACGTCTCTTACGCTAGACCGCCGAAGTCCCGTCTGAGTCAGTTCCTCCTCTGCACCAATTTAAGAGACTTGCGCTGCTCCACCTCTTTCTCTCCTTCCTTTTCCGCAGGGTCTTTCTGCCCCCTGGGGTTTGCCCTTTCTGGATTCCTCTGACGCGGAATCAGACTGCTGCTCCCCCCTCCTGCGGGCTTTGGGACCTGGCCCCTCCTCCGGGCTCCCTGCACTTCCGCGCGCCTCTACATTTGAACTAGGCGCGCGCGCCAAACCTCTAACTTTCCTTTTGACAGTTACACTGCTCCCTTCACTGCTCCCCTCCCTTTCCGGGAGGGCTGCTTGCTCTGACCCCCCTCCTCTCTCTGCTGCTGGAGCTCCTTCCTCTGACACACTGGAAACTCCACCCCCTACGCTGCACTTTGGTGGGGAGGCTGGTCCTGACACCCAGCTGCCACTGTGGGATCCTCCGCTGGCACCCTGCTCCTGACATCTCCCCCTGGGGCTCCCTGGCCCTGACCACCGGCGCCCCTTCTGGGAATCCTCTGATTCGCTGGAAAGACTCATGGAATCCCTTGAGTCATTGTCGTCCTCTTCCTCACTGGCTTGGAATTCCTCCCCTTCGCTCTCCATCTCCTGCCTACCCTGTGCCTCTCTCTCTGAACCCCTGACAGACGTGTTTAAAGCCAAGCAAGTATTTTATTTTTTTTAATGACTAGAAATCACTTAAACACTTAAGCATTTCTGCAAGCTCTGTTTTCTAAAGATTCTCTGGATCACATCACGTTAGATTAGCCTCTAATTTGTATGCACCTTTCCACAAAATAAAATGTGCTCAAAGCAGCTTGTGGTACACAGAAAGTAAAAACTAGATCTTTGAGGACTGACCTAAGCGGAATTAGATGAATTCATTGTACTGAAATAGCTAATAGCCATGGTATGTTGCTGGAACTGCCATATACTGTAGTGATAGCCCTTGGATGAAGAGCAGTATAGATATATTGTGAAGAGCTGTTTGACAGTGGAACTGTCTCCCTTGGAAGGTGGTGGATTCTCCTTCCTTGGAGGGTTTTAAGCAGAGGTTGGATGGCCATCCTTCAGGGATTATTGAGCAGGGATTCCTGCATTGCAGGAGATTGGACTAGATGACCCTTGGGATCTCTTCCAACTCTACAATTCTATGATGGGCATATGCCCTCAAGTCCCAGATGCTTGGGTTAAACAGGAAATGGCTATCCATCCTGGCTTGTGAGTTTTCCAGTTACCCCAAGCAGGGACCTTGATGGCACACATCTGTTCTGCAGGTGGTCCGTCAACTCAAGCAGCCCCGACCACTTCCACGCTTGCAGGAGGGGAAGAGGACCTGTCTCTCCTGCAAGCACCTGACACCTTCCTTGCACTACACAGTGTAAGGGAAGGGCATCATTTAGGCAAGCAGAAGAATCCACTTCCTGTGGAAGAGCACAACCTTGTTATTGGATGCTTCTTGCCCACCACCTTTCTCTGGGGACAGGAATGGTGGATGGGAAGCATTCTGCCAAAAGTCTGCAACCTCTCTGAGTGAGGTTATTGCATTATTGCAGGCCTTAGAGGCTGACCTTTGGGCAAAGTCTCTTTTTGCTAAGCTGCCTGTCGGACAGGTGTGTGTTGGGAAATGGATTTCCCCATTCAAGGAAACTGGGTGTAGGGTTTGCTGCAAGGTCATTGAGGGAAGAGGCATGTTTGTGGCATCCCATGATTAGGAAAAACTTGGTGGGAAGCTGGCATAGCCCAGCAAGCACGTACTCTCTCCCCCTGACTTGGCACTTGTAAGATTGGCTGCCCTCCTAAATACAGTGGTACCTCGCCTTGGGTTAAAAACTTAATTCGTTCTGGAGGTCTGTTCTTAACCTGAAACTGTTCTTAACCTGAAGCACCACTTTAGCTAATGGGGCCTCCTGCTGCCGCCGCGCTGCTGGAACACGATTTCTGTTCTCATCCTGAAGCAAAGTTCTTAACCTGAGGTAATATTTCTGGGTTAGCGGAGTCTGTAACCTGAAGCGTATGTAACCCGAGGTACCACTGTATTTTTATGTTTGTAAACTCAATAATTGAGGATTTTACCTTAATGCCCCCATGAAATGCCACAGGGCTCGAAAAGAAGCACACAGTGGTACCTTGGGTTACAGACGCTTCAGGTTACAGACTCCACTAACCCAGAAATAGTACCTCGGGTTAAGAACTTTGCTTCAGGATGAGAACAGAAATCGTGCTCTGGCGGCGCAGCGGCAGCAGGAGGCCCCATTAGCTAAAGTGGTGCTTCAGTTAAGAGCAGTTTCAGGTTCAAGAACAGACCTCCAGAACGAATTAAGTACTTAACCTGAGGTACCACTGTAAAAGTTTAGTGTTCCATAAGATAAATACACACTACAGAAAAATAGTAAGAATGCTGTCCTACATTCAGCTTATGGTATGGTTTATATGAGTTTTTATTGCTGTGAACCGTTTTGATACATTTTTATGATAATATTTTAATAAATAGATAATTGCACTCACCATATGCAGACACTCCATAGAAGCTCATGCATATCTCCCCCTCCCCATATCCTTCACATATACACAACTACACACATACATCTCGCCTTCTCTCACACCACATTTTCTCTCTCTCTCTCTCTCTCTCTCTCTCTCTCTCTCTTTCTTTCTTTCTTTTACACACAGCACAGATGTGTGGGTCTCTGCCCAAGTGCATCTCTTCTCCCCCACCCTCATATACATCTACATTTCTCTCACATGCAGAGACAGATCTCTCTCTGTGTGTCTCACACAAACCACCATACAAACATGCCACTCTCAATCACTCAAGTCTCAATCAATCAATGGCCTGGACTCCACTTCAGCAAAGAGTTGAACAAGAGTGGTGCCTTTGCAGCAGCAGCTGGGACTGACCTTGATAGAGCCCCCTTGGGTCTATGGGCTGCAGAGTGGTCTGGCGAGGTTGGCACAAGGCAAAGTTTCTGAACTAGAGGTTGCTCTGGGGCTCGCCCCAATAATAAACTCCTTTCCCAATAACTTTTGCAGGCAGTTGGTTAGATCTAGCACTTGGGCCCCACACTTATAATGCGACCTTTCTAGTCACCCAGGCCTTTTTAAACAACTTCTGTTTCAACTTCTGTCTGGGCCTTTCAAACACTGTTTTGTGTGTTAATGGGTGGTTTTATTTTATATCGTATTTTTTGTTTCTTTTTGTAAGCATCTCTAAGAAAATCTTCTATGGGTTGGCTCTGGCTATAGCTCAGTGAGCAGAGCATGAGACTCTTAATTCTCAAGGTTGTGGGTTCAAGCCCCACATTGGGCAAAAGATTCCTGCATTTCAGGAGGTTGGACCCTTGTTATCCCTTCCAACTCTACAATTCTATGATTCTTCTGTATGCAGTAAATAAATGTGACCATCTCAGTCCGGTATATTTTGGGAACCACCTAAATCTGGGTGGCTGCCAGGGCGAGGAAGAAATCTTGTTTCTGCCATTCACCCACAAGGTGGCAATGCTGCTCTGTGTATGTGTCTTGAGCCGACAGGCTTATTCCAAGGCAGAAAGGAGCTTTTCCTGGCTGATACTCTGGTCGTCCTTTGCTCAACTGCTGATGTTAAAAGCCTTGATTGGAGGGTTACACCAGAGGCTGCTCTGCTTGCTGTGCTGGGAGAGGTGCTTGCCTGCCCCTTCACTTTTGGCACCTGTTTGGGGGACCCCTTCCGACTTGTGCCTGGAACTCCTTTGGGCCTGGTAACATCCCACGTGTGGTGGGTTCCCATTTGCGTGAGACCTGACTCGCTCCGGTGGCATAAAAAGGCCGAGGGATAGCTGGAAAGGGTTCCACGACAGTCCAGGAATGGGTAACAAAGCCAATTGACGGATGTGAGTGGCTCTTTTGTCTAGTTGGTGTGAAGTGTTAGGTTTCAACCTTTCTGGAAGCACAAGCAGAGGTGGGGTTTTCCTTCAGAACAAAAGTGCTCAGGCCTGGCTAGGTTGGTTCTGCAGGCAGAGAGAGTCCAGAGCTTTCACCCTCCCACCGTCCCAGAAATTGCCCAAGGGGTTGCCCACATGTCAACAAGGCTTTCTTTTAGCTGCACTCAGCAGAAATCTTCTAGGGTCACTTTGGCCCAGGCAAATGCTTCACATTTTACATACATTGTTGGCATCAGCTTAGTAAGATAAATGCTGGTGGCTGAGGCAAAGGGGCAGCTTTGCAAAGTTACATGGTCCCTTCATTGATGGGAGATTATTTAGGTAGCAAAGTCCAAGGCTGCCAAGGCAGCAGGACCAGTTTGGCACTTGGCCTGAATTTTCCAGTGTTCTGCTCTCTACTGAAGTGTTGGGAGCTCTTGGGGTCCCCCATAATAGAATCTACTGCAGGAGCCCTTTGGGCTTCTTGACCTCCCTTAATCATTGAGGCAGACTGGGGGTGCCCTGGTGTGTTACTGGAGTGATTCTCTAGCTGCTCCCTGCTTCCTTCTGGCCGGGGCTCATGGCTCATGGCTAGAACTCTCCCTCTGAGCATCCTTGACCTTGGCTCTTGTTTTGCAGGAGAGGTGCTTGGCTTGCCTCTTCTACTTGGAAGGCATTTGAGCAGCAAGACTCATTGCCATGTTTGAAATGTGTGGGTCTTCCCAGAGTCGGGTAAAGATCACAAGTTGTTGAAAATATTGCTTTTGGGAGTGTGTTTATTTTTAAACACCTCCTGCTTTGATTGCCTCCTGCTGAGGGTTTCTCTTGCTTAGGGTGCCGCTCTTCCAAACTTAGGTGGGATTGTGTGACTGTCTGCTTCAGTTCTTCTCTGTCGCCTTGCAGGTTGGCTGCAAATCCAAGCCTAGCCGGATGGTAGCTTTCTGGTATGTCTCTGCATGCTGAGTCGGTTCTGCCCATTGGCCTCTGTCGTGGTGCCAACAGTTAGTTGAGATGTACTTTTTTTAAACACCCCAATTTCATCATTTCACAGAAGGAGCGATCGATAATTCTCAAGTTAACAGTTCTTGTTTAAAGCTCTGCCCCTGCTGTGCAATGAAAGCAGGCAACTTCCCTTGGCTCAAAACGGCTGTGATGTTAATGCCCTGGTTTTGTGTCAGTTGAGGGCAAATTACCCTTCCATTTCTCGCCATGAGTCATCCTGTCATTACGTGTTAGGCACTTACTGTACCTCCACTACAATGCAATTTAGATCCAATAAAAATTGTGACAGAGTTTTTATCCACTTCATTAAGCTACTAATTTCTTGTAAAAATGTACATTAATCTTTTTTTATAGCTTCATGCAGAGTGGCACATTTCAAGTCCATAACATTGATTAGGTCCTGCCTTGGAATAATTTTCATGGTGCTTTAAAAAATGTAAATGAAGTTGCTATAATTTAATTTTCCAATATAGTTATGACAGTATTGATCTTGGAGAGGAAATATTGGTTCCATTAAAAAGCCAAACAAATGAATTATTGCTAAATATGTTTAGAAATGCAGACTGCTGGAAGGGGCTTCCTTAGGGTTTATTACAGTTATGGTGGACCATCTCTGTAGAGCACATGCCATCAGTGGCCGGGCACCTTCTGAAGCTGACTGCTGCTGCTTTAACTCCCAAGTTATTTTAAATGTGCTAAGTTATAAATCCAAGCGAGAGCAAACTGGATTTCTGCCTCGCCCTCTGCTTCCTGCACTCAGTTCTGGGATTCAGGTAGGGCATCAGGCTAGCTGTAGCCAAGGCAGGCTGGGAATCCAAAGGAGGGGCCTGATCCTGCTTGCGCCATAGAGATTTTACATGGTTCTACCTTAGGACGGCGAAACCGAGGACTGCCTCAACAGCAAAACCAATTAAATGAAATGTGTGGTGACTGTCAGATTTCCATTAACCCGCATGCTGGAGCTTCATCCCTCTTGCTTGCTGGGTGTCTCTGCTCACTTGTGCTGCTGCTGCTTCCCTTCCCTTGACACCCCTGCCTCCACCCCATGCAAATGGCTCAGAGGACCCAAGGGATGGCGCCACTGAACAGCAAAAGAGGACAAAGGGGGTGGATCCACTTGCCTAAGGAGAATGCCAAAGAAGCATGGACTTGCCCTTCTTGCTGATAGGTTTTTCATCCGTTCTCCGAATCTGGGCAGCCTGATTCGTGTACACTTTAAATTGTTTGCTGATCTTGCAAATATTACTTAAGTCTGTGTGTGATTTTTGAGTTTTTAAACAGTCAATACTGCACTTTGCCTTCCTGCAGGACCATGGAGCAGGTGCCTCTTTTTAATGCAGCTAAGGGGCCCTGGGAAGAAGACTGATGTTTGCTGTGATCCTGAGGGGTGTTCTGTGTCTTGGGCTGGAAATCCAAACCAGCCATGGACAGAAACCAGGGGGAAATGGCTCTCTTCTTTTAAAGCATTGCTTAAGAAGAAGAAGAAGAAGAGTTTGGATTTGATATCCCGCAGCTGCATTTGGAGGAGCAGAGACGCGAACCCAGTTCACCAGATTATGAGTCTACCGCTCTTAACCACTACCCCACACTGGTTCTCTACACCACTTAACACTCCTCAGGTTAAAATTACACATAGGGGGGTGAGGGGTGGGGGAGACTGTGGAGGTGATTCCAACAGTGGGAGAGGGGTGGTTGAATGCTTTCCTTTTGGGTTTCTTTTTGTGGTTAAAATGGTACCCCCACTCACAAGACTCTCCGTAATTTATTTTCCTGGAGAGGTGTGAAAAGAAGGAATGATTTGTTCCCTCTAGTACTCCTCTCGGGATCACCTTTGCATCTCCCTGTCCCCCACCCCCTGTGCCCCCCTGCCTACCACCATCCTGGATCACAGAGGATGGGGCTGTGCCTTCCTCCAGGCTCAGCACGCATGATTCTCTGTCCCACCCTCAGACAACCAGGACTGACTTGGCAGGGCTGATGAGGGAAGCTACAGAAACACACACAGAGAGAGAGAATATGATGGACTTTGCCTTGAGTGACATGGCGTTTTAAAAGTAAATGAGCCCCTAAGTTAGAAAGAGCATGGACCCTTGTCTCCTCTCTTTTGTTTCTGGATCAGCAGGGGCCCAGTCGCAGCTGCATTAACATCCTGGGAGATTCCCTTGTTTCTTACTGGGAGCGGCTGCCGCCACAGAGAAAGCCCCAAGCAAGAGCTGCCTCTTTGAGCCAAGGGGGCAGTCAGATGCTGCCTTGAGGCCTCCTGTGTACAGAGAAGATATGGTGTGGCAGCCACTTGACCTCATGGCTCAGTCCTTAGGAAGCAGCAGCAGCAGCTCGGAGCAAATGGGCATGACTCACGAGAGAGCCCAGCAGTTTGTTTTAGGACTTAATTTGCTCATAAGTGATCTGGGTTTGGGGGTGAGCAGGCCTCAATAGAGGCGAAACCTAAGCTCCTCAAGGAGCTCTAGTGTAGGTGAAATGGGAGCAAAATGACAGCAGGGCAAAAACTCTTGGCATTTTCTTGGCTCCGGGAAAGACCATTGCAGCTCAGTGGCAGAGCACCTGCTTTGCATGCAAAAGGGCTCAGGTGCCTGTAGGTAGGGCTGAAACCTTGGGGAGCTGCCGCTGCAGCCGCCACCAGTCAATGCAGACAGTACCAATTAGTCTCATTCAGTATAAGGCAACTTCTGCATTCCTAGCATTGCATAGACATTGCATAGCATTTGCCAGGAAAAAGAACTTATCAAAACATCACTGCAGTATGCAGCAGTGTTAACAGTCAAGTTCCATTAAAAAAACACATTTATAATAAATACATGGAATTTGAGTGTTATAATAAATACAACACCCTTCAACAATGTTTCTGGGACAGTTTCCAAGAACCTTGATAGCATGTTGCTTTGATTTTTATTTTATTTTTTTTAAAAAGCTACATCATGCTGCATTAAAAAGCCTGAGACAAACACTTTTGCCTGATGCTGAAAATACAATGTTGGTGCCAGGTGGGCCTCCTTAGGAAGGGAATTTCACAAATGGGAAGACTCTGGCCAACACTGCCTGCCTTCCTGATCTCTGATGGCTGGAGCACTTGGAGGGAGGTCCTCTGGAGATCACCTCACTGTACAGGCAGGTTGGTTGGTGTTCCTTCAGGTAAATAATCAGCGACACAGACTGGCCATTTCCCCTTGTTGGGTGAGCAGAATCACTTTAGTGAATTGCATTTGCCATTTCACCATCCATTAATTCAGTTTGGAGAGGTCCTTCTGGAGCTCCTCACTATTATTATTATTATTATTATTATTATTATTATTATTATTATTATATTTTAACAACCCTGAACAATTCAGTATCATCAGCAATCTTGACCACCTCACTGCTCACCCCCTGCTGTAGATCATTGACAAACAAC